TTGTTTAATCTTAGTTCTGGGGGGTTCAACCACCAGAAGTTGGGGTTGAGCGCCTTGCCAGGCAACATTGGGATGTGAGCTGATGTCTCCAACTGGTCGTTGGTTCCTGCGGGCCTTGGGGGTATGGATGCTTGAAGATTACTACAGAAACCTGAGGTAAAACTGGAGAAGTGCTGAAACAGTACCCTCCAGTAACTAGCATTGCTATGGAAAATTGCACATTTATAGATAATTTATTGGTGGGTGGTTTGGAACATGTTTTATTTTTCCATATATTGGGAATAATCATCCCAACTGATTTTCATATTTTTCAGAGGGGTAGGTATACCACCAACCAGTTTACCACTATGAAAAAGACATCGCGGTATTCCACATTTATATTGGACCCCAGGGGCCCCACGGGGCCCCCGTGTTTTACTGAGGGAGTTGACCCTGCAGCTCACTCTGGAACCAGGCATGGGGAGTTACCGGACAGGTAACTGTTGTAGGCACCTGGTCGTTTGAGGCTCTAAGCGACCCAGAAAATAACATGCGTGATACGGGCGGGATGCAGCAAAAACCTACTTGTCTAACTGAAATGTTCATTGTTGTGATGTTTGTGGTGTTGGTGCAATGAATTATATATATATATATATATATATATGTCTTAGATTGTGAATACTCATATTATATGATACACATCTGCAGAATTTTTGACCCAAAATTCACCATGCTTCCCAACCAAAGAAATCCCTGGAAGATTTGAGCCTCAGCGACGCAGTGTTGGACTTCGCTGATGCTCCGAAGTTTCACTTCTCCGCTGGCAATGATTCGAGCGAAATCCATAAAGACCATTGCAATCCTAAGGGGGAATACTGTAACATACTGTGTAGGTATGTGTATGATCCGAATATTATACATATTGTATATGTATACATATATATATATATATTTATTTATTTATTTATTGTATACATACATATATATACATATATATATAGATAGATAGATAGATAGATAGATAGATAGATACATATTTGTATATGCCTTGGTTCCATGGGTTTCTCCGAAAGAAAGTGATTATATTGCTAAAATTTTCATATGGCAATGTTGACAGGACAATTATGATCATTGATGACCTACATGAGTTTGGGATATACTCTCATCAGACAAACCTAAATAAACCAAAGTGGCAGACAGTCTGATGTCAGGCAAGAGGTTTATATGGGCTCTACATCGGTTTAAAACACTTGAAATTGATCTAGACCGCAGAAGCGCAGAACAAAAAAACACACACAGTTCTTCAATTCCTCCCTACCATGCCGGATGCGATCCTTCAGTTGCTTCTGAAATTTCTGCGTTTTGGATGTGCCACAGTTCAGCGGCTTGTACTCTTGGTTTCAACACAAAACGCTGTGCGCTGGACCCGTGGGGATTCATGAGGATTGGGCGCGTTAACACCAACATGGGGAGCAGCGTGCATCTCCAATGGGTGTCTATTCTATTGATATATCTGATATGTATTGATATGTGCAATGTATAAATTACATACATGATTGTCGATCTAAAGGTCCATGTAGAGATTATCCATGTTCGTTTCCATGGATTGTCCCACGGCATGGGTTGTACTGTGTGGTTCATTTCTCTTTTTGTTGGTCCTGGCTATCTATACCCTCAATATACCCTCTGGTAAACATACAAAAAGCTATTGAAAATGGCCATTTATAGTGGATTTACCCATTAAAAATAGTGATTTTGCATAGTTACGTTAGTTTACCAGAGGGTACCCATAAACAAGTATACTGTTGCAAAACTATATGCTTGTTGCTTGAATAAACGCAGTTGTAATTGTTTGTTTGTTGCACGGGTTGGCCTTTGCTGTTGATTTTGCGATTTTGCGGTCTCATTTTTGGTACCGCCAGACGGTCCCAAAAATGGGACCGTGAAAGTGCTTTTCTTTTGTTCTTTTACTAAGCTGTGCATGCGGTCCCAAACATGGGACCGCCAGGCGGTCCAATTTTTGGGACCGTGTTTAGGTTCATTTTTTGAAGTTTTTTGTATCAGGGCTGCAGAAGCGCAATGTTTTGGTTTCAATGAAGCTTTGTGGCTTATGGCGACCGGAAGGGCAACTGTATATAAATTTTATCCCAGTCATCCTCATAGCTGTGTATGTTCTCTCGTTTCTCATTTCTCTGGCTCATTTCGAAGGTCCATGTGGGTGATCCAAGAATTGGGATAACATGGGACAACCAGGTAAAACAGCCGTAGCTTTGTATTGGGCAAACCGATAAGCCACAGGATGAGGGTAAACCCATCAAGGGGTCCCCAGGGGCTCCAGCCACTGTCTGACACGGGTCAATGATCACCTGGGCGCCGCTTTGACGGAAAAACACATCCCGGCGTTGGTGGGTCACTTGCTGGCGATGAGTGAAATTTGTCCAGAAAATCCCCCAATTTTTGGGGATTCTACAGCCATACCACATTCACCATTACTCCAGCACCCAAAGATTTTCATCTTCAAAATCCCGGAGGTGAATCAGATTTGTTTACCAACCCCTCAACCAGTCCCAGGTCGCCATTGGCAAATTTGGGGCTGCGGCCCTGCTCGAAAGGTAGCCACAAAAAAAAAACACCCGAATTCGCCGCCGCTGCCATGGACTTTGACCTCGCAAACAAACACAAGAAGGAGGTGGGGGTTGCTGGATGCTGGGATGGTTTGTTGGGATTGTTTGCTGCACATATATATAGATATAGATATAGATACAATTGTTATACAGTAATATGGTAAATCCATGTAAATCCAATATTTTTACCATTCCCAACATCACCATTTTATGTGTGGTATTAAAAAACACCCCCAAATGGTAGGTTTATGGCATTGGGTGTCCCGCCTTGTATATAATTATACACATGATGCCATGCGTTACACATGGTTTTGTCCAAGAGTTGGGTATGGTCCCCTATTTTCGGGGCATTGAACATGGTATGACAACCTGATGATCAAGCATGGATGGAATGGGTTGGAGAATTGAAAGTTCATATAGTAGTTGAGCTTGGTTGAAATAAATGGATATACACTCCCCGAAATTAACATAGACCCTGCCAAACACAATTTGAGCTAGGATGGTCTTGGTACTCCATGGTGGCACTCAGGGATTGGCATTTTGGTAGTTGGATATTATATTGTACCCTCTGGTAAACTAACATGGCTATGGGAAAATCACCAGTTTCATCATGTAGTTTCCACAGCCTTGTGTAAGTTCACTGGAGGGCATATGTCTTTTGTGTGTCATGAATCATGATGGTTTGAGATCTTGGTTGTTGGTTTCAACTTTCACTAAGTGTTTGTTTGCCTTTGCTTAATTTTTGGGACAGCCGCACGACGTAATCTCATTTTTTTGGATGGTTCGCTCATTGCCAGCCAGGTAATCGTTTTATACACACTTATACATGTTTATATCCCAGTATTTGGAATCTGATAGGTCACATCACAATTACATCAGATGGTATACGCTAGCTATATATATATACATGTTACATATTGGTATATGCTATAGTTATATACATATACACATACAAACAATATTATCATCATTATTACATCATCTTATCCCAGTTTAAAATCAACCCACCCGAAAGCAGTTCAACATATATCTCCATTCTACCCACTCGCAAACGGTGGGAAAATTCACCGTCTGAATTTGGCCAGTGACGACAGGTTGAACTAAGGATTCATGTCGCGAAAAGCACCTGACCAATCTCATCCAAGACTTAAGATAACCTAAGATAACTTAACACAACTTAAGATAACTTAAGGATGATTGTTAGAGAGAAACTTGTCTTCTTCCCTCACATAGAGGAACCGTCCGGTGTTTGAGTCACTCAGCGGTGATGTGACCTGTATGTAGATGCTTTTAAAAGGCAACTGTATGTAGAACCGATGGTAGGTACCGAACAAATATACGACATACGACTTGGGATGTCCCATTGATGGATGACCCCAAGGTATCATCCAAATTCTTGGTCATTTTTGAGGGCAAACACATGGTGAATGGTGGGTACCCCAAAATGTTGAGAAACAAACATATCTATAGAGCAGTGATAAACAAAGCTAAGAAGAGATCAGGTTGTTTGGGATCAAGGTCTAAATTACTTGTAATCAATCTAAGCCTTTTTTCATGACCCGACAGCGTCGTAAAGCACCAGGTGGAACAACGACGTCGTGAAGCCAAACGGAAGCTCGATGAGAAAAAGAAGGCCCTGGCCGCTGCGAAAAATGCTGCTGCGGCAAAAGACTGGGGGATAAGAAACAATAATTCTATGGCCATACCTTGTTTGATTTGATATGTGGAGCATATATGGGAATATGACATTTGGGGATTTATATTATATATAACCAGCAACAATGATTCTTTCTATGTGGTAATTTAAACCAACTACAGTGGGAATATTTCGTAATATGGGTAGTATGGTATTCATGAGGGTGTATCATCTTGGGACCCACACGAGGTGGTGGTCGTTAATCTGAAACCATCCCCGGGTTTGTCTGAAAATTCTGTGAAAATCGCCAGACTTCATTGTTGACAATGTTTATGTTCACCATTGTCCAATGGGCATCCACGTATTTTGTGGGTATCCTGTATTTTCGATGAATGGTTGAATGTTCCTCAGTTGGTTAGCTATTGGTTAGCTAAACGGGTCCGGACATGGGGATTTAACATTATCTAACCAGCACAAGTAGAGAACCGATGAGCGTGGTGGTATTTTCTCAGGGGGGGTTGTGGAATCGTAACCGGGTTAGAATCTACAATCTGCAACTCTAGTTGCCAGCACCACTTCCGAAATGAAAACTGGTTTCAAGTAGCATCTATAATCCCAACTTTGGTTCTTCATCTATTGTCCACACGAATATATGGCTTTGTCTGAAAATAGGATGTCTCTAAATCTATTGGTTAATCATCATTTTCCCTCAGACAGTCATGGGTAATGACAGACGCCAGGAAGAAGAGATACGCGCAGCCATGGAGCAGGACTCGGGTGCCGAGCTCTGAAGATCGGGATTCTGCGATGGAAAAGGACCCCAAAATCCCACAGTTTATCACCCATATGCTCCATGTAGGGTATATTTACCTACGTTTGGGTGATTATTAGGGCAAATGTAGGTAAATATACCATACATGGAGCATATGGGTCATAGCATTTCTTGGGAGTATCCCCTATTTTCAGGCCCAATTGGTGTCTTAAGTGTCAATCTACTCCAGCTGCCAACCGGTCTTTGGCTACGTCGTCGTCCGCGGGGCTGATCATTGAGAGAAGGGTTGGCCCTCAAGATGTGGTGCTGTCATATTTGGGGGACAAGTTCTCCTACTACCCTCCGGTAATCAAACGTGGCAGAAATCCACTAGAAATCGGGCTTTCAAGAGGACAATCACCTATAAATAGTGTATTTTCCATTGCCATGTTTGATTACCGGAGGGTACATAGACTGAAACACATGTGGTCGACCAATGGGGTAAAGGAAAGATAGGAAAGTTACACACATCGGACGGCATCTGCAAACAATGTCCCAATGTGTTCCCTATTTATCAACAGCTATTTTTTGGGGATATAATATGGTTTTCGAGTTATCAATCAGCTACTCATAGCCTATAGATTATACCATCTGACCCCATATGAATGGGAGTTTCTGAGATGTTTGTTTCATGCACATTTTCCGGAGCTGCTTGGCTTCTCCGGATGGCCACGTTATTCCCCGGGCCGCAAATCCCCCATGCCAAAAACCCCGGCGGGACGTTGTTCATGAGATATTGTACTATAGATAATTATAGATAATATAGATATAGATAGATATAGATATAGATATATATATATAAATAAATAATTCAGAATTCTGCATGAATGGAACCTTTTCTTTCAAGAAAGCTGTCAGATGGGCGTGGCCTCCAGGAGCAACGGGAAAGAGAAGAACAAAGACATCGACAGGTGACGAGCAGACGATGTGTTGCCTGATTTGTTTCACAGCTGTGTATGATGTGTATTTAAAAAAAGCCCCGGTATTGTATCTTCATGTCGTTGATCGCCGGTGTTGTTTGCACTCATGCTAATTGTCAAATTGCATGCGCTCTCCTTAATTTCTATGTCAAGTGAGTAAATCCCATTGGTTTCGTCACCAAAAGGTCTCCTTATGTTCGATCTTTCAAGTACTTTCGAGTGTATGAATCTCCATAAATCTCCATAAATTTCCATAAATCTCTCATAGTTTTTGCATATTTGTTATGTTTCTCTACCTCGAAGCCTGGTGAGCCACTCACCCGGTGAGTTCAATTCACCGGTCAGGCCCACGAGGAGCGGCTCCGGGCGGAGGCCGAAGCGCACTTGAACGAAGGCGCCAGGCCAGGGATGCCCAGCAACACCACACAGAGGCAGGTACCGTAGCGTCTGGTACCGTTGAAACCACTGGTTGGTTTTCGAAGCAAAAATGGTGTTTTTTCACAGGGAAAATGATAAGAATCCACTGGAACATGATGATAATCCATGATACCCTCTGGTAATGACTAACATAGCGAACTGGAAAGATCCACCATTTTCTAGCTGGGAAAATCCACTATTTCAATGGTCATTTTCAATAGCTATGTAACAAATTACCAGAGGGTAGATAGATTTAGATCGTATCGGTATATGATGGTGATAGTCTTGTTAGATACTGAATGATACTGATATACTGTATGATTAGATATGATGATAGATCGTATTAAAATTCTACGTGATGTCATTTGAAATCTAAAGATACAAGAAGTGAGAATGTAAACTGACCTGCAGTTTAAGTAGCAACCAACACTGAAGAGTCTGAGACAACACATAGACAGACAATGGGTCTGCAGCAATGGTTGTCCCGGGGGGGCGGCCTTTTTTTTGACCCACCACAAATCACTGAAGGTGGTAGCCATTCACACTCCGAAATAGAGCACATATAACTATGACTGGTTGGTGGTTTGGAACATGGCTGGATTATGACTTTCCATATATTGGGAATGTCATCATCCCAACTGACTTTCATATTTTTTCAGAGGGGTGGCTCAACCACCAACCAGGTGACTATACAAAACTCATCGGATACAGTCACCTTGACCCTCAAGATCACTAAAACCATGTTGGACCCTTCTTGGCGGTAGAACGTGCTGAGCAAAACCAATCCTGGTTGGAAGAAAATAATCATTTCGCTGCTCAGAACCGTGAGTTCATTCTGATGATTTTCCAAGAGAAACCTACATGGGACCCCTTGTTTGCCCTTAAATCCTGGATGTTTGGCAAAACTGAGTCCCCCTTGTTCTTTGCGTCAAATCCACTAAGGTATTTGGCAAAACTCCGACCCTACCCCTCCAGCAGGTGTGGGTCGCCAAAAATGGGGCCATGGCATCCAGATCCCAAGGATCGTATCTCATGTTTCATCATCGTTTTCTCATGAAAACACCTCTGAATGGTGAAGTTTAGAAGATGAAGAGACTGATGTTTTCGTCACCGTTTTATCAAAATAACATCATTCACCAAAACATGAATTAAATGTTATTTTGGTGAAGATGGTGCCCCATGCCCCATGATTTTGTTAGAGAAGCTAAAACATCTTTGAGAAGTTTAGAAGAATTGCAGAGATTTTGATGTCAGTTCCATATACCAAGAAAAAACATGTTTCAATTGTTTTTATGGCAATTCCATCTGGTTGGTTGTTTCAAACATTCGTTATTTTCCATAAGATGGGATAATCCTTCCCATTGACTAATAGTTCAGAGGGGTTGAAACCACCAACCAGGTTTTTATGGCAATTCCATGGTATGAGGTTGAAGATGGAACTGCATCGCTTGGTGCTAACACCGCTCTGTCCGCTTGGAAAGCTTCGATGCTTTTCTGTTGTGACTGCAGAGTGGACTGCAGAGAGTGCAGGACCGATGATAAGTTGGAACTGCCACCGTCTGCACTGGAGGACATAACCAAGAAAACGTGGGCAAAGGTGGTGAAGACAGATTACCCATGACGGATCCATGGTGCTGCTATATATGGTGTGCCATGGATCCCATCAATATACCCCCTTTATGTTAGCATATATATATATACCATACATGGATCCTATGGGTTATGTTATTGTCAAACTGTGAAGTTGGTCAAGCTTGTGATCCTTGTCAGCATCGCTTATGATGTTTTATGAGATTACCACACTTGCGCATACTATCAACTCTTAGACAAAACAAAAAGGAAATGTGTGAATCTACATTCCAACCCATGAATGCCCACCTGTCCCTACTAAGAAGTTTGACTATGAATCACAACACCCTTCACACTGCGGACGCTTGCTTCGTAGCCGTCGGCTCGGAGAAGCCTGAAATATGTGGGTTCCGGTGAAGATGTTCCCTTCAACCAGTTCATTGATGATTAGAGGTTGGGGTTTAGGTAACTTCACCCGCTGAGTGTTACCCACTCTAAACTTCATCATATTTTATCATCCATCTGAACAAGTGCATGATGTTTGGGCCATTCGCTTCAATGTCACTTTATTTGGGTATTGGTGTCAACAACCCAAGATGATGATCCCAGTTGAGTTTCATGTATACAAAACAATACTAGTTGACACCATCTCATGGAAACAATAAACGGTTATCACATGTTATTTTATATGTTATTCTGGATGTTAGATGTTTTTAGATCCCCACATCAGTTGCTGTGTTTGTTATCTCCACTTTTTCCCCGCGAAAAAACCATGGCCCTGGCGCAATGCCGGGCGCTTCACCGAGCGAATGCGCGATTGGCAACGCCCAAAGCTTGGCGCTTGCGCGGACGGCGCGGAAACAGTGCAGGACTGGTGGTGGAAAGTGCGCTGGGGATGTGGTAACAATGGGTGTGAAATCCCAGGAAAAACACATGTTTCGGAGCTAATATGCAGATACATAATTAATTATCAATATTAATGGCAACATCGGATTAATCAACCCCCCCCCTGGTAGGTCAGTCGGGCCTTCTGGCTAGTTTTCTTGATCACCCCTTAATAATAAGCAACTCTGAACCATAAAACTTTGGATATGGTTTACGTCAATTAGATCTTAATAGAATTCCATTGGATTTGTTAAAATCTCATGGATCAGAAAAGTGGTTGATTAATCAGGGGCAAACCGTGGTTATTATTAATGGGGGACATGGGCTCATGGGGGGTACCCTTTGGGAGCTATCCAAACTGATGATTTTTATCAAGATTTTAATTAGAAATCGATCATTTGGGGAATAGTTGTTTTTTGAATTTTTCAATGATCAACTTAAACCTTAAGTATAACAATTTTGATAAAAAAGAAAAAAATGTACAAAACAATTGGACATAAGTAGAATTGGAAATAAATAGAATTGGAAATAAAAAGTCTTGGATAAAAAAATTGATTTCAGCACAGGGGGTTGATTAATCATGTCCCAGCCAAACGGTTTATGAATCCTGGGGGACCACCTCTTTTTAAATTACAAAAAAAAAATTGGGCAGAGGGGGTTGATTAATACCGCGGGGATTATTAATCCTAACTTGACATTACCAGATTTGGGCAATCTCACTACAGATGCTGGCTGGCAGGGAAACGTATCCAAACGTTGCCGATTTTGGCATCGGGTGTATCAACAGATGTTGTAACGATTGTAACGAGTATTATCCAGCAAGGTCTTAGACAGGGAATGTACATTTGGATTGAACAGAAATAGCTGATTTGAGCATCAGATAACATCAGTAATTGGTGGTTTCAAACATTGTTTATTTTTCCATATACTGGGAATAATCATCCCAACTGACTAATATGTTTCATAGGGGTTGAAACCACCAACCAGAATCAGTATGTACTCCGAAGTCCCATGGTATCCCGAAATCCCAGGAGCTCCTCTCGTCTTGGCCGTGCACGGCGGAGCATGGTCCATCCCAGATGACAAGAAGGCGGGTGTGTTTTTTTTTTCGTAGTTCAATCCATAATGTTTTTTTCATCAACATCATTTTCCAACATTGGTGTTTTTTTTCATCAACATCATTTTCCAAGTTCTCTTCAACCCTTATGCATCCTTATGCTGATTTGCACGTATGTTCTGTTTGCTTTCGTGGATTTAGAGTGACATGGGCAACTCAACATGGATGTCAATCAATAGAACATACCTTAAATTTGTGAAATTTGTGAAATCACCACACAGATTTACTAATGGATTTTCCAAATTGAGTTTTTTACTAATGGATTTTTACTAATAAATTTACATGGATTTTCACCACACAGATTTACTCTTTCCCAACAGGGATCTTCCCATGGATTCCCCATGGATTTGACCAAAAACCCCGCAGGACGCGAACCTGTCGGCCTGCCGACGCGCAGCGGCGGAAGGCTACCGACTGCTGAAAGGAGGCGGTTTGTCGCTTCAGCGGAAACCATGGCGAAATCCCCATGATGGTTAGTGAGTATATATGGTTCATATAATCTAATGGTTAAGAAAAAATGGTGTGTATAGATGCTTAATGATGGTGTCTCAGTAAAATCCCTATTAGATTATATGGTTTCATGTTGGTTAAATGTATTCTAATGATGTTTAATAGTGAGTATATATTGGTAATGTTGGTAAAACAAAGCTATTTTTACCATCCCCAATGACCCATCATTTTATAGGTTGTATAAACCATTCCCAGTCATGGGTGGTTTATGATTGTTTTAACCACATTGGGATTCCTATGGTTTCCTCTTATTTGTCCTTTAAACCAATCCAGTGATATGATGGTGAGTATTGGTTAGTAAGGGGAAGTATTTCCAAACAGAAAGTCGAACTGACATAAGGTTAGTGAATTATGACATTGACCCAGAGGTCAAGTATGAGGTCAAGATCATGTACAGAACTGTGTGGAGATTGACTTGCTACATCTTTCTATATTTCGACAGTTTGGTACGGGTCACTGTGGTTTGAGTAGCACCCTCTTGGAGTGCGCGGTTGCCCTCTGCCCTTGATCAACTATGCAAACTTGGGCTCATTTTCATCCCAGTCAGTCTCTAAGGGAAGCGAAAACACCAAGTAAACCTCAGGTGTTGCTAGTTCTATTCCCAGTTTCTTACAGGATCGGTTAGGAATTGGGGTCCATGATATTCCTGCTCAATCTGGGGCCTGTTTTACCAATCTAACTATGGATATCCACCATAGACATCCATAGACCATGATAATTTTGCCTTGATATAAACCAACTTACCTATTTACACCACCAAAAGATGTTTGGTTAGTTATATTGCTTAAAATCATGTAACATCTGGTTGGTGGTTTGGAACATGGCTGGATTATGACTTTCCATATATTGGGAATGTCATCATCCCAACTGACGTTCACGAAGTCATAATTTTTCAGAGGGGTGGCTCAACCACCAACCAGATCACCAATTAACATCATTTAACTGTATGTTCATTCTATATTTAACAGTCTACACATGGCCTTGCCGTCCACCTCGCTCAGGTGGACGGTCCCTTGTCATCCCATGTGATGCTGGAACTGGGAACTTCAGCCAGATATTTAGGGGTCATACAGCCAGATATGGTTTTAATGACAAGATAAATATGTCATAAATATGACATAAATAGATGTTTTATCATATTAACTTCAGCCTTATTCTTATCAGAGGTGAGCGAGTTTTTGGGGGTACCCCTTTTTATGTCAAATTAGCAGAGGGTAAATGTTGATGATCAGAGTATGCACAGCCCTCAGCTGTGCCTAGATCTGCAGTAGAGTGTCACTGCACAAATGCTACAGATCTACAACCAGCAGCCTACTGGGAATTAATGGTGATTTTATGGCATGAAATCACCCGGTTTCTATCCATTTCTAGGGAAACTGCAGAAACCCACACCTAGACCATGACATTTCATGACAGACTCGGAACTCGTGGTGTGGGAATCATGTGGTGGTAGATTGCCGGGGCCCATCCAATCCCATTTAGTTCCAGGGGGGTTCCAATCACATTCGAAAGCGACATCCTTGGATCACATCCAATCCCATTCTACGCAACACCTACCCTTTGGTGAACGGAAAGTCACCGGTAAGTCATCGAACCAAATGGGCCGGCCATACCATTGCAAACTGGCAGTACCAGAGGGTATCAACCCCATTTTTGCTGCTTAATGTTGCGTCCTGATTAGTGTGTGGCCCCCCCCCCCAAAACTATTTCTGGACTCTCTTTAAAGTAGAAAGTCAAAAATTTTCTTCCCAAAAGAAAAACATATCCTCAATTAAGTAAGGATTTCAATTGGCTACAATTGAAATCTAATTACTATTGTTTTTTTTGCCGATGAAGTTGTGGTATTTGTAGTACTTGTAGTACTTGTAGTACTTGTAGTACTTGTAGTACATGTAGTACATGTAGTACATGTAGTACTTGTAGTACTTGTAGTACTTGTAGTACTTGTAGTACTTGTAGTACTTGTAGTACTTGTAGTACTTGTAGTACTTGTAGTACTTGTAGTACTTGTAGTACTTGTAGTACTTGTAGTACTTGTAGTACTTGTAGTACATGTAGTACTTGTAGTACTTGCAGTACTTGTAGTACTTGCAGTACTTGTAGTACTTGTAGTACTTGTAGTACTTGTAGTACTTGTAGTACTTGTAGTACTTGTAGTACTTGTAGTACTTGTAGTACTTGTAGTACTTGTAGTACTTGTAGTACTTGTAGTACTTGTAGTACTTGTAGTATTTGTAGTACATGTAGTACTTGTAGTACTTGTAGTACTTGTAGTAAGGGTTTAATAAGGGATTGGCTCCTTTGGGAAAGGCTTGGAGTTTGAATTTGGCTTGCTTTGGAAAAGGCTGCTTCTCTTCTGGGCACAGCTTGCTGCAATAGTGAACCCAGCAAACAAACCTATTAAAGTGAAATGGAGCCTCTCCTGGTCCAGGGCCTTGGAAAATTGTGGAAAAGCTGTTCTTTAATAAGGGTTTAATAAGGGATTGGTTCTTTTGGGAAAGGCTTGCAGTTTGAATTTGGCAATTTTGGAAATGGCTTGCTTCCCTTCTTCAGGGGCTGCTCTGGCACAGCTTGCTGCAATAGTGAACCCAGCAAACAAACCTACTCAGATAGAGATGCATTTACAGGCTCAGATAGGGAGATGAGCAAAAAATTGACTGAGCTACAGCGTTTTTGAGAAAAATGCCTCTCAGCAATTACAGTATTTTTTGCAAAAAAAAGGGCTCTCCCAATTTTGTTTTGCCACAAAAGCGAACCCTCCAAACAATACATGAGTTTCAGAATAATTTGGAAAAATTTGCCACAATAGCGACCCTAGGTACTAATCAAGACTCAACATTAATGTTTCGTAAATCCCATTGAATCATATTAAATCCATTTGAATTCTAAATACATTTCACTAAATACATAGAATTCCATACATAACCATAGAATTCCACTAAATCCTTATAGTTGATGGCAAAATCTCTATAGGGGTTACCAACAAAAATCCAGCCTCAGGGCCTTAGACGCTGTTGAACTGGCAGTCGCTGGGCCTGATGGGGGAGACGGTAACCTCAAGAATTGTTCTGCTTAAATCATAGACAATTACAATGACCTCACTCTGATTTAGTAATTGTCTGATTCCCTATTCCAGAGAGGTCAGAGTGAGGTCACCCCTATCAGAATAATTATAGGCTTACAATTACAAACATTTTTTTTTACCTCTCTGGAATTATTAAAAAAATAGCCAGATTGTGGTTTTTCTACTGGTTTATTACTCTTGGAGATGTGAAGGAACAAACATGCAGAGCCTTTTTTGTTTTTTTTGACTCAAGCAAAATGTAAAGACTTAGAAATATCTCCTAAATGATACAGGAACTGATGGTGACTGTATGGTGATACTGATTCATGAACTGGGGGCACCTGGCTCGTGCGGAGTATGATCCATTTGAACCATTAGTCCTCGGGGTGTAACCAAAGAACATTGTGGGGAAAAAAAGCCAACAATCATTGGCTGGTCAATATTTGGCTGGTGGTCTCAGTGTATATCACTGGTTGAAACATACCTCAATGGATTGATTAAAAGGAAATTCTACAGGAAACCATTGATGTTCCCATGAAAATAATGTGGTTTCCTGTAGGTTTCCCCATAAATAAAAATCCATGGCAACCCAATATGGGGCAGACCTGTTCATGTAGGTGAGTATACCAGCAGTATGGATGGTATGGGTACAAGTCAGTGCCATTGCTTCTTGGTGTGTTGAAATCGTTTATCTCATATGTTTTGTAGGCAAAATGTAATCTCTCACATGTTTCCAGACATGTTCCAATTGTTGTATTTTTTCGGTGGAATCCGGATGCTTATAGGTCTCAATCTGTCTGAAATGTTCTTGTTGCAGGTGAAAAAAACGGCAAGTTCTAGGTCAAATGTTCTAGAAAGTCACCATTCTCTGGTTGGTGGTTTGGAACATTTGTTATTTTTCCATATATTTGCAAGAATCATCCCAACTGACTTTCATATTTTTCAGAGGGGCGGCTCAACCACCAACCAGTTCTTGTTTTTCCACAAAGCACTGTCAGTCGATCACGAAGATCACCAGGAGATCACCAGGAGATCACCATTCTCAAATGCTCAAACTGCTCATTGCCATGCTGGTTGGTGGTTTGGAACATGGCTGGATTATGTTCCATTTCATATATGGGATGTCATCCGCCAACCATTGACGAGTTGTCCATCATTTTTCAAGATGGTGTGTTTGCACCACCAACCAGTTCCCAGATATTCCCATAGATATTCCCATATTTACCCACATATTTCCATAGATATTTCCATATATATATATATATTCCCATATAGCTATCCATACATATTCACATATGTTTCAAGATGGTTATTGCACCACCAACCAGCATGGCCATGGCACCAAAATCTTGGTCCAAAACTGGAGGTGCGGATTCTGGAGGATGATCCTTCCTTGAACGCCGGACGAGGCGACCATGGGATTTTCGAAGCACATGGCCACGGGAAACCATGGGGAAATCATGGGGAAATGACGGGAAAACCATGAAACATCTGATTTTTTTAGGCAACCAAAAAACAGCATCTTTTTTCGCTGTTCTCTATTTTAGAATGGTTTATGAATGCCGCTTGATACCACTTTGGAATGGTTTTGAATCTGGCAACGCGGATTCGACCAAGCAACTTCGGAGCTTTTGAGCTGAAGATTTGACCAACACGAAGATTTCACAAAGAAGAACCATTGTTTTATGGGTTTACCATGAATTTGACTTTGGTAAAGAGAGAAAGGGTTGTACTTTAAAGGTATTCTTCAAACGAAACCAACAATTTATGGACATACAGATACAGATATGTTATAATTCAAGCAAGAAAACGGTGCGAATAGTGTTTTACCATGTTTTACCATTTGTCATGGGGATGTAAGCCGCAGTCCATATAGAATCATGTAATTACAGTATTTGTGGCTTCCATACCTGTGGTTTCCATCACAAGGAAGGGTTGAAGCCCCATCTAAACTGTCGAAAGATTGGATACTGTCTAGTTGTTGCGGTTTTACTGAGTTTTACTATTGTTCATTGAACATTTACATACATTTGCTATTTACATGGATGAATCAATGTTGATCAACAGGCCCTTTTGACCCCTTTTGTAAAGGTGTTGCGGGGCATCGAGGGGTCACCAAGTGTTTCCCCCTTGTATGGGGCGTTGGGGAGGCGCCCTGTTTCCGGGGTTTTCCAAGAAGCTTTTGACAACAAATGACAACAAAAACCCATATGCATCATGGATCACACAGACTGGTCTTGCAACCAACAGGGTCGTGGATTTCTTTACGGGGATTGGATCAAGAAAAACATCTGCGGCTTCACCCAGGACCCTGACTGGCTTCGCGGCTGGTGCTCCAGCGGCTGTACATCAAATCCATGTTCATCCCCGAGTTGGTTTGATCCGATGGTTTTCATACGCAGTGCGTATGATCTCTAGAAAGAGTTAAGTCAATATTTGTTGCAGCCAGATGTGCAGCTTAGCAGTGCTACCTCTCTCCCCAATCCTAATGTTCCTCGCAACCCTGGCTTCTAAAAATCAGTGATGGATATACCTGTTTGAACTAAGATCTAATAACATGTCAGAATCATAACAAAACACATACAAGGAGATCACAAAGGATAATATCGAGCACCAAGGAGAGCTTCTTGAAAAACAAAGCTGGTGTCCCATAGGAGCATCATTTGCTGGTTGTTGGTTTCAATGTTTGTTTATGTCCATCCTATTTGGGATGACGATCCACTTGTTGTTTCTTTTTCCTCGATGGATGTGATAGGGCCACCAATGCCACCAGAAAGGTTGGTATTGGACGTGTCGATGGATTTCCGTCGTGGTTTCAGCAACCTCACAGATGGATGATGGAACACCATGTCCAGTGCCGCCCAGGAACAATGAATGGTCATGAAGCGAAGCCGACATGATATTCCCACTCGCTGCAGTACAAACATCTAAAAGCATCAGGCATGCCATGCCGCAAACATTCACATGAAAAACGATGGAGCCATATGCAGACACAGCTGATGTTTCTTCCGGCGCCGGGTAGTCCTGCGCCTTATTGCGTTAGGAAACGTGTCACCCCAAAAAAAGCGAACCGGCAGCAACAGCGCGAAAGGGATAACGCGGCAGCCGTTCCGTGCGAATGCCCACATTCTTTTCACTGAAAAGCAGGTTGTTCCTTGAATGCTGACGGGAACGCCGAGTTGGACGCGATGATCATGGAGGGCTCTTCGTTGCGAGCTGGTGCTGTGGCAGGCAGCTGCACAAAGATTCACATTTGCCATCGCGGAGACAGCTGCAACTGGAAAACTGAAAAATACACAGTTTACTTTGTGACGTGGTGCCCTGATTTGAGAATGATTTTTTTTGTGACTGTTGCCACTTGAACATGTGCACTTCCAAGATCCCCAGAGACGTGTGATGCACAACTGCATGTCCAAATCGAACCACCCAGAACATGATTCCCATGCTGCAATGGTAAAAAGCATGCGTCGCTCCAGTCACTGCCCAGGGGTGGCGGTGCAACACCCGATTTCGCTGTCGCGGTTGGTCATGGAGCGGACCATGTGATTTTAGCGGGTGAAGGTGGGAAACGGGTGATGTTGTTGGTGCAGCGACAACTGGGATTCAACTAGCTTTAGAAAATTCAGGTTGAAAAGAACGTGAAAAACCGAAACGGCCATTGGCGCAGTGATTTCCAGTGCCAAACAGGACATATATAATTCGTTGGGGTTTTAGGCTTTTGATCATGAATCCTTTTCACGAAGTTTTCTGTTTGTTTGTTTGTTACATGGGAACGACAATGATTGACACCCAAGGCCCAAGGCCAAAGGCTGTGGCTGGAACACCATAATGTTCCCCAACTAAAACCGTAAAAATTCCCTTCCACTGTATGACATGTCACGCACAAGAGTCTGCAGGAGATTGATTTCCACGATTTTCAATTGGTTGGAACCCTGTTTTCTCTTAGCAAAGCAAGGGGGTGCCAACCCAAATGGCAGTTTGGTTAAAGATTTGGAGGGTCAACCATATCGGCCCATCCTCATTTATGTGTTTTTCCCGAACTCGTCAACGTGGATTATCCAACATATATTTGTTTGTAACTCTAGATGAACATTTGCATTAATCAACATCCATGAGTTACCCATGAAGCAAAAATCAGTTTGAATATATTCATAAAATTTCGATGTAAAAATGATATTCATTGATATTCCCGTAGGGTTTTTCTGATGGTTTGCTGAATTATTTATGATATACTATGATTTGATATTCCATTTACCCTCTGGTTATTTTATATAGCCATGGAAAATTGCCCATTTATAGATTGTTTACCTATAAAAAAATGGTGATTTTCCATAGCAAACTGTTAGTTTACCAGATGGTAATTTAACATAGCTATTGAAAATTGCTATAGAAATAGTTGATTTACCGACGAAAAATTGTGAATTTCCATAGTTATGCATTTTTTTACCAGAGGGTATGCTGATCCATTTGTTTTACCGATGGTCCCCCCAGGCGCCATGGCCTTTGCCCGCACCATGGGCGCTGCGGAAACTGAGGAGCTGGTGACGTTGGAAGCGCTGGAGGCCGGCTGGAGGGGGTTGTCCGTGGTGACCTAGATTGGACAAACTGGGATCACTCAATATCGTTACTGATGTTTTTAGTGCAAATAATTAGTGGTACGCATAAAAAAATGTGGAGTCAAACCCATAAGTTGTTCTTGATTGTCCAGGGATATCATCAAGTATTTTCCTAATGAGTGTACAAAATCTGAGTGACCGGTCCCCACAAATTATGGTTGGCCCGGGAATCCTCTAGTCGAAGGGTCAGTTGCCCCATATTGGAAGATGTTCAGCGGGGGTCGCAAATTTGAAATCCTGTTGGATTTGCAAAAATATTGAAAACTATCGGCCCGAAACAAATCGTCCTTATGTTCTAATTAATGTGGTTGTTCTATTTTGTTCCTACCAGTGCTGGCTCATCAAACATGTTATCATTGTTCCACCTAACACATCAATATGTGTATTATTTTTACACGTTATTACTACTTTATACTTGCTTCCGTGTGACAGTCAATGTCCATTCATCGCCTTTGCCTTGCGGCCTCACGCCTTCTACTGCAATCCTCATTTGTCAGTCTGGAGCCTCAGAAGCTTTGCGTCTTTGCAGACTTCACTTCAGAACTTCAGAGGCTTCCGAAATGGTTGTTTGCACACTTGCCGGATACTTGGAACATTTGAAATACTGGCTCATGGAAAAATGGCTCAAGTTTTGGCAATAGGCAATCAAAGGATTCTTCACTGTGACATCTTTGACCGTAGCAGCAATGGGGCCTGTGGATTCCATTGGCTATGGGAAACTTTTTTTCATCTGGGCATGTGGAACAACGGATTTTGTGACCGACATTTTCTTCTTGGTCGATAGCATCAAGACCCACTTTGCATTTACCCACATGTGCGCCGTCTGCGGAGAGATTGAAGAATCGGAGCTGTTGGGACACCTTTTTTCGCTATAGCTTGCATTTTTGGTTTGATCATTGTTGTCCTCCTTCACTTATGGAAATTGATGGGAACCTTTCTCTTTATGACTGATGACCACTCCGACGTTAGCTTTTCAGGCGTGACCTTGGCAAACAGCCCAGGGTTGTTTTTCATCTTCTGCTGTCGTCCAACGAAGCTTGATGACTTTGTGGGCTTCATCCAAGACTCCCACCCTTGGAACCCGAGGATGTTAGTGGATATGGCTTTTGAGGACATACCATCACTAGTCCTCAACTCTGTGGACATGTTCAAGTTTGGCAACGGTGGCGTCTTGAATTGGCTCTCGTTTCTGGCCTCGATCGCCCACATCCTCGTGTGCTGGTGGCTGCTTCGCAGCCGCGACACCGCGGGCCATGCCAAATCACCAAAGGCCGCGCGGTGGGTGGAAGATGGAGTCTCAGCCATGAATTCCGTCCTGGGAGTTGCTGAAGCTGGAGGTTGATGTTCTTTGATGCCTCTACAGCCAATTCATTGCATGGATGTACGGTTACGCTCATGAGTGTCAAGATGAATATAGTTATCCCTGATTCCAACCCTTGTGCAGCTGGGAAGTTCTGGAAGATGGGCCACTGAGCAGTTGACCAGTGCATTGGAGGAACATATCCTCGCAATATCTTCATTCTTGCCGCACTGACTAGGAGCTGCACGAAGAGCAATGCACGAAGCGTAAAAAGCATTCTTGACACCCCTTGGCAGCAGTTGACACTACGTCACAGCACTTGACACCATTTGACACCACTTGACACCCCTAAACGTTTTGAGGCTTTTGAGGTCAGTAAGACATCATTGACAGTGTCGAGCAGAAGGTCCAACCGGTGTCTGGAACAACGTCTCGACCTTGTCAATCGATCTTTAGAGCTTGGCATTTGACAACAGTTTCACTCAAAGTTTTTAAAGCATGACTCTTCTCAGCAATCTTAAAAACCAGAACCTTTGGTGTAATGTCACACCATCTTACTCCTGAATATTTTGGGATACTATTGAGATGGTGGAATCATAAAAGAAAACACCATTCTACTATTTTGGGGGCTTTCTATCCTGTATATCATCCATCAATCTTGGGATCCACTTGCGAAAATATAACCCATAATAATTTGACTGTCCCTTACACATCTACCATCCATTTTTGCGCTCTTTTTGGTATCAAGAACAGGATTGTGGGAGATTTTGTGTATGGTATTTGTTTGGGGTGGTTGTCCTCAATCGTCTTGTGGATACAAGTGGTGTGCGATTGAGTATGGATGGGGCAACGCACGCCAAACTACAAGAAACTCACAGCTTTGGTTGCTGTCCAAGACGAATCTGAACGATTGGTGGAACAGTAAGCACCAAATCTTAAAATATTGATGCATATCCGAAGCAGAATCTTTGTGTTTTTTGATTAACAATGTCAGCTGCATTTGTGGTTATGTGGTGTTGTTTGAAAACAGACGACATTGGGATATACAATGATATACACCAGTATAATTTGAGCATATTTCCAATATCATGGGCGGGTCGGAACACTAAACAGGAGACTTATATAGGAGGCAAGCAATGTGCACAAAATAAACCTGTTTCTTTCTTTAACCCGCCAAATTATGATGTGAGTAGACTACCCATGGCCTTTAATGGTTTCAATTTCGAAGCCATTGTGATGACGCCACGTCCACATGGTTGACAGGAATGGAAATGCTGGCGGGAATACCGTGAAAATGTCTCTTCCTTCTTTGCTGGGCGCAGGCAAACCCTGGTGTGGAGGTTGATGGGTTGCTATCAACCAGCTGGTAGATGATTTTTTGTTGCAGGATATCCAAGATTGGCAGTGCATTCTGGGCGACAGAACGGCTGCTTATTTGTGGAACCACACAGGTTTGGCTGATCACAGAGCTGAGATTTGGTGCTGGTCACCCAGTGGATCTCGCACCGCACATGTGTTTAACGCATGTTGTTTCATTTGCATGCTACCTTCTGGTTATTTAGCATAGCCATGGCCATTTATAGATGATTTTCCCAGCTAGAAACCCCCATTTATAAGGGATTTTCCATGGCTATGTTAAATAACCATATGGTAGACTTTTCTTGTCTTGAGGATTGGACTTCAATTCAAATTCGTAAGCTAGAAGCAGCTAGAAGAGGAACTGTTTGTCTTTCCACAACACTGAACACACTACAAGGAACACATTCAACAAGCAGTCTTTCTTCTGATGCAACGGGTTTATTTTTTTCTTGCCCACAAAGTTGGGGACGTGAAGGTAGAATATGAAAACAGTCAGTTGCTTCATTTTCTGGATATGAAACCATCTGAATGCCGAGGTTGAAGACTCACCTTCTGACATGTTTGTGTTTTGGTTGACACTGGTGATCCTGCAAGCAATGACTTTCCCGCGTTTCTCACATCAAAACAGCGTCATCAGTGGTATGTATTTGCATACCAATACCTGCTTACCTCCTTCATGTCTGCATCATGTCCGCGGTTTTGTCCGCCATGTTTGTTGCATCGATCCGCCACTGAAATCCCGAATTTGTTGCGTTGGTTCTCACATTTTGAGGGTGATCTCCCGTTTTCGCTGGTGATATCGTTTTTGTTGTTGCTCAAGCCGTGCATATTAGATTTCTTTGGTTGACTCTTCATAATGGTTTGCTTTGCAAACCAATTTTTTGCTGAACAAAAGAAAACTCGTTCGCTGTTCAAATTATTTTTCCCCCTTGGAACTCCCCGGATGCTGACCTTTTTTCTCCCCCGTTTTCTCTCCATCCGTGCCTTGCAGTGTACCTGGTGACACCGTCGGGGCTGTTGCCTTAGACGCTGCGGGAGACGTGGCGTGCGGTACCAGCACCGGGGGCATCGTTGGGAAGCGCCCGGGGAGAGCGCCTTGGCCGATGCCGCTGTGGCGGGGCGGTTTCCTACAATGGGGGTACTTCCAAATCATCCATCTGAAATGGGATTGATTGGGATTGTCCATTATAACCCATCCATTTTGGGGTAACATTTTAGGAAAACCTCCATGTTACCATAGATGGGTAAAAATAACATACCCAAATTCTAGATTTATTGTTGGGTTTAGCATAATTATCAGGCGACGCGCAAGCCTCACACAACTTAAGCAGATCCCATGAGTGGGTTAAAGCGAGGGTAGTAATCACCTTCTACAACTGGGATGCGCCCCAAAGTATCTGATTAAGCATCTCGGAGGGCAAACTATCTCCGATTATACATCCCAGTTATAGTTACTATCCTAGTCTCTTTCTAGCACTGGTAAACAAAAAACATTGTGATTGAAAGATACTTATCGGAAAAAGACATTTGTTTTTGCTACCAGTTTATGGCGATATGTCATACCTTTATATAAAGCCTTTTAAAGGGTTTTATCATGATGCAGCCATACAAAACCATATAACAACCATATCATACCCGAACTTTTTTCGGATCTACTCGTAATTCTCCGGAGGTATAATGGGATGCAGTAGGATATAATGAGGTACTCCCTCAGTAAGCAGGTAGTAGCTATATCAAATATCCTAGTGATATGTGTAAATTCAATATAACCCAGTTCAAGTCAGCATATGTTTATTGGGAGTTTGATGGTTTTAGGGTACGCTAGGGAGGTGGTGGTTTCAGCCACATTTATGTAGCTGGAACGATGATTGTTTCATGGTGCTTAAACAAAGGTGGCGTTGTTGAATGGGTTGTAAACGGGCTTGAAATATAAGTCATTGTTTTCCGTGTGTAGTATACGTCGTTGTTTTTTGTGTTTGAATTTAGCACATTGGCGGGCACTTGTTTGCGCGATGCCTTGAGGGTGGGAAAACATGCCATTTCACCATGAAAGGTTGTGATTCAATATGATCTCAACATATTTAAACATGTAAGATAGATAGACGTCGATCGAGAGAAAAACAAACGTGCAATGTGAGAGTTCTGAAAGAAGATATAGAACATATTCACCAATAATTTACACATATTAGGCTCACCAGAAAAGCGATGACATTCCGCCAAGCAATTTTGATGGATTTTAGTGTACCATCGAGGTTTTACTTCCCTATCTGACTACGTGAAAAGGTTTCTGAAACGGAAATTGTGTCATGTTCACCCACAAAAGATGAGGATATATATCTGAATGATACAAAACAATAAAGTAGGGAATCTGATGACTTCAATACAATGGGAAAGATGATCAGTGATATATTTGGGATGCAACCAACCATCATGGGAGCATTAAAACCAACCTTGACCAGGGGCACCCGGAAATGATGTGATCGATGCAAGGGTAGACAGACCAGTGATTTTGGGGATTTTTAGAGTAGACGTATCAACGCCTGTGGTGCGAACTGATGGTGGCTCTGCACAAAAAGATGCGATGTTCAAAACATGAGCCATTGACAGTAACACACAAGTTATCAGAAACCATTGCTGGATACCCGTGCCTGGGTTGATAGGGGTTTTGAAATAGCTTTCAGCGCCATGTGGCACGTCTCGGCCATAAATTAGTTGAGTAACCCGTCTAGCAATAGACAATAAGCCATAGTAAACCTGTGGTTTTAAACCAGCTCATCTAGACCTGGTTAAATCCCAGTGTCCTTGGTTGAATCACCATTCCTGTTACTTCAACCTCCATTTCTGTGGAACCAGCCGCGTGCGCGTTAAACGGAGGTGGGTGACTCACCCCTGGTGGGCTGTGGTGGCTATGCCAACCGCTACGGCGCGGTGTCGGCCACCGGGCATGGCGAGGCCAATCTGGGTGGTGGAGGGGAGTTTTCCATCGAGTTTTTGTTGGTTTCCGGTTATCAGATTCAGAAGTTGAGGAATCACCAACACACTGAGGAACATATCAAGAACTTTAAGAACTTATAGATCTTATAGGATATTGATCATATAAAATCCAGTTTTGTTGCAGCAGCGTATGGGAGTCCGATATTACTAGCCATGTTAAGGCAGGTTTTCTGGGCCAGGCAACTACTGAATGCGTGGTTTATCAATGTCTTGTTGAAAGGCATTTCGATGGAAGAATATTGAATATTCATTGAATATTCTTGATTGAATGATTAATTTGATTAGTTTGATTGGTTGATTGATTGATAGCTAGGTAGATAGATAAATGATAGATGTTGTTTTGAAAGAGCATCTGTACAGTGAAGGGGATCCGGATATTGGACACCTTGGATCGGCAGCCAGCGCTTGCCCGTGACCAGGCCATCACGAGAGTGACCTTGTCACGCTTGGCGCTGATGCGATTGGCGCCAACCTCAACGGTTTCGCTTGGAGATTGGCGAAGGGGTCAGCTGCTCCTGGCACAAGATCTCAAAGAATAATATAAGATCATTAATGGGAATATATATATATATAATATAGAACCAGTGATAGGAGGTGCATATGTATATATGTACTGTATATAAATATATATATATATATATTTATTTTCTTATATTATACATTTTAATTTATATATGCGCTAAATTGTGCTTACATATTTTGGTTCGTGGGTTTCATCTAGCAGTATGATCCCAAGTGGCTCGATTTTGCGGCGTCAAAGCCAGCCCAGCTCAACGGGTAGGATGTGGTCACCGGACCTCTGAGGAGCTCGTAGAGAAGGACTCTGTCTCCGGCGCCGTGGCTCGGTGCCAGTGCGTTGTTCCATATGACGTGGTTCCCCCCCTAAGTTGGCTTATGACACTGACTACCATAACTAGGGTGTATGCTCGAGATAATTTACAAGCCAACTTTTAATAGAGAGGCACAATATTTAATATGGTGTCATCAGGGTTGTTGCATTTTGTTTGCGTTCCTTCAAACTATCGCTGTCACTGGTCCATTGAAAAAAAAACAACCGTTCAATTCTTGGATTATTTTGCATCTTAGCCACGAACAACCACTAATTTGAGCAAATTTGACTATTTACAGGAACATTTCCTGTAGTTTTCCGGACCTTTGGTCTTTGTTGTATGAGTGCGCCCGCAGTGATGTGTGTTTTGCTGGGAATAAGCTTCTAAATCCAAACAAATCATCCCCAAAGCTGGCATAGGTCATCAAACAAGGCAATGAAAAATCAACCACTAGTAGATCAGATATTTCTGTTATATGTAAACATATATAATTGCCACCTGCGGGGGATTTCCCATGTCGCATATATATATATATGTTCTTCCAATCTCCAAGGACGGGATCCCCTCAACTGGCCTCTTTTTCCTTGACCGAAAGAGGCCTTTGGCACGACACCCACCCGCAGCAAGTGCTGCTGGGCGGCGAATGGGGCGCTGGAGGAAATGGCTGCGGCGCCACAGTCAGGATCAGGCGAAAGGGGGCAACGGGGTGACCCAGCAACACCTCGCCAGGTGTGGAGTTGTTGAGATGCAATAAATGATAGCTGGCTGGTGGTTTGGAACATTTTTTATTTTTCTTATTCCCAACTGACTAATAACTATTTTTCAGAGGGGTTGAAACCACCAACCAGAAAGGCATCTTAGGTATGTTGATGTATTTTGTTTCCTGTACTCCATTTACTGACACAACTAGCACGGTAGAACTATGTGGATGAATTAGGCATATTGACTTTTGGTGTTTTGTTCTTTGGTTCAAAATATGAAGGGATATTTCATTTGGATGATTGATAGATGTGCATGGCATGGCATGGCAAGCATAAATTGGTTTTCAATGGGCCCTCAGGTGGCGATTTCGACGGAAAAGACCTCCGAATTGTTCGCCATTTGGGCATCCGTCGGTTGGTCTTTGCATTGTATACCTGGAACTCCTCTGGCCTAAATGGATTAAGGGGATGATCATGGTTACAGCATGCATAGATTTTCTGGTGGGTGGTTTGGCACATGAAATTTATTTTCCTTATATTGGGAATAATAATCCCAACTGACTAACATTTTTTCAGAGGGGTTGACACCACCAACCAGGCATGCATCTAATTTGTTTACCATTATTTTTGAAACCAAAACCCAGTGGAATCATGATTTCGAGTTTCAGTCTTCAAGTGGATGTAACTGAAAATAGTGTATGCCAAAATTTGACGCCTAAGTAATCACAACGTTACCAATGTTTGGGGGTATATAGAATAATCATATACCCCATTCTCAAAGAGGTCCCAAATAATATCAGTAATAGATAGATAGATAGATAGATAGATAGATAGATAGATATATTGACGCCTAAGTAATCACAATGTTGCCAATTTTGGGGGTATATAGTATATACATATACCCCATTCTCAAAGACGTCCCAAATATCAGTAATATATATATATATATATTTCAGTAATATATATATATATGTTTATGTATATAGCGAACATGCTCCAAATATTTACTCCCATTATAATCATACTTCAAAATTGGATATCCCACACCCCTCCGGAAATCAAACATAGCCATGGAAAATCCCCCGTTGATACATGATCTTCCCAGCTATAAACCTCCATTTATAAAGGGTTTCCCATTACCATGTTTGGTTACCAGAGGGTAACTCCCATTAAATATCCCACGAAGTTTCCATTATTATCATCAATTCACCATTATTAACCACTATTTCCCTATTAAATCACCGTTAAATCCGCATTGGTTCACATTCAATTCCTTTTTTATGGATACCGCGCTTGACGTAACAGCACCAGGCGGGCTTCTCCTCCTCTCGCGACTGGGCGAAGTAGCTGTGAGTTTCACCACGAAGCGCATGGTTTGGGCCTCTATGGAAGGCGAGGGCGAGGGCAGTTTGTGGATATTGATATTTTGCAGGTATTGATAAATTTAGCATATATATATAATGATATATATATATATATTATGCAACATGAGGGATGGATATGAAAATATGCAACATGATGCAATATCATATACATATACATGATAGTAGTGGTTATGGTTTATCATCCTTGTTACTACTTTTGGCTCTCTATTATACATGCAGGAACTCAAATTGGAAACATACAAATATGTCATCGAATAAAATAAAATTAATAATAAACAACACATGTTGTAAAGTTTCTGATTCTAGGTGTTTATGCAGTATTTGCGCCTTGGAAAATTGATGATATAATGCCATGTGGTTTGAATGTTTGCTGTCAATTCCATCTGGACAGACATGACTGAATATTATTGATAACCCAGGACAGATGTTCTTAGTTCTCCATCATTAGTTCAATGCTGACAACTTGACCTAATAAGTGCCAAAACATGTGAAACACATAAACCACCTGTTGGTCCCCTATTTTTTTGATCCACGACTAGCAGCTTGGTTGTTTGTCCTGCATGCAGGACATGAAGGCGTTGATGGGGAGCTTCAGAGTGGTATTGATCCTGGGCGAAGCTGTGTTCCTCATGGGGGTCATGCCACGGGAACGTCGTCATGAAGGGGATGAATTTTCATGTGAAATATCAACGGAAATTTTGGGTACATAAGCTATTTGTATTTCAATCGCTGGGTATTTAGGTGGAGAATCGATGAACTTTGACATTGGACCATCCCAGGCCTGTCAAGGCAGAGATTATGATAATTCGGACATCTTGAAGGAACCTCGATGATACACATGGTGATTGATATTCAGAGGTGTGCATGAAAAGATAGGCAGCTATAGGCAGCTAGGTTAACATTGAAAGAAGGATGGGGTGATCCACCCTGATGCGATGTTTTGGTGATTCCATCAATTTCATTTCTTTGAAACTGGGAGATCTTCTACGCAGACTTATGAACAAATCGGACCTTGGGACGGAAACCAGATAATCCAATTACCTGCTCCGGATTGAGACTAGCATTCTACTTTCAAATCCTTGGCAAATCTTGATTACTGTCAAACAAATCATGTGCCCTAATTACTGCCGAGGTGTTCCTTTCATGCTGCAGTTGGAAACACCAAATCCCGGGCATCCAATCCTCGCCGAGGATTGCGGCTACTGGTCCTGTCGCGTCGCGAAAAAAAAACACGGCCCGCTACTGGTCTCTTGGACCAGGTTGCAAAGGCTGCGTGGATTGAAATGCCAGTAAATCGACCATTTCAATAAATCTACCAGTGTCTAGGGGAAGGTAGTAAATCAATGCCAGTAAATCAACCATTTCATCCAGTAAATCAACCTATACCCTGAAATTGCCAGTGTCTAGGGGACGGTAGTCTTCCACCCCTGTTTGGCATCCCATCCTGGGGATAATGACGGAAACAGGATGGCAGGAACGCAAGGTCGAAAAATGGTACGGTTGTTTTTGTGAAAGCCATTATCCATCCATTAATGATACTTGTTTGTTGATGCTCCACAATCGAATCCAGTATATTTGCATAATGGACAATCAAGATTCTAGGGCTAGTATAGTCTGATGATTACTTTGTGCACTATACTCCAGCATAGTAGCTGGAGGAGCCACAGAAAAAGAAGTGCCATGGCTAGAGGAGGTGAGTTGCTATCCAGCAAAAGAAAAAGGTGACGTGTTTGTTTTGCCTGGTAGGCCATGCATTATAAAGAATACAGACTGGATACTGTAATACACAGTATTTGCCATCCAGACATAATAACATATATATATATATATACATATATATATATATATTATTATTATATGTATATACACATACATATATATATACATATATCCAGGAGGAATCTGTTTGAATTATAGAACAATTCTTGATCTAAGATGGTAAACCCGACGTCACCTGCACCATCCTCAGTCGTCATCACCATTTCTGTGCTATGTCTACCATGGTGCAGGAGCTGGAACGTCAGGGTGTCCTGGAGAAGGGTGCCTTGCTGACCTTTGTCCCTTGGCGGATCCAGAGCTTGTTTGGGGTGAACATCATTGAACTGTATGGATAATATATGGAAAACATATATGGAAGATGGAAAATCTATGAAATTTTCATGGAACTTTATATGACAACTATGGAAGCATTATCCTGTTTTCAAGACCGGGCTTTTAGACGGGTTCATTTGTTGTGATGATAAACAGAGTGGAATAGATAGACTCCTCTTGTTGGTGACCTTAACCTTCTCTGGCTGATGGTTTTCACATGTTTTCACACTATCTGTTTAACTTTCCAGCTTGAGAAGGACAACTATAATAAGATGTTTGGTTTCAATGTGTGTTCTGCTTTGGGTCCCTTTATCATGACCCCGATAGACTGGTGTATTTGCCAACCTTCATGGCATGGGTTGAAATCACCGAAGTGGCAAATTGCAAGAACCCCAAAACTTTCATAGTACACAAATCCACATGGTTGGGGTGGGTTTCCTGTGAAGCACATGTGAAATTGGTGGGTTTCCCATTGTTTCAACAAGTGTCCATTCATATCCATTCATATTCCATTGCATCACCATTCTTCATGGCTTTACCATTGGGATTCCACCAAACACCGTATGTTTTTCCCAGGGTTCCCTTGAAAGTTTCACCGAAAAGGGACACCACCGTGCACCACCCAGCGATGCGCCGTTCTCAGGCTGTTTCCTTGACCACCCGCACCGGGGAAGGCGAGGATTTCATGAGGATTTCATGGGGAGAATGGCATAAGAATGATAAAGAAATCCAAACAATATGATGTTTGTGTTGTCCAAAAATGGGGGTATACCTCAGAGAAACATGAGAAAACAATTTCAATAAGAAGGATGATGATAAGCCATTGGGGTTTTAATGTATTATTTTTTGGACACGTCTATTGGAGCGATTAATGAGCTGGGATGGGCAGGCTTGTGGTTGCAGAATCTATGTTTTTTTTTCTGAATTTCTTTGTTTACTTTCTTGGTTGGATTTACCTGAACAGCTTGTGCATTTTTAGATTCGTTGATGCTTTGAAGGATTACACACTAGCTCTTGGCCGTTGAGTTCCATAAACCATATTGTGTAGAAACGTTTGTTTCTTGGTTGTATGCAAGCTACCCTCTGGTAATTTAACGGTTTGCTATTGAAAATGGCCATTTATAGTTGATTTACCCATTAAAAATGGTGATTTTCCATAGTTATGTTAGTTTACCAGAGGGTAGCTGGTGCTTTCAACCAAAGGCTGCTTGAGTATCCCAACAAATGGGTTTGGACAACTACTGATCACCATGACTGTTCATCCCTCCAAAACTGGCCTGCATAGCTGTTGACCCATCCCAGTGAAGAGATTTATTTCTTTGGACATTTCTTCTTTGGTCGGTGGTTTCAAACTGTTTCAAGTACCTTTATCTTCATCTGTTTGGGATGATGATCCAAGTTGACTTTTATATGTGGGCTTGACTGAAACTAGGGTAAACCCAAAGCCATGCTTGATATTTGTTCATTGAGGTACCTTCTGGTGATCAAACATGGCATGCTGAAAAAACCTGCATTTAGATCGGATTTCCCAGCCCATGTTAATCATCTTTGGTTACTGAGGGATGATAGGGGACGTTCATCCATATCTGCGGACAAATCACCATGTTTAAAAGCGGTAAATCATCTATAAATATATGCAATTTTCAATAGGAAATTGAGGGTAATTATTCATCTTCAGAATGGTTTTACCACATGAAACCACCATTTTGTATGGTGAAACCTATCATTTTTTTTCACGGACTGCTCGTTTTCAGGTGGCTCGACGCACGCCGGAGCCCGGAGACTCAAGTCGATGATCCGTCCGGAATTTTTCACCAGAAATGGAGGTGAAAATTCCGGAAGTTGGGTTTAATGGGAATCTGTGTGTATATATATATATATATTGGGTTTAATTGTGATAATATATATACTTATAGATTGGGATGTGTCATGAGAATCTAATGGGATGTTTCAGATATTTCATGATGATACAGTGATACCTGACCAGCAACAATCATATGGGTGTGATTGAAAATGGTATCGCAACTTCAATAGGGAACATAATGCTCAAGCCTCAAGCGTGCACAGAATTTTCAGACACAGCCAGATCTATGAATCAATGAAGATCGCATTTATTGGCAAAATCCAGTATTGATTGACATAAATACTGGTATACTCACAGCAAAATCCAGTATTCGAGCTGTCCCACTAGACATGTTTTTTGTGGGGTAGCCCCGGAATGCCACAGTTAGCCATGACAGATACGGCAGCCCAAAGTCACCTAAAGTAACCTACAAGTAAGACTTAAAGTAAGGTGCGATGAAGCTTTTTCAAGACCTCCAAATTGAATTTAAACGATAACCATGGAAAATCGCCATGTTTAATGGGAAAATTCACTACAAATGGCAATTTTCAATAGCAAACTGTTAAATTACCAGAGGGTACATACCCCGAATTCATCGGAATCGCGGAAAGCCCCCAAAATCAGCAGATTTGGTTGGGTCTTTCAGCTGATCCGCTGACAACCCAGGTGGCGGAATTCACTGCAGAGGTGCCCCGTCTTTTTTCATCTGTGGTTCTTGTCGCTTGTTAATGTGGGTAAAACAATGCCATAAACCACCCATTTGGGCCATAAACCACCCATTTGGGATTGGTTTTAAAGGGTTTTAAAACCACCTACTTATGTGGGTGTTGGGGGGATGATTGATTATTGGTTTAAAATTTTGCCCACAAAGAGTAAGCAAGGTAACTTAAGCACTAGGAAACCAAATGTTAAACACCTCAATCACACCCATAGAGGGCCACCAGGCCCATCCACATTGCCGATGATGAGAAAATGTTCTTCAAGTTTTGCACATGTTTAGATGGACCATTCTCCCTTGTCGGGATGGCCGCAGGAAGGCACTGTGGGTGTGCCACCGCGCGTGGCCCTGTGCCTTACCAAGGCGTGGCATTTTTGGAAGCATGGCAGATCTAAAATCTAAGCATCAAAAGGTACCCAACCTGGTAGTCAAACCTGGTTTCTTGGGAAATCAACAATTTATAATTAGTTTGATTTTCACATTAAAACCCATCGGAAAATCATCTAGACATGAACCTCCATTTAGTTCGAAGATTTTCCCATATGTTCATTTACTTTCCGATTAGAACCTCCATTTAGTTTGGGATTTGCCAGCTAGCCACATTTAAGGATACCGGAGGGTAGGATTGAAGCAACGACCAAAGCGTTTTGCAGTCTGATTCGATGTGGCCAAGAGAAGTCTCCAGTTTCAATCGGAAGCCCATCCACACTTGGGTCTTATTGTTATATTTTCCCATTGCAGTCCCTCAGGGCTCCGGCCTCGACACCCTGGATGGTGTGGGACAAGTGGAAATCCGCTACGTCCCTCAGCGGGGTGAAACCACCCTATAGTTTCTGGGATGACCCGGTACATTCCGGTACTGTAGATGTGGATTTGAGGGGTGATAATCTGGAGATATCTGGGATTTGGAACCTGGATGGACCTGGTATTCTTTCATACACCCGAAGTGGCCGCTCTGGTGGGCGGTAGGTGTCTAGACCTGCCACAGGGAAATCATCCGCAATGACCTGGCCTTAGCTTGGCCCACACTGTTGCCACGGTGCTTATTCATACGATGAGCTGGTTTTCCCTGTAAACATGTCTATACCTGCATCTTCCAAGGTCCTTTCTTTTTGGAGTCAGTTTTGCCAAAACCTTCAGCAATCGAGTGAAATTCTTTAGATTGACGAAACGGGACAAACAAATACGTAGGTGGTGGGTGTGGGTATACCTTCATGTTTGTTGGTGATAAATGGATGAAACAGCTGCATGACAATACAAATTGAGTTCTCAATAGGTACTGGAACTGTAACCCTTTATCAGCATAAAAGTCCACAATCTCATCCGCCCAAGAATAAACACTCCTCTATGCATGAAACCCAACATGAACAATTTTGCCAGGTGGGGGGAAGGATGACTGGTTGTACAAGGTTAAGTCTATCAGGCCTCTGTTTTTTTCCGACTGAATCTGTTTACCCTGTTCCAGCACGTTCCAGCCTGAGATCATCTTCATATCATCAGTACATCCAGTTTCCAAAATCTGGATTCAACATTCCCATATTTGGCTGCTTACCAAAGATCTAGTACATCAGATTTAGATCCTCAGATAATGTCAGCATTGTGCGGTGACACATCCTCATTCTTTTTGCTGCTCGAGACCTGATGTTTCTTGAATATAAATCTGAAAAAAAAAACATGACATATTCCTTGCATTTCCTTGCACTGTTTTCCATAAATAGCTAGGTTGAGTCATCATCAACATCATCATCATCATCACCATCATCATCATCATCATTATCCGTGGTTGCTCATGATGAACATCCAACACCACCAGCTATATTGATTGTTTTAAATAGTTCCAAATCACAAACATATTTGGTGATAAACCACCAGCATGTACGTTCAGAATGGCAATATGCTACACCATCCCCTTCACCTGAAAATTATGGGATTTCTATGGGATTTCTACACTATTCCCATAGAAATCCCATATATGAGCCGTTGCTTGACGTCCCAGGTGAAGTTGCCGCGCTGTCGCAAGAGTAAGGTGAAGTTCCAGCCCCGGGGCGAGGCCGCTTTTTGCTTGGCGAAGGGGACCTCCATGGAGAATAGCTGAAACAATCTTAGACAACATCAATATTGGGATTTAAGATGATTTAAGCATATTTAGCCATAAAACAATGGATTTCAGTTGGTTAAAAGCTTGGAAAAACATAAATCAATGGATTTAAATTGCTTTCTGTCCACTTTCATTTAGATATGGCTACCACAAAGCATAGAAATTGTGAAGTTACTAGCTTTGCTATCATTTGGGGAATGTCTGGGGTTGGAAGATTCCTACTAGTCTAGGTCACGGAAATTCTCCGAACATGTGTTCAGAGATTGGATCAACAGATATCTACAGTGGGATCAAAAGACTGATGTTCCACGTGGATGGGAGCTTGACCATCCAGCACCAGCTAATTTTTCTTGTGACAAACAGTCGGCTAACAGGCTAACAGGATCCATAGATGTATAGCAAGATACATTCTGCTTGGTTCTGCCTCTCCTGTGAATTTGTCTGGCGCTGCAGCGCTGCAGGGCTTTCACGCGGGTGGCATGAAGGTTGTCTCGTTGGACTTGGAACATGTCCGGAGGCCCTGGATTTCAAGGCGACCCAGGAATGGTATGCTGGTTTTGATCAAAAGCAAAGGGGATTCACCAGCAACTTGTATGCTTAATTGTGATGATATGATGGGATATAGTCCACCAACATGACATTTGGGTTGGCCCAAAATGGGGGTCGTTCACCAGTTTTCGTTGGGAACTTTTACGATTCCAAACCATGGGATCAATGGCTGCTCCTGAATTTTGAGACAAACCCATGTGGTTGAATAGGAGAAAAACTGTTTGACACATTTTACACAGAAAAACTGTCGTTGAATAAAACCATGGGAACATAAGATTCCAAACCATGTGCTATTGAGATAATTTAAGCAGTTTGAAAAACATAATCGACCCCAGTTGTTCTGGTTTTTATTGACAACCAAACCAAAGTGATCAGTTCCAGCGGTATTTCCATCGACATTTACGACTTGGTTATTTCACTAAGCTATGGAAAATCACAACTGCTCATGAGCAAATAATCATGTTATATCATGTTTATCATCTATAGATGGGTTATTTTCCATAGCAAACAGTCAAATCCAAATCCAAGTCCGAAACGTGAGAAGACCGATGGTCAGGGAGATGAAGAAAGGACATCTGATGCAGCCTCTTCAAAGATGAAGTCTGATGAAAGTCAGGCTGTTGATGATGAGCTCATGAGGCTGACCATTTCCTTGCTTTCACAGATAGGAGTTTTGGGAGTATGACTTACCACTGCAGGTGTCTGTGCTTACGTTTGCCAACGTTTGCGCTTAGCTTATAGCAGGAGCAAGAAATGGAATCAAGCAAGTGCTTCACCCTTTCTGGTTGCCACCAGTGATTTGACGGCTTATTCATTGTTAGTCAGCAACAACATGGTGATGGAGAACATCAATTCAGTTGTGCAGCTTGTGAACTTGGTTTTTCAGCTGGGTGCGGCCACTGCTTCCTCATTGCGACCAGCTATTGATTCGGTCAGCTCACCAATGTGAACAGATTTCTTCTAAACCACTCTGGAAAGACGCTCGAAGGTGATGGGAAGACAGTGTATACACTTGGTGCTCCAATCATGGAAAGTCCTGTCGTTCCTCACTTGGCTCCGCCGGATTGGGCAGATCAAATCAGGTGAATGGCATCTTCAGCCTGAAAGGGCCAGCAGATGGGAAATATATTTCGCCGCAGCCTGGTGCCGGCAGTGCGGTGATTGCCACATGTTGCGAGGCATGACTGAAATCTAAGTGGTGCGACTACCACACATGAATTTGTTTGAAGGCGTTTCTCATTGTCTCACTTTGTATTCACTTTGCTCAGTGCCGCTTGGTGATCGCCTGCCCAGGCCTTCGTGTTGGACACCACTTAGCCACTTTAGTCCCTTTGGCTATTACCAGTGTGATACCTTTCCGATTCCATGGCCTTGATTCGTCCACTCCATGGCTGAGGTGTTGCTGGAGACCTTGAGAGGTCACACTGCGCTGACCCAGGCCTAGCGGCTTGTTATTTGTTGTTTATCAATGTCTATCAGTAAAATTCAATGTCTGGCTATACAGATATTATATGATATTATCATGTGAATAATGGTGTAGTTAATTTAGCTGTAAACCATATATTGAGAGCGCGTTTAAAAAAATGAATGTTACTTTGTTCACCGTGTCAGCGGGAAACAAAAACCATGAAGGTGTTGCCATCTAGTGTGTTTGTTTGTCGTTCCCCGGCAGAAATGGCTTAAAGAATCTGCAGATATTCAACAACAGGACTTTAACTAACAAGAATAACAAGATAAATACAGGGCAACTGCTGAATGGGGAGGTTACTGAAATACCCAAAGTCTGACTGTTTGACTTCCATGCTTTGATGCCTTGATCCCCTTCAGAGCTTGGTAAACCTCGGTTGACTGAGTTGTTTTTTTTTGTTTGCACAAATGTTGCTTCCAGTGGTCGAGATTCCACTGACTCCCAGGGCGATTGGCTTCCAATTCGACATCAGGGACAGACCTACGAACTTATGGCACCCAGCCCAGGGCTGGGCTACCGGCTGGTAAACTAGCTGTTTGCTATGGAACATCACCATCTTTAATAGGTAAATCAACGATAAATGGGCAATTTGCGCAAACTGTTAGTCATTACCAGAGGGTATAAACTTCAACCGTGGATAATATAAATGAGAACAATCCTTGATTCTAAAATCCTCAATCATCTTAGCATGTCTAAGTTGTATAATTATCATGTCTTTGTTGATGACATGGTTGCCTGATTTTGTTGATAAAGTCAGCATTTTTCTTCGTGAGAATTCCATATTATGTTGGTTAAATCCCCCAATTTGTTGTTGATCAAATTCCATTTTTAGCTGACTAAATGGATACCACATTGATTCAAATCATGTTACTTCATATAATAGTCAGCCGCTTAAATCCAATCGTTTCTAAATTTGTGTTCCCATCGTTAGCCAGTCCAATCCCATTGTTTTGGTTGATTTCTTCCCATATGGCTATGGATCAATACCTATTAATACCATTTTTAGTGGGATGAACATCCATTTACCAGCTATTTTGATGTTCACTAGGTGCCAGGGTTTTGACACACTGCCATATCAAAAAATCCCATATGAACATCCCATATTCCACTGGCTTTTCGACCTCCCAGTTGGGCGATGAACATCCCCGCCGCCCAGGTCCGTGAGCTGGAGCCTGAAACGGAGCTGTCGTTGATCGACACCGACCTGACGGTGGAGGTGGACGACTCGTAGGGTTTTTTCGTGGTGAAATGGTGAGTTCATGGTGGTGAAAGTGTGAGTTCATGGTGCTAAAATGACGAGATATGACGAGATAATGGTAAGTCAGTGAGGAAATCATTGGGATTGAATGACTGTTTTCTGAAGGATCTGAAGGGGATGGGATCTTATGTTAAGCATAAGATGATCAAGTTGATGGTCAATACTATGTCGATTCTTTGAACAGGTAAATCTGGTGGAAATATCGCTTCAATATGTTCAATCGTGATTCAGTGGGGATTTGATATGATATATCACCAACTTACTACGTACAGCACATTTTCAGAGACACCCATGTAGATCATGTTGAAAAGAACAGACAATGATGTTCGATATTTGATGGCTCTGTTAGGGTAATATAAATGAAGGATTTGGCTTTAAAGTCCAAATTTAAAGATTCTTTTCCATGCTGTTAAAGTATCTTCATTACAAACGACCCCGTATACTTTTATATACCTGCGTTATCCGTTTTTTTTGAAGGGTGTCTGCTAAATCCAGAAACGAATTGCTAAAATTCAGGAACCATTTGCAAAACCCCAAAAACATTGAGAAACTTGCTGAGACCAATTGCTAAAATTCAGGAACCATTTGCAAGACCCAAGAGACAAAACTGCAAATGTTAATGGGAAATCAGTGAACGCATTCATATGGTTTCATGGGAAACCAATGAAACCAAGGAATCCCTTGCCACAATTAAGGGTGATTGTCCTATAGATTCCCGTAGACTTGCCAGCACTGACTTGTCAGTTTGGGATTGAAGGCGATGTGAGGGAACAACTAAGGAAAATCAGGGATCTGTCTGCTGAAGCTCAAATGCTTCTTTCAACAATATTCGCCACATTGACATATTGTAGCCCCCACATTCAAGTCATTGCTGAGTGTGAGGACGCAAATTTCGGCAGTGAATATTGGTGGAAAATGATGCTGATGTTCTTGACTAGACGTTGGCGGCTTGACCAGCCAGGTTGCAAATTTTGTTTTGACTTGGTTGACGCACTCCCATGATCTCCTGAAAGACGGATTGCTGGTAAGGCTAACCGCGATGTCTCTTAAAGCCCAACTGGTTTAAGACAGAGTTTGTGCCTTTTGTGCCTTCAGCTGCGCTATACTTCTGGATGCTTCTTCATTGATTTGTGATTCAAGCGGGCCGGCCATCCTTGCTAGTGTGTGGCCGTGCTGCCGCCAGTAGTGAGCCCATCGCACCAGAGCATCGCACGCAGATGCAGAAACCAATTGCTAATCGATTGCACCTTTGTGGGCCCCTTGCAGAACTCAGAGCACAACTCACCACAAGAGTGGCATAGCAGTGGGGCTGAAAGTAGGCATCAACAATATGGAGACACTTTGGGTTTTGTGCAGTTTAGCGCTTTTTGTTTGCGATAAATTCGTGGTACTACCATTCTTGCTTGTCTGGATTCAGATCCCTTTGCTATTGCGGCAGCATGATACGAGGAGACAAGATTCCATGTTCAGCCATACACAGTCGTAAATGTTTGCAAACCGTGAGCACGATAATGCTGAAAAAATAACGCGCAATAAACGTTGATAAAACATGATAGGATAATTATGGACAGCTATGACTTGAACATAGTCCGACTCTGAGAACCCTCTTTTGGCACAGTTTTTTGGTCTGCGCCCTTGCGGCTCAGCTTGAACATGGATGATCAACAGCAACAACGACGAGGTTGCGATGATTGAATGGTGGTTTGATTGTTTTGGTGATGATTTCCTTCAGTTTGAATTTCCTCACTTTCCAAATTCTGACTGACTTCAGTGGTTTTTCGGTCCACATGGATGGTTATGTTCCCTTGGTTTCAGAGAAGTGGTCGAAGCTCCATATGGACCGGGCAGAAACCCACCTCTACGTCGGTTCTGTTCCCAAGAGCCATTGTTTTCTGAGCCATTGACCCCCACCCAGTGCCATGGCGGAGCAAAAAGTCAGCCGACTTTGGGCGTACTTCCTGGCACTGAGTGAGTCATCAGCGCTTTCAGCCATACGAGCTGCGGTGATCACCTTGTTCCTTCGGAGGAAACGGATCTGGCTAAACTTGATGGGTTAGTTCCTGGGTACTTAGCACTGACTAACGTTCTATTGAAGATATTAATCCTGACCAGCCCAGCCGTTGTTTTTTTTTTTTGCGAGGCATTCAAGATTGGCCATGCATATATTTTATTGAAACAATGAAACATGCTTTGAGGTAATTGTTCCATGAACAATAAATACTCCACCTGAATTAAACATGGAAATCAAATGTGCGGCCAGGCCTCAAAGTTCGGACAAGCATCCTCCAGACATACTCTTTTATAAAAACGTAAATATGTATATGTATATTATATATATATACAGATATACATGACCTGTTTTAGCATAGTAGCAGAAGCCAAGAATCATGTCCCTAGATTCTCTGTTGCTGAGGGGGGTTGTTGTAAAATAGGTAAGAGGGATTGTTTTGGTGGTGGTTTTAGATGTTTTTCAATGTAAAATTCCTAGGTGGGAATAGCTATCCCTGATTGACCAATGTGGCTGCAAAACACAGGGGACTTGGTCTATCTGCACCCATTCAAGTTTAGAACAATCACATAGATTCAGATATCCACTTCACACCATAGGTTCTCATTGTTAGCCCAGTTTTTGACCAAGTTAGCTAAGTAGAATGTGGAGCCCCCAACCATAGATTATTAAGTTTGTTTACAACTAGGCCAAAGATGATTTGCGGTGGATATACCACTCCCGCTGGTTTTTTTCCACCAACTTATCTGACTATGGGTTTCCACATGTGGGATTGCACCGACCAATGTGTATATTACACAGATATATATATATTATGTTTGCATATGCATTTTGATATTAAGTACATAGTTTAGGTGTTAATTCTAGCCTTTAATGTTACTCTCCAACTTATATATATATCCCCATTTCAACAAATTTACTGTAACAAGTGCCACCAACTTCCCAAACTAAATCCTCATTTTGGTCGGTTGAATCAATATGTTTGTCACTCAAACTTCCATGTTTTTTGCTCCCCGAAATTCTGTGACGGGACAATGCGCGAGGAAAAAGATAGAGTTTTCCTGGAAATTTCTTTACCATTTCGGTGATGAAAAACTTGCAGCCCATCGTAAACCATCGTGACCTTGACTCCTCTGATATTATGCCGTTTTGGCTGGCGCGCCTGTGCCTGGAGATGACGATGCTGTCAGGCATGGTTCCTTTGTTGCACGGCGACAGACTTTTCAAGTGGCCGTTTTATCAACTATAAGTAGACTGTGGGTGTTACCTCAGCAGAGATTCTTTGTGCCTGTGGAGTTTCTGAAGGATCCTCAGGCCTGATGGAAAATGATGGAAATGGCGCATGAGAGACATTCCAAAAGAGCTGGAGCTGAACTCAGTGCTGTTGTCTTGGATCATGAATCTCCAGATGCCAACATCTGGACACCGAGATCTAGGCCCTAGGCTATGCATGGCTATGCCCGCCTTCAACCTGTGAATAGGGCATAAGTACCATCCTAGGACTGCGAGCTTCTCCCGGCATTATGACATAGGATGGTACTTGGAGCTGCAGTCCCAATTCTAAGTGGGTATTACAACCATAGTTTTAGGGGCTTCATAGCCCAACTTATGGAGGTTCAAATCCAATAGGTTTACCCAGCAGTAACCCCAGTCCTGCACCTCCCAATGTATTGGTACATTCCCAACCCCTTGATAAATTCTCGTTGAGCAGCCACTTTCATGGTGAAGTGTCTATTTCTTTCAAGGAATTTGACTAAAAAACATGCTCTTCCCTATCCACCTGCAGCCCCTTGTGACTTGCGTCCGGTCCCCGAGGCTGTTGTACGGCCTCTTCGCGGCGGTCTTCTTCACAAACGTGGAAGGTTGGACCACCGTGGAGGCGGTCGGGTGATGGTGAGTTTGGAAGGGTTCAACAAGAAAAAATGGGATAACCATCAGGATATCATGGGATATTGGGATAGAATGAGGATATCATGTTTTTTTTGATTTCCATCGCACATTTGTCTCGTGGTACCAGCCGCTGTTGATCATTGGATGCTTCTTCATGCGGCAGTTGTGGACTTCCAGTGCCCCCCAGTGGGGCCTCAAGCTCAATGTCGTACGTTGTATGGAGACTTGGATTTGTCTGCTGGAAACCTCTTCCCAGAGAACAATGAAGCGGGACAGCCGCTAGTGCTGCAATGGAACCATGGCGAAGATGACCCTGGTGACCAGCCTTCACTTCTTCAATTGGCCGTAGCCCTCAACAAAGACAATGCTGAGAGGAATTTTCCAGCTGATGCCCATGCGAATATACTGAGAGAGTTGTGTGAGAGAGATGTGTGTGTGTGTGTGGCAAAGCTGTGTGTGTATGACATGTGTGACAAAGTTTTGTGTGAAAGATTGTGTGTGTGTGACAAAGTTCTGTGTGAAAGATTGTGTGTGACAAAGTTGCGTGTGAAAGATTGTGCGTGGCAAAGTGGAGTGTGAGCATGGAGGAGGACGACGAGCCGGAGGAACCACAAACAAGAACCCCACACAAAGATGTGGGGAATAATTATTTTACCATCTGGTTATTTAACATAGCCATGGAAAATGGCCCATTTTTAGATGATTTTCCCATTAAAGCCTCCATTTATAAGGGATTTTCCATGGCTATGTTAAATAACCAGATGGTATACCACGGCTTTTTGTGGCCGGGCATATCTAGTAGTTTATTTGCATTTCTGGCATTGGAGTGGAGTAGCGGCTACTTTCTTTAGGCAATTTAAGCGGCGGCAAGCTGAATGATAAGGAGCCCAAAAAGGCTGCGATGGTGGCTATTTTGCTTGCAGAGGTGGTTGCGCATACTGCTTGAATTGCACATGAATACAAGGTGTGTCTAAAACGTCGACGGTCAAAGAGCATGTCATCGAGATTGCCACAACTTGGACATCATGGCTTTGGCCATCAGGCGGCACCATCGGTGGATAGGATCAAAGCCGCGGAATCTTGTTTTGGTGTGAAAAACGATCGTGGCCCAACATTCTGAGTGTTGTGGCGCCGAGTTCCCCGATATCTCGGCTTCATGGGTTTTGCACAAGCTGACTGACATCCATGAACCAAGCATGCTCTGGGAGGTGCCAGCCGTAGTGCGAGGTGGCACAAGGGACTGTTACAGTTCAACACTTGGTTGAACCAAGCCGTTGCGTTGCCCAGGCGATTTATTTCTCCATGGTGACGATGTCAACTGTGGGATATGGGGACCTGGCTCCCACTGTCGCCTGACTCAAAATTGGGGCGGCTGGGTCACCCAAGTGATTTTACTTTCCGGACAGGTACCTTATTTCGGGTGATCCCAATAATGATTATGACTTAGTTTCTGGCATACCATCTGGACGTATCTATGGCGCATTTTATTTGGTATATAAATATTTACAATATATAAATATTTGCAGTATATAAATACATACCGTATAAATATTTACAGTATGTAAATATATACAGTGTATATATATATCTATATATACATTTTAAAAAAATAAATATATATATATATATATATATTCTGACATTTTTTCTGGAATGTACTCTGACATGTTATTTGGCATTCTATCTGGCATAATTCTACCTGGCATCGTTCCTGATATTCTATTTGGCATTCTTTCTGGCATATATTGTGACGTTTTTCTGGCGTGTGTTCGGGAGCTCCGTGTGTGTGCCCAGGCTGCGCTGGCATTTGTTTCTCGCATGTATTCGGACATTCTTTCTGGCATTCTATCTGGCATCTCTTGCATTTTTTTTAGCATTTGTTTCTGGCATGTATTCTGACAGTCTTGCTGGCATTTTATCTGGCCTCCCTTCTGTTATTTTATCTGGCATTTGTTTTTGGAATGTATTCTGACATTTTTTCTAACATTTTGTCTGGCATTCTATCTGGCATCTCTTGTGCTGTTTATTTGGTGGCATGTATTTTGACTTTCTACTGACAGTTTTTTCTGGCACCTCTTCATCTACTTTCTCTAGCGTTTTTGGTGGCATGTATTCTGACATTTGTTCTGATATTTTCGGGCATTCTATCTGGCATCTTTTGTTTGTATTTTATCTGGCAGTTGTTTCTGGCATGTATTCTGACATTTGTCTGGCATACATTCTTGCATTCGATCTGGCATTTACTCTGACATTCTCTTTGGCATTCTACCTGGCACCTACGCTGGTATTGCTCTGGCATCTATATCTGGCACCTATATCTGGCACCTATTGTGACAGTCTCTCTGTGATCGTGTCTGGATTTTTGACATTTTATGACATGAATCCTTCTGGCAGGTGTTCCGACATTCTTTCTTGCATGTATTCGGGTCCGTGTGTTCCCAGCCTGATCTGGTGCTCGCGATACTGTTCGAACCGTGCGCTGGAGCTCCCCTATATGGCTTCGGGTCCACATGGTGGATGTGGAGAGTTGCGTTGTGAATTTCAGAGTGACCATGAAATCTCCCACGGCATGATAATCTGGTTGGTGGTGTGAAACATGGTTTAATTTTCTTGCTCTCGCTGGGAGAATTGCATCTTATATTTTTCGGATGGGTTGAAACCCATTGACAATATGGAATGGCATGGTCTTCGGACAAAAAACAGATGTAACAACCGATAGCAGACAAGACGTGCAACGAATAATCAAAATCACAACAGCCATATGCAAAACATATTGGCGACACTTTTCAACAATCTAATTGTTTTGATGATCCAAAAAACGAATCCCCTTTTCAATCGTCATTGTTGGAAATGCTAACGACCCCATTTGACCTCGCCATAGGTGATGGCTAGCAGGGGAAATTATCCCAAATGGCCGCACTTTTCAGGTTAGTATTAATAAATACGTAGTATGTATGTACTGTACTAATACAGCTTTCCCAGAATCATCGTCATCTCATGGCAAAACATCCAGTGTTTCCCCACTGGCCCCCACGAAGCGGCTCTGAGATCTGGTATTCGCGGTTGGTGGGCGTGGCCTTTATTTTAGTTGGTTCCTCGCTGTGACGCATGTGCTGGGCAAAGCGATTGGTGAACAACATGGGAATGGGTATGCCCATGAGATTTAAATCGCCATCAGCTGGGATAACAACCAGATAAATCAAGGTGGTTATATACCCACTTTAATTGGACTGCATCCTTAATTAAGTGGGTCAATGATTGTTGTTCTTTGGCCATTTCCGCGATCCAAAAGTACAGCACGCACGTGGCCAGACAAATTTCCACAAGTTCAAGTCAAGCCACAAGGGGCATAAGATAGTTTTAGTTGAAATCAACTTAAGACTTGATTGGACAGTTACTATGCATGCCAAACGATCCCATGTTTGCCATTCACTGAGGCTTTGAGCCGCTGCCTCAAATTCTTCATTCGTTGGATATTGAAAGCTTAAGCCGCAAAGATCAGTGGTCATTAAATGAAGGTTTCCTAAAATGGAGGTAGGATTTTCCATTATAAACCATCCCTTTTGGAGTATCCCCATCTATGGAAATATTGATATTGACATGCATTGACGATCCCATTCCTGTGGGATTCTCAAAAAAATTCCAAGATCGTCACTGTAGCTTATTCCCTGCAGGATTCTGATCTCGGATGACCATCCCTTTCATGGATATGGATAGTCTATGAGTAATGGACCCAGACTTAGAGAATCAATACCGTAAATCCAGCATTAAACCTGTTTTATCTAAAGGTTCGTTTGCGACTTCTTTGAAATTTATGGTCAACATAATTTTAAGATGTTGGCTAAAAAACATGAGTAAGGTTTGGGGGGATAGTATGTGTTTGCCGCGTTACCTCGCAATGGGGCGTCGAGAATATCAAGGAATCATTCTGGTCTTCGTTCAAGTTGGCGGCGTCATGGGCCTCTTTGCAAAGCCAGTCCCTTGAAGCCATGGAAAGGTCAGCCAGGCAGCCACACTAGGTTTCCCCATGTTTGTTGGCTATTGCTGCTAATGTGTTAAACCCAATGCCATGAACAACTACTATTTTGGGGATGGTGTATACCACCGATTTCTGGTCGTTTTTTACGGATGGTGTGGGATTGGGTTTGCGACATTAAACTTTACACTTTGAACTCCGTATATGTTTTTCTGGTGGGTTGCTTCATTTGAACAGACTTCTACCGTCAAAATGGGATGACGATTCCCAATGACTATTTTTCAGGTGGCTTGGGAACCACCAATCAGTTTTAGTGCTTCGGGTTTACATAGATTTCACATTCGATTACATTCAAACTTTTAACACGGGATCCACAAACCACCAACTGAGGGAGGTTTCTATTCCCCACCATGCGTGTCCGTGTGTGTGACTCATATATGCATGTGCTATGTGTTCGGCAGCATTTAATGTTTGTGTATACGTTGGACTTTGTAAGTCCTCAAAAAAAATAACAACATAGCACTTGCTTTCGGTCCTTTTTTGGAGAGTGAGACAGTGAGTAGTGCACACTGGCATACCACTTTGTTAAGATATGTTGGTGCAGCCGTGTCTTCTGGTCATTTTGTGGTAGCAAGTCGCCCATTTTCTTGAGTATTCTATTGTGATTCAGTATCCCCATACTATCAGCTTATGCCACCACCCGCCTACGATCCAACCCCTTTCTGGAAGAGTTGGAGATGGCTTAATGTTTTGAGTGCACCGCAGTCAGTTGTTTGAAGAAGTCATACTGGTAGGATTGTTTTTTTTCCATTAACATGTTTTACGTAAATACAGCACGCGAGAGTACAGAATACACGGCAAATCATTGTTGGTCACATAAATTGTATGTGTACCAGCTTTTGGTAAAATGAATATCATTGAATGCTTTTTGCCGAAGTCTCCCATGAAATATTCCAGCTTGGGTTTAGCCCAAGACGGTTTTGTTCAGACCCATTCAATCCTGGCGTTGCCCACTTGACTATTCCGGTGAAGTTTCAATCCAACCATGCTATTTTTGGAAGTATACCAGTACTACACATATAGCAAGAATCCTGTTCCCCAAGTACTAAACGCCCTTCCCCCCTAATAACGAAATAATAAGCAAGCGGAATAGTTTTGATTATTACGGGGTATTTAGTCTTAGTGTGAGAAGCTCCCCCCTTGTAATCAAATAAAGACCTTAAAAAAACATGATAAAGATGCCCATGTGAAACTTGATCAAGTCCCTTTTGAAAATCTAACTTAATAATTATTGCCATAAAAATGATTTCAAAACTTTCCCCTAATAATACAATCAAAACCTTGTTTAAGAAAGACATTTTCGATCTCAGAATCGAGAAAATTCCATGGTAAACTGTAATTAACATATATTGTTTGCCACAATTTTGATTTCGAAGCTTTCCCTCAATATAAAAGAGCAAAACCATATTTTTGTTTAAAAAAAAGCGATTATTTTAGCAGATGTTCTTTAATAAAAAGAATCCCCGGGGTTAACCTTCAAATTGAACCTTGATGTTTAAATTGTTTTCTAAGGGAAAATTAAACATCAAATTGGCCACAACCAACAAAATCCAAAAATTGGAAATGGACCCCGGCCCTTTAATATTTGGGGGTACGTTTAGGAATAGGGGGAATGGATTTAAAAGAAACTGGTGACCCCAAAAAAAGGATGACAAACCGTTTTGTACAGTTGTATATAACATGTTGTATCATCAGTTGTACCCATATCTCTTCAAAAATCTCACATCCCACTATACATGGAAGGATAAAACTATAGTATTATCACGTAAGGTTTATGTCCCTTCAACTCCATGTATATATGATATATATATATATATATATTTATATTTATATTTGAATAGTCCAGTCATTTCCCATCAATAGTTTTACATAATTCCATACGATTGATTGCTAAAGCATGCTAAAGCCATATTTGGTGGTGGGATTTCCTTTCAAAACTCTCAACCAAATGTATCCGTTTTTGAGATTGAATCTCAAATCATGTTAAGTTTTGGAGTTTCCCTTCAAAATAACAAGCCATCCCCCAGATCACCATTTTTATAGATGATATAAACCGTTCCCAGTCATGGGTGGTTTATGGCATTGTTTTGCCAAGATTCGTCACCATTAATATCCACTAATAACTCATTGATAGACATTAATAGCCATTAATCATCATTAATCACCATTATGTAAGTAGCCAACTTTATCAAGAGTTTATAGGTGGGATATCCTGTCCATCCCCCGCTCGATGGGACCTTCGCCCGCCCAGCTCTTCGACCGGACCCGCGTCTTGGCGGACGACCTATGGGCACCGCAGCCGCTTGGGCCAAAACGTCGGCTGAGTCGTGGGGTCTCTGCAGGCAGATGATGGTATTATGGAAATACCCTCTGGTAAACAAACATAACTATGGAAAATCACAATTTTCAATGGGTAAATGAATGTTGTTTTTCCATAGTTATGTTAAATTACCAAAGGGTAATATATTAAACAATGGGGAGATACACCTCATAAATTGGGAATTATATATATATATGTATATATAATCCCTTCCGATCATGAACCCCCAAACGAAACCATGTCCACATCAGTGGCGCCATGGAATCCAAATGTTTGATTATGGGGATGACATTTTTTTGGCAATTGGAAATTGGCAGAATGCTGGTTTGATTTGGCACCAGATGTATTTTTTTGGAGGAGGTTGTGGGGTGCTGGCTGGTAACGAAAGATTGGGTATCAAGCTTTGAGGGATAAACATCCAGCTAGGCAGGTTATCTTGATGTTGGCTAAATGACCGGGGTCACTTCACATGGTGGAACATATGGGTTTGTCTGAAAATGATATTCCCAAGTCCAAAATGATGGTCATCAAATTTGAATAGCAATTTTGAAAGATATGTATGCACCATGTTCAGACCCACCAATTGTTACTAAACTGATTCAAATGGAACTATCATTGGATTGGCTTAAGGATAATTTACAGGAAACCGCCGTATTTCATTGTAAACACCCATGGTTTCCTGTAGATTTTTACCTTCAACCAATCCAATGAAATTAACGGCCGGTGATATTTGGCCGGCTCTTTGGAGAGCAACCCTTTGGCAATCATCGCTATGGAACCATGGCGAAAATGGCATGATGACTGTTTGGTCCTGTGGCTATGTCAAATCACCATGTGTAACAGTTAAATCATCCATATTCATCCATGCGCCATGGTTCCATAGCTATCTTAGATTGCCAGAGGGTAAATCCATGCAACTCCAGCATATGACATCTAAATTGCATGCACGGGTTTCAGGCCCTTTTCTCCAAGTTAAGTTGGGCTGGGTAGAATTGAGCCAGGTTGTGTGCCCCTTGAGCCAAAATGCCAAAAAGCCGGAGGACGTCTCAAAAACCATGGAAAAGCGTCGAAAATCCTTCTTGTGGGGGTGCAGTGGTACTTTGTGATGATATCCCATTCCCGTCGTTTCAACTTCGGTCACGAAGTTCGGCGGCTAAGTTCAAGGATCGCCGCAGCTTCAATCCATATAGGCGTCGCCCTGCCATGCCCAGCCAAGGCAAACCTTGTCACGACCAGAGTTACTCCGGTAATTTGTTCCATAGCTACAAAACAAATAAGCCATTTGTAGAGGATTTGCCTGTTCAAAATTGTGATTTACCGTAGCAAACTGTTAAAATTCCAGAGGGCATCATACTATTTCAAGCATTTTTTCTCCAAAGGGGTCCGTCTTTGCACTTCACTTACATATATATATATATGACAATCTGCCAATAATAGTTGACAGAAGTTTTGTACCAGTTGCTGATAGTTAGTGTGCTTGGACCTACTGGTTTTTCCTCTTCGCTTTGAGGCGGCACGCAACTAAATTCACCAATTCTGAAAGGCAGCGCTAGCAAATTTTGCCCGCTAGATCTTCGCTAGCAATGCGCTAGCAAAAGTTTCAAAAAGTGGCTTTGGCTGACCCGTGACCCAGGCGCCACCAGAGAACTTGTAGTTTATCTTGTTTGTTTGACAAAAGCAGCAGTCACAGCAAGGCAGCGACAAGCCCTGCAGCAGATGAAAAATATTCACTTCATGTAGACATACGTTAGCATTCTGCAGGTTTTAGCTACAACGTCTATCATGAGGAATTACGACTTATCAGCCAAACCAGGAGAAGAATGGAGAAGACATTTTGACAAACCGTCATCAAAGGAAGTTTAGTTAGAAAACTTCCGGGTTCCGGACGATTGTCATGGGCAGCATTCTCACCATTGAACCACTCAACTCTAGTCTCGTGTCGAGGTATGTCCCTTTCACAGACGAGACGGGCTCTCACAAGATCGAAGTGTCTTGGTGATTTGTTGATGGCCCAAACATGTGGGGAGTGAAAACAAGGGTACAGTGTGAACTAACCCATACCCAAAATGGGGAGGAATAATTCATGGAAAGACAGGAAAGTGGCAGTTCAAAATGACTACTTGGCCTGGTGGACTATTGAGTGACCGTTGCAGATCAGTCACCCTCAAGGTGTTGAGATGGTGCTGGGGAAAGACCTCGTGCACCGGTATTGCACTATTCCCGTGCGCTATTGCCGCCAATTTTCATAAGTGTTTTCAATGTTTTTCAGATGATCCAAGCCAATCATGCCCAATGTTTTTTTAAAGGTTTAACGTATGTGAACCCAAAAATGCCCCTCGCAGACGACAACACCGGACATATTTTCCAGCTTCGCTTCGAGGCTCCTCGGAGGCCGCTGATTTTCTACACCAAGGGGCTGGTGGGTGCTGGGGCTGCAAAGATGGGCCCAACTATGAGTGCCCTCTGGTAATTTGTTGCATAGCTATTGAAAATGACACATTTTTAGTTGATTTACCTAAAGGTGGTGATTTTCCATAGCTATGTTAGTTTACCAGAGGGTATGTACCAAGGTAGGTAGTACCAATTTCACCATCTACGATGGGATGTGTCGTGGGAATATAGTGGGGTATCCACAAAATATGCTCAATGGGAATTTCCCCAACTATCATTATACTCAATGGCCGCAGGTACCTAAACTGGAGGTACCGCGCCATATAAAACAATATTTGTTGGGTACATTCCCTCAATATTACCTTACATAGACCTTACATATGGTAGGCACCATTTTATAGGGAGCTCCAGTTTAGCTTTGTACCTGAAATGTCCCCTGAGCCAAGTTGGGCCAATAACTTATGTGAATGATGGTTGCAGTTCATGGGGAAACTTTTACAAGGGACTCGCAGGCGAAAGCGACCAACCCAAGAATGCGGGAGGAATGAGGGTGGAAAGCAGTTCATATTCCCAAGTAACCACAGCCGACCTCAGTATTGAGCAGAATCACTGGGTATACATGTTCTGAGATTCAAAATCACTCAGTAACTTTTTGTGTGTTCCAGGGATTGTTCTGGCCATATTGTTGCCTGAACCCTGTAGTGGTTGGTGATTCAGTCTGCTGTGGTGAATGGTTGGCTACTGTAAACCGATAAATGTGGAATGCGTTTTGCATGCAACCATTACTTGCGTTGACGGCACCAGCCGGTAACCTAAGCATTGGCTCAGTTGCATGAGTCAAGCTATGGATTGGAATCACCACCAACCATGTTTGCATATAACAACGGTAATTATAAATCATATTAAATCATGTTTGATGCAATGACAGATCCAACATGAAACATTGCAGCCATGTCAGCCATGTTTGTCTCAGGTCCTATCACTATTTTGCTGCTCTTTCAATTCTTCTCCGCTGCCATATTCATCTGGGTCGGAGTGTGGAGCTGCGGGCTGTGAACGTTTCAAGATCAAGCAGATATAGGATAGCGGGGAATTTTCCCCAAAGGGGCTTAGGATATATAGCCATCTCACCAGAATGAGGGAATATGATAGGGATACTTTCATAGGGAAAATCATTTGAATATTCATGGAATATATCTGGATGTCGGTCGCGACCTTTCATTTACCACATCGTAAATGATGGGTAGGTTTGGGGGAAATTCTGCCAACATGTGTTTTTTGTTCCATGGATTTCCCCTTGGTGCTCCATTTGTTTGTAGATGTTTCACGCGGATGATCCCCAGTTGACTAACATTCTTGGAATGGATGTTTTCAGGTCAGCAATCAGACTTGACTCTGGACAGGTAGACGCAGAATTTTGAGCATGTCATTACAGCAATTATGGGTTTTCGTTCGCCCCAGGACTTGGGTGTTCGAAAAAAAGAAAATAGATTACCACCAAAATTGATGGTCATTCATCACTCTCCCCCTTCAAATCACTATTTTGATACCCCATGTCCAGGCACGTTAACTTGTTTGTGGCTCTTTTTTCCACATCTTGTTTGTTGACGCCTGTAGTTGAAAGGTCCTAAGGCCGACTGATCATCGGTGCTAAGATGGCGCCCTCTGCTGTCAAGGTGGAACCTGACTGGGACCTTCAAACGGCGATTTGGTACGTGATGGTCACAGCAACCACCGTAGGCGCGCCGCAAGAAAACGTTGGCAGGGCCGGGGTGCTTGATTTCACCAGCAAATTGCCTGTAAAATAGTATCCAAAACGGAGATGTGTCGGTTTTCGAACCTGGCAATGGACAATCCTCATCCGTATCCATTGACAGATGCATTTCCTACCAGTAGTGCCGCACAAGGCGGTGGCGGAAGTTTCAAAGATAGGAAACTATAGGAGAGGTGAGTTGTTGTGATGCATGGATGGCAGAGCGAATCCACTGATGGACCGAAGGTGGTTGTGTTTTTGGGAGTGGTTGCAGTGGTCACATCACCCACAACTGCAGGATGTAGTGCGGTGTAGCGAAGTGCATTGTAATTGTAGTTGTAGATATAGTGTTGTTGATGTTGTTGAAGTTGCAATGCTGTAGTCCTTGTTGTAGTTGTAGTTGTAGTGCAGTTAAAGTGTAGTTGATTTTTTGTGTAGTAAGTAGTAGCGGTAGTTGTGCTGTGAGTTGTAGTTGTAGTTGTAGCTGTAGCGTCGTTGTAGCTGCAGTTGCAGCTGTAGTTGTAGTTGTTGTGGTAGCTGTAGTCGTAGTCGTAGTGTTGTGTACTGGTAATTGTAATTGTAGCTGTAGCTGAAGTGACTTGAAGTGTCCTTGAAGTTGTTGTAGTTGTAATTGTAGTTGTAGTTGTTGAAGTGTAGTTGAGGTTGTAGCGCAGTTGCAGTTGTAGTTGTAGTGTAGTTGCAGTTGTCTATCTATCTGTCTCTCTATATCTGCTTATCTATCTGTCTATCTGATTATTTCTCTATCTGCCTCTCTGTCTATCTAGCCATCTTTCTATCTATCTATCTATCTATCTATCTATCTATCTATCTATCTATCTATCTATCTTTTTTTTTATCTACCTATCCATCTATCTATCTATCTATCTATCGATCTATCTATCTATCTATCTATCTATCTATCTATCTATCTATCTATCTATCTATCTATTTCTCTATCTGTCTATCTGCAAGCTTGAAAAGGAAGCAATTCTGCGAGACTTCCTCAATTTTTCAACTTGACAACGTCACAAACAGAGCAATTCTGCGAGACGTCCTCAATTTTTTAAGTTGACATCATCAAAAAAGAAGCAATTCTGCGAGACTTCCTTCAAAAATGGAAAGTTGAGTGCAAAGCTGACGGCCTCGTACCAATGCGTTTTGCGATTTTTCCGCTCCACCTATCTAAAGTATTGCGCCTGCCGCAAAAAAGTGATGCCAAGTCATACGAAGTGCTGCACCTGTCACGCAACATCATCTTAGCAAACCTGACGGTCTGATGCACCAAAATGCAACCCATCTCAGGAAATCAGCGCCCTGACCTCGCAACATCTCTGATGAACATGTCTCTTGTTCTGCGCCTGCCCCGGGAAATGCATCTTTACAGACCCTCCTCAAAAGTCCCACACCTGCCAACATTTTTGAAACTGCTACAAAATCCTCACGTTTTTCTCACTTTTGACAAGGTGCAAAAGGGTGCGCCTGCCACACGAAACGAGATCTGAACGTCCAAAAGTGGTCCGGCACCGGTAGTTTTTGACACTTTTGACTCGGAAATGTGCTTCGCGCCACAACGGCGTGCAATTGTTCATCTCTGGAAAAACACAGTGATTCGCTACTTTTCTACCTTTTCGCCCACCGGCATCTTCTTTCTTCTAACTCCTTCTCTTCTCTGATCTTCTTTCTTCTTTTTTCTTCTTTATTATTTATTATGTCTTCTTTCTTCTTTTTTTTTTCTTTTTTCTTCTTTCTTCTTTCTTCTTCCTTCTTTCTTCTTCCTTTTTTCTTCTTCCTTCCTCTCCTCTCCTCTCCTCTCCTCTGCTCTGCTCTGCTCTGCTCTCCTCTGCTCTGCTCTGCTCTGCTCTGCTCTTCTCTTCTCTTCTCTTCTCTGACTCTTCCCACCTCTGCTTTTTCATCTGTCCATTTTGTCGGAAGTTTGACTTCTAAACTTCCTTCGATATCCTTAGGCTAGACTGTCATGTCGGGTATGTTGCTTGACTAAGAACCTTGACTATAAAATCCCGATTGGGGACATTGAGCCCCAAGGTTCATGCCTGGACCCTTTCCCCTCAAGGTCTGCAATCTGCTTCTGTGGGGAGCTGATTCCAAATTTTGTTGGGTGATTCAACATGGTTCAACCCTCGTTGGGTCAAACTGCTTTGCTGCTGAAAAAACTTCTCTTTTTGGTGGTTAAGCACCCACACCACATTTTTGCTGGTGAAGTTTTGAGAATTTCTTACGCAAATTCGCACTGTTGCATCATTTTGGCCGATGAACTCCACCGGTTTCTCCGGTTTTTCAGGCTATGGTGACGTCTCAGTGTCCAAAAGCAACGCCTGGGCCATGGCCTGGGCGTCGCTACACATTCTCCTGTCTGTCAGCTTGCGGCTCGGTCAAGCACCGGAGGTGACGGATTTCTGAAAAGGGCGTAACCGACTCGGTGAGTCTTCAAGCCTTCAAGCCCCCAAAAAAGGGTGGAAATCCCTAAACCGTGGGTTTTCGAGGTGAGTCCAATCCGGGATGGGATGACTTGTAGTGAGCTGTTTGTTGCCCGTAGACACGGTCTGAAAAGATTGAAATTCATTTGCTTTGCAGGGTAAGAGTAGAAGTTGTTGTGGGGGGGCGGTAGCTTGACCCTCAGCTTGAAAGATATGTGGGGAACACATACTCAATTGTTTTGATGAAACCATGCATTTTGATGGGTCTGAGGGTACCCATGTGTACCTAGCTGTATACCTAGCTGTAAACATGGGCTAAACAAACTCGAATCTGGGAATGAACATTGTGTATGTTGATAGGTCTGAGGAGGGTCAACGGAATTGATTCGATATGAAATGATCCCAGCAAATTTATGGCGACATTCCATAAACTTGACATGGAAGTTTGGCGGTCCCAGCTGATGAATGACCGCGGCCAACCCAAAAAATGAGATACTCTTCTGTAAAGACGGGTCGCCTCTCAATTCAGTGAGGGTTGTCCAAATAGGCACAAAACTTTTTAATATTGGAGAAAGTGAGATGCAAGAAAATGTGGGCCGATTCAGTTCCACACTTGTTATTCTTCATTTCTCTGCGCAATTTTCCCCATCGACGCACCCAACAGTGGCCACCCAGAGTTTTTTTCATCGTCCAGTGAGGCTGGCGGCCTTGATTGAAGACATCACAGAGCTGAGAAAGAAACGGAAAGATATGCGCCTGGGTCATCAAACCTGGCAGCGTGTCCGGTCATCCCGCTTGATTTCCTGAAAAACCAGTGACTCAATTTCCGAAGATTTTTGTGGCCGTTTTCCTTTAAATGAGGAATGCATTAAATAACTTAGTATAAGCAGCTATGAAAATCATATCCTGCCAGTGTATCCAAGAAACATTTTATCCATAGCCTTAATTGAACGTGATGTTGCAGAGTCATCACAATCTTCACGGGAGACTGTTGTGCCTGTGAAAACGATGTTTTTGACAGCGGAGGGAAAACACCTTTCCGTTTTTGACGTGATGCCTCTCATGTTAGCATATCTGAGTGGGGGGTGGGGGGTGCCAACAACGTACTGTTCACTTGTGTTTTGATGGGATCACTTGTTGCTACGCTCTTAGATGCGAATATCTTAACTCTCACAAGCAACTTGCAACACGATCTTGTTGCTACCCTCTGAGCTTTCACGAAGAGCTGGCAACACGCTCTTGATGCTACGCTCTTAACTTTCACAAGCAGCTTGCAACACGCTCTTGATGCTACGCTCTTAACTTTCACAAGCAGCTTGCAACATGCACTAGATGCTATGCTCTTGACTTTCACAAGCAGCTGGCAACACGCGCCCTTGATGCTACGTTCTTGACTTTCATAGGCAGCTTGCAACACGCACTGGACGACACGCTCTTTACTTTCACAAGCAACTGACAACGTGCTCTTGATGCTATGTTCTTTTCTTTCGCAGGCAACTTGCAACATGCTGCATGCTTTTAATGCTACGCTCTTAACTTTCACAAACATCTGGCAACACGCGCTGGATACTACGCTCTTTTCTTTCACAAGCAACTTGCAACAGGCTCTTGATGCTACGTCCTTCCCTTTCGCAAGCAACTTGCAACACGCTCTTGATGAGGTGAAACAAAGAGCGCGCTGACGGAAGTGTCCAGATTTATCCATCAGAATCATATTTTCTCAAATTGTGCGAAAGAAAAGAAAGGCATGTCAAATTGGTCGCCCAAAATTGCATAAAAATCAGATTGACAAATCATCTTGGCGCTTTGGTGAAGGAACATATTTTGTTTCAGACAATATCCCCGGGATGTTTCTGCATGTGTTTGCCACTATAGTGAGTTCCTGTGTTTTTCTTTATTGGCATATACAATATGGTCAAATCCCACCAGAAAAGCCTAGTGTGGGCAGTGGGGTTTCCCACCAGGGTTGCCGCCTGATTGGTGGTTGTTGGTTGTCATTTGTTGTGCATGCGGGTCTGGCTGAAAATGTTGGGGAAATCCAGAACATCCTGGGGTTTTAAACCACGTTGCCATACGTATATTGGGGCGTAATCCGCATTTCTGGTCAAACCCATACCATACTCTTGGCTATGTACTTCTTTATCTCGGCATAAGCATGGCTGGTTTAATTCCATGTTGTTGGATATCCCATGATAGATCCCATTAGCTATTATCCAATCATTGTTTGAATTTAAATATATGTGCAGAATGTGCCTTGTTTCGCTATTCTATCCCCAACTGTGGTTGGTTTCACTATGTGTTTTGCCATGTTTTGCAACTTTATTGGCCAATCAGCTCCATGGTCCATTATTTTTCAGATAGACGTTCTAGTGCAATCCTCATAATTGATGGTTAAGTAGCGATTCCTTGGTTTTTTACGCGCCATCAGAATCACATGTCAACATATGTGAGTCGTTTTAGTGGTGGACCCGGTTACTTGTCCCAGAGCCGAGGCTGACCCAGGTGTTTCAGTTCAAGAAATGTCATGAGAAGGCGTCCGGTTGAAACGGAGTGGCTGGCGTGTTGATGATTACTATCTGATGGAAGATTTGTCATGGGAATCTGGTTGGTGGTTTCAAACATGGCTTTTTATTTTCCATAATATATGAGATAATCCTTCCCATTGACTAATTTTTTTTCAGAGGGGTTGAAACCACCAACCAGGAATGCATATGTCAAATTATATTAACGAATGATCGATTTCACAATAATAATAACTATAGTAACTATAGTAACTGAGCAATGTAATGATGATAAATGTAAAAATGATATAACTCCAGAAAGCGCTGGAGTTATCTAAATGGATTTAGAGTGGGATTTAACGATCAATGGGATTTAACAATGCACAATATGGGAAGATAACTTATTATATTTAGATTAATATGCAACTGACCATAAATGATGCTTGGAAATTAATTTGTTCGGGGGTTGTACTGTTTCAACAGATGGATGAGCATCCATTGACCGGCAAGTTTGATGTGAACAGCCACTGATTTTGTTTGATCCATAGGGTTCATACAAGAATATGATAGAATATGGCTCCCCACAATACAAGGAAATCCAGATTACTAATTTTGGGGCTACCGTGTTGACAGACCCATTTGTTGCCCAGCATTCGCAGCACAGGCCACTTTGACTGATCTGGATGCAGACGATACTGGCAGTGTCGACGAAGCAGAGTTGCTTGGAGAAACCAGTTGCTTTGCAAATTGACGTGCGTGTGTGTGATCAGTTTATGTGGGTCCATCTGAAGTTAGTCGATTTGTTTGACATCATTAAGGTTCAAATTGTGGTTAGTTCACCCGGCGATAATTTTGAAAATCTTTACCCCACTTATCAGAAGTTACAATCACTTCTGGTTCTTGGGTCCTGCAAAAAACACAGTACCGGGACAAATCACATCTCGAAAATCCATGAAAATCCTGCAGCTTCAGGTAGGTTCATGCGTGACTGATCCTTTCGGCAGGCATTGTTTCACGCTGGAAAGGATCAGCTGTTGAAGGGTTGAGCACACCAGGTTGACTGGATTTTAGCTTGGTGTTTCTGTGGTTGAACGAAGGTGTTGGTTATTCCTTACCTGGCCTTTCACAAGGAAAAAAACATAAGTGACAATAACAATCGATGCAGATTCCCTGTCAGGAATGAACCATGCTGGATTTATTACCGAAGGGGAAGATAAGTTTTCGCGGATTCTGAGAGGAAAAGATGCTCTTTCGCTTGGTCTTCTCCTTTGCATTTGCAACTTGAACATTGACATTTCAAGCCAAGAGAAACATTACAACATCCCCAAAACGTTGCAGATACATGACATTTCCTCGCTGTCGAAGGTTTGTTTTGGGCATCTTGGTAAAGATCGGCAAAGTGGATGAAGTGAACGATGTGGAGCCGATTAGGGTGCCGATTGCGTCGGGGACGCGTGCGGGCGATTATTGACAAAGTGATGGTTTTTGTGGGTTGCCGCGGCATAATGTGGCAAAAATATGTAGAATTAAGATAAGTCATCATATCAAAGAATTTAGAACAACATATAAATATTTTCAGAGGATACCGTACATGATCCAGACTTTCATGGTTTGTTTCACAGATTGAACTGTGAACAACATTTATATATCTTGTCATGGATGAACGTTGCCAAGATACAGTTTTATTGGGTTGATGCAAGTCCGACCAGGACTGTTTGGTGTGTGTGTGTGCGTAGTCGAAGTTTGGATCGTGGCTTCACATGTTCTTACTGCCCTTAGATAATTATTCACCCCGGCTACAGTGGTTTAATCTACATAAGTAGTTGTGGTTAAAAATCGTGGTTTATCTCCAAAGTCGATTGCTCTGAATCATTTGCTAAACATTTGGCCACCGGCCAAATCGTCCGTGCGCCGTGCGCCCAGAAGATGTTCAAGGGCATCGAGGGCATCGATCATGACATGGACATCGGGCTGGGGGGCTGGGCAGTGACATGCGGCCAATCGGCCAACCAAAAAGAGTGGAGATCTGGGCATTGGGCATCTTAGGTAAATCAACATTTGTTTTGGGGTGTTTTAGAACGCCAAATGGTGCATTGTACCCCAATATTTGGTTCTTTCATGTTTTTCTTGAAGTGGCTACTCCAAATCATTAAACATTGGTCCTCTGAGCGAACGGACCGCCTGACAACCCGCGTTTTTTTTTGGTGGTGTTACGCTGCTTAATTTGAGCCAGCAGCTGGGATTTTTTGGTTGTTTTTTGCCGTTAGTGGGGTGGGGGGGTTGGAGGGATGAGGGGAGGCAAATAACGTCCTATTGCCTTCATTCCTCCAACGTGCTTTTGAGATGTTACGCTGCTGTTAGCTTGGTCATGGAACTTCGTCCACGCTCTGGACGCTACGCTCTTAAGTTCGTCATATGACTTCGTCCACGCTCTCGATGCTATGTTCTGAACTTGGTCATGCCACGTCGTCCACGCTCTTGAACCTATGCTCTTAACTTGAAAAGACTGGCAGGTGTGGGAGGAAACCATAAGGAGCCTCCAAAGTCGTGCAAAGACCATTGAAAGACAACATGATGTGACAAGCAATTCTATAAAGTCATGCTCAAAATGACAAGCAATTCTATAAAGTCATGCTCAAAACCTGTTTTTTTGAAAAAAACAGACAAATGCAAACATCAAAAAAGCAGCGAGGTCATTACACGGCCGGTTATTACCTCGACTGAAAAAGGAGAAATTGAACAATGGTTTGTGGTAATTAACGCAATATTGAGAAACACCTAAATGGTGGAGCTGATGGTTTGGGTAATGATGTTTTAGAATGTCTCACGTAAAGCATGTCAAAACCCAGTCATGTGCTTTGTATCATGTATCATTAGGGACCTTAAGAATTGCCGATCTTTGCCACCAAAAAGAAAAATAAGATCCACCGATCTGATGGCATTTGATTGACGGTCATACATGTATCTGGGTAAAGTATAACGACCTCACTGCGACCTCACTGCGACCTCACTGGAATCATGGTTAATAAGGGAAATCATCCCCAAATGGCCTTAATTCAGGTTAGTGAAATATTGTAATTTACCCAGATGTATGCAGACTTGCTTCCTGTAGCAGGCCTCTATCAAACTCACTGATGGTCCAGCAATGGTTTTTCAACACTCAGGTTTTTTTATCTTTACACAAAAACACGTAAAACACCAACAAAAACAGCACCAGGGTTTTGACCCATCTCCACGTGAAGGATCATTCATAATATGCCGCTATGCCTACTACACTTTCCACACACCTCACTCTTGTCCACACAATTTTTCGATCTTTGTGAGTTGCAGGATATTTTTTCTGGTGTAGAGGTACATAGAGGTACAACTGGGCGAAGGATTGGACACGTATACTGTAGTTAGATTTTTGTTGTTCAACGGGTGAAATGAAATCGTCCAAAATAGATTGATTGATTATGAGTCTCAATCCCATTAAAATGATATCCATGTATAATTCCGCATAGTTTCATATCCCAATCATTGATATCCTATACCTCCACTATAGTATTATCCTCAATCATAGTACGCAGTATTGGGTTATCGTCTAACTCCATGTGGGTCCCATGTGTGGGGAGCTTAGTACTGCACTGCACTGCGCTAGGACGGCAGGATAAATGTCCGTAAGCTGGACACGGAGCCATACGAAGGCAGACCTGCTGGGATGTGCGTACTAGCCTTGGAAGGGACGAAAGAAACCTATAGTGTATGGCCAAAGAGGTTACACCCTTCTGGCAATGTGTTTTACTTCAGAAATACGCATGAGATTCTGCTGAGATAGAGTTGGATTTCGGGTGTTTTCATGGCTATCGGATATGTGTTGATATGTTAGACAAAGATACAAGAATAACCCCATACCTTTTGAACAATAATGAGAGCCATACCCTAAAAGTCTTAGGACCTCAAAAAGTAGGTCCTTAGGAAAAGTGGTACATTCGCCGAGGTTTTTAGCATTGCCGAATTTCTACGCACTGATGTTTTATAGCATTGCCGAATTCTGACTGCCAAGGTGTTAGATCAAGATTTTTATCCATGAGTCATCCCTATAAAAGATATAAAAAGCAGGTTTCCAACCTGCAGAGCTACTTCTTTTTCCTCCCTGGCTGCGATATGAGAGAACTCACCTGCTTTTTTTTCCCTTCAGCTATAAAAGCTTCTGAATCTCGCTATCCGCCATGGCACGTACAGCCCAAACCTAAAACTAAGACGTTCGATCTTAAAATCGCGTGAGCAGAACCCTCAAAGCGACCCCATGTTATGAGCGATCTTGAAAAAATCGCCAGCAATTTGGCAGAAACTGTTACGCACGATTGCTGGCGATTGCTGGCGGTTGCTCACGGTTGCTCACGATCTCTCATATTTTTTGTCTCTATATATATTGTTGCTATAATTGCCGAAAACGTTCCTTTTGAGGTCCTGGGACCTTACTTTTTAGGCCCACTTTCTATATGTTCACGGCTGCTCAAGCTCACGATTGCTCACGATTGCTCACGATTTATGTGCGCGCGTTAATTGCTTGCACTTGCCAATAAATCGGCTTTTTGACTCGGTGCATGCACGTGCACGTGGGTCCAGCAGTGCAAACCGCAGGCAAAATCTAGAATTATATTGCCATATGGCAAGTCGAAGCCGGGATGACGATGTGTTGGGCCGAAAATGTCATCATGGAACAGCTTTGCTTCATATTCCAACATGCGCTGTTTTTTCAATGCTCTGGCCATTTATGGCCATGATGTGGCAATCCCTTTAGCCAAACAGCATCAGACATGGCTAGAGAAGATGTACTTTTTAGGACCATAGACCTAAAAAGTACATGTGGCTGATTTTCGGACATTCCTGGGACCTCAAAAAGTAGGACCACTGACTTCTAGGGATATAAAAATATATATATATATGTGTGTGTGTATTTACATATATATATATATATACATATATATATATATATATAGATGTTTATATACATATATATATATATATATATGTGTGTGTGTTTGTCCAAGTATGATGGGGATCAGTGGAGTCATACCCTTTCCCACGATGGGACGTCCTCAAGTTGCATTCTTTGGCAAATCGAAGTAGCATTGACCACACGACCACTGCGGGCCCCAGTTGTCCTTTGGGATCAGGGTTGCCAGGGCCTTCGTTTCTTGAGAAGCAACAAGTGAATGGAGGTTCTCAAACTTTCTCATGTACCCTCTGGGGAAAAAACATGGCCATGGAACATCTTTACAATTCAGGGTTTATAATGGGAAAATCAACTATAAATGGGGGATTACCGGCAGGTAGTCTGACAATCACTCGAGGTTTGACCCCTACCCGGTCCTAAGTCTGGAAACGCGCATCCAGCGGTCGGGTTCCCACCACTGTCAAGTGTTACGGCCCCTGTACGGAACATATGAAGCAGGATACAGGATGATACAGGATTTTTTTTGCATTTGTATTTCTTACGAAAAAGACGTCAGAATGAAGTTGACTCAAGAAATCTCATTTCAGGTGTATGGTGAGAGTACCGAGTTCTATGGTGGCCAGTTCTGAACAAGGCTAAACAATCCCAGTTGAAGTATATAGCATATAAACTATTGCCTTTTTGCAAAGTGACGTATATAATCCATGCTGTTCTCAAGTTCAATTTGATCTCACCCTGTTTCTATCCACAAAACGGGCAATTTTCATAGCTTGGAAGAGCTCATAGCTCTTCCGACCATCTGGAAAATGGGAAGAATTGAAAGCAACCGGCATTCAATTCATGGGCTTCTTTGTTCTATGTTTGTTGGAGATCATCGGATTCAATACTCGTCCACCAGATTCTGGTGGTTTGAAACTGATAGTATTGTTGACCAATCAAGAGTGGGATTTTTGTCCAGTGATATCCAGTGATAAATCTGCTCGTTGTCAACCTTCCAACTATCATGCGGGCCATAATGTTGGCTGCCTAATAGTAATTACCCCCCCTATGTTTTTTTTTATTATTTTTTTTTAGGGGGGGGGTCAACCTTCCTATAATCATTTTTGGGAATCTATAGCTGGGATCATGATATGTATCTGATAGATTCTCCATGGTTTTGTTGGGTTTCTGATAGATTCTGAATGGATTTGGTTGGGTTTCTGAGAGATTGGCGAAGAGTTGGCAAGGCGGAAGTGGACATGGAAGTGGGGGCAGAGGTGGTGGAGGCGAAGGAGGAGGACGAGGAGGAGGAGAAGAAGGAGAAGAAGGAGAAGGAGGACAACAAAATTGGAGTTGCGGAAAAAAGTTTCCACTATTGCCATGCCTGGTGCAGGTTGGTTATTGCTATTCTGGGCTTGCAAAGGGGGTACCCTTTGTGGACCTGTTTTCTTGCTTTTTTTAATAAGGGTTTTATAAGGAAATCAGCTGTTTAGTAATTGGATCAGATTTCAGGAATCTAAGCTTCTGCTAATCAAAAGTGAAGGCTGCTTTGAAAAGGATTTGCTTTACTTGACTCTGTTGGCAATACTAAAAGTAAATAGAGCTAATTGACTTTTAGTATTGGAGAAAAATTGGAGTTGCGGAAAAATGTTTCTACTATTGACAAGATATCACTATTGGTCAGACAACATTACTTGGTCAAAAATCCTCATTATGGCCACCAATCACAGCGCCTAGATATATGTAAGCCGCTTTTGTTGATTCACCACTATTAGACTGCATAAGCAATCCCACTATATTAACCAAAAACATGTATTTGTTGATGCACCAACCCCAGGCAATACACGCGCTACACACGATTAAAAACATGACAAAATACCACAAAGCTAAGGCCCCATCATTCGTCACTAAGAAATAATAATCGTTAGTTACACCCTGTGGTTATTTAACATAGCCATGGAAAATGGCCCATTGATAGATGGTTTACCTATTAGAAATGTTGATTTTCCGTGGCTATGTTGAATAACCAGATGGAAATAATCAATACCCTTCAACCAATATGAGGGGGTTGACAGCCCCAAAGGGGCCTTTTTGTCGGATCTCGTGGACCTTCACCAGGTCGCATGAAAGAGCAGCTGCGGAAGCTTGATAACTACGTGCGACAGGACCGACTGACGATCGGCCCGCGGCTCGTTGTACTTCTCTTGTGCTTTGGGACCATCACCATGATGGAATCAGATTCGGGGGTAAAAATCAAAGACAAATCAGCTCTAAACACTCGAATCCCCCGTTCATCTTAAAACATGGGGGTTTCCAGGATGACTGGTGGGATGAGATCCAGCTGGGGCATACACCCAGTCATCCACGACTCAGTGGGATTGTCTATTAACCATCCAGTTTGGGGAACCCCCCATTGTAGGGAACCCCCCTTATAAGGATAGTGATAGTCTGATCGTCCTGTACTAAAGTTTGGGGCATCCTGTGATGTCGTTGACTCTGGCAAAAGATGGAGAATGAACAAGCACATGTAGAGTGCTTGATTGATAAAAGATAGAATCAACTGAAGTATGGAAGAGTGTTGTCTGCCCAGAAGTAGTCAATCTCAGGATACCCCAGCGGCAGTGTGGATAGCGAGAACAACAATGAAATCATGGTGAGAATGAGAAAGTATATAATGGTGCCCTTTCCAGCATGAACATGTTCGTCATGTGCTGTTTTGTTGACAACGACCGTTCACCGCTACTGTCAGTGTTTCATGTGGCATTTCAATAACACAGATTCGGTGCATGGGGCTTTGGTACCTAGGACTTTGTCATACTTTGTCCAGGGCTGGAACCTATTCCAACTGGATGCAGATGTTGAGTTTTGGATTCACAAGTCGTGGAATTATCATGCCTAGATCCTCCATGCTTTTGAAATAGTCGGTGTAGAGTCTTTGGGTATCTTTGAGTCTACTGTAAATAGTTGTCATTTATGTACCCTCTGGTAAACTAACATAGCTATGGAAAATCACCATTTCCAATGGGCAAAACCACTATAAATGGCCATTTCCAATAGCTATGTAACAAATTACCAGAGGGTAACCCCCTTTTTGGGCGACCAAATGCTGTCTGGCTTCCCTTTTGTGAACGTTCCTGGGGTCTCCACGACTTGGCGACTATCGACGACACACCTGAAATGCAGTGTCCGGACAAACTGGGATGGAATTCGGAAATCAGAACGGAAGTGCGATCAAGATATACGTATATATATATATAGATAGATAGATAGATAGATAGATAGATAGAATAGATAGATAGATAGATAGAATAGATAGATAGATAGATAGATAGATAGATAGATAGATAGATAGATAGATAGATAGATAGATAGATAGATAGATAGATAGATAGATAGATAGATAGATAGATAGATAGATAGATAGACAGATAGATAGATAGATAGATGGATAGATAGATAGATAGATAGATAAATAATTATACTTATATATATATTTATATTATGTTATATCGTGTATATTTTTAATAATTTATATTATCTTTTTTGAATGTATTATATTATGTTATATGTGTGTCATGGTCATGCGGCAAGTTGTGTTTTTTTCTTTTGGTAACAAAAACTTTTTCTGAGGAACTCCGAGTTTCTATCAGAGTTGTGTCTCGCCGATCTCCAGGAGCTTCATCTCATGGAGATGGATGAAGCTGATAAGGTGCAGCCGCTGAGCCCCAAAAAGCGAACAGAGATATGTTACTATTACCCTCTGGTAATTTGTTACATAGCTATTGGAAATGGCCATTTATAGTGGTTTTGCCCATTGGAAATGGTGATTTTCCATAGTTATGTTATGTTAGTTTACCAGAGGGTAATATCTATCAATATGATATACAACACAATGGTACCTCAACAATGAGACTGCCCCAGGGGGTTTTGATATATATATATATTAATCCTTGGCAGGCCTCTTTGTTTCTGCACTGGCGGCACTAGCGTGTTTGTTTTGTTTGTCAGCAACCAGATATTGTCATATATTGTCAAAGTGCAATGATGACCTGCTGATAGTCAAGATGTAAATGAAAGCGCTTGTAGATGCTAAGGATGATGAAACGAAGAGAAAACCAATCCCCTAAAACGGATCTGCCTGAAATAGGATACCCCCAATAATTCCGATGGATTCTCATCATGTTCCCCATTAGACTTGCAGCTTGTGCAATAAATCCCTTATGTTTAGACAAACACAAGATAACATTGAATGACATCAGGATGTAGTGTTTGCCATATGCACAGGACGCCCAGGCAGCAGGACAGACTTTTTTTTTTGCATAGGATTTAGTGGAATAACATATTGCACATTTCACATTAGATATATATACGTAACTACACATTATATACATATATACATATTTACATACTTACATATATTATATACATATATACATATATACATATATAAATATATACATGTATACATGTATACATGTATATAATATACATATATACATGTATACATTTGTACATATGTACATATATACATATTTCATACATGTATATTTTATATATGAACACATAATACCCAGTGACAAGTGACTAACCATCACTGCTTCGATTGGATCATCCAAATTTGTCATCAGCTTACCACTGTTTATAGTCATATCCCCATATTTGTCAGCTATTATATACTCCTTACCCGCAATATTTTACCAGCAATGATTCATACATAGCTGAAATATATTTAGAATTCATCTATAATCATACTAGCTGCGCGTTGTTGCTAGATGTTGCTAGTTCTGTCTGTCCATTCCCCTTTTGGTTATTATGTAACTGTATATCCCATTATATATCACCCACTAGCTATTTTCAAACCCCATGATTCCTCCTTGGTTCAATTGTCATGTTACTCCCCAAATATTTAAAGGGCAAAACATAATATGCTGCTGAAGTGTTTCCAGATACAGTACTACCACCGTATTTCATGCCGAACAATCATGCCACGGTTTTCCATGGTTTTCCTCCAGATCCCAGATATTCTCGCCAAAATCTCGCAACACCAGGAGAGGAAGAACAAGGAACGCCACGATAAGGAGGCCAAGGCACGCCAGGACAAGGACACCGCCACGCCGCACCTCGCCCCCTCCGGCGCTCGCGTGGTACCTGAACACACTGTTGACCCACGACCCCCGCTGCCGGCGCCTGCCGACCCGCCGCTGCCGGCGTTCGTGACGCCGCTGCCAGCGCGCCCGGCGTCGCCCGTTGCGCTGGTGCTGCAGCCGCCACCGCCGGCGCATCCGCCACCGGAGGTGGCGCGTTGCACCACGGTGTATGTGACCTGGTGAGAAAGGAAGAATCAATTGAATAAGGAAGATGTATAATTCAGACGTAGATGGGAAAATATTGGAAACATGGTATCTCTATAGTATGATAAAATATAATTCCATTGTTTGTAGTTGGTGTTGTTAAATCATTCGGTAGATGAACAATTGAACTTAACCCTTGGGAGTACAAAAGGTTAGGGTAAGGTTGTTGTCACAGCTCAAGTGGAAATCCCCGTTGTTACACTGGTCAAAAGTGAGGAAACATTGGACATGTCCATGTTTGATGTCAAGTATAATAATCTATATGAATGGAGATTGAAATAGTTAAGACATAGGAATGTGGCGAACAGAAGCTTGGGGTAGGGATATTTTGGGTAGAAATTTAGTGGAGACTTAACACCACTAAATAACAGTGATATATATCTTATGGTTGACAGATAATTCATCTTAACTTGACATAGAACAAACATGACCCCTGGAATTGAACAAGAACGCAGTGAGTTTCAGGTTCAATAATTACCCTCTGGTAATTTAACGGTTTGCTATTGAAAATTGCCATTTATAGTGAGTTTTCCCATTAAAAATGGTGATTTCCAGAGTTATGTTAGTTTACCAGAGGGTACAGGTACCATAGTTTATGTTGGCAAGAAAGAAGAAACTACGGATTGACAATGCGGCCGCGGACGTGGTCGTCCTTTGTTCACAGCAGAGTTATTAGGTGCGGGTCAATATAACAGGTTGACCCATGCCCAGTTTCATCACTTTCAAGCATTCTTAGCTTCGAATGGAAGTACTTAATTTGAGATTATTGCCTTCAGTTTTATTTGTTCTCCACATGAAATTGTATGGCGTTGGCCTTTTTGATTTTCTTTCTCTTCAAGGTAATCTCAACAGGTCGTTCGGACCGTGGTCCAGCGTTAGTTGGACCATGATCCGAGCCTTGGCTGCTGCCTTTTTGGTTTCTTGCTCGAGGGTGCAAGGCCCAAGGGAGACAGATCCAGGGTGCCTTGGAGATTTCCAGATCAACCAAACGGGCGTCGGTAAAAGTTGGAACACCTGAGACACAGGATGAAACATCTGGCATTGTTAACACATGTGAACAGCAACAGAATAACTCTGATCCTAAACCCCGAGGCCGCCCGTCGTCCTCCGGCCTCCAGAAAATGGTGTTTTTTGCAATTGTTATGGCTGTTTGCGCAGGAAAATCATGAACCGTTAGTAGTATATGGTCATATTAATGTCGCGCATCAATATTATGCAACCGTTCGGCATCATGTCATGATGACTGTTTGGCTTCGAGGCAAGCAATCCCTTAAATCCCGTGCCCAAGCAAGATGATAGAGGAATCCCATCCCCCATATTGAACAGCCCCACTTTGTTCCTCTGGTCCCAACGATGTGAAGAAAACCCAACAAAAAAACAGCATGGATTATCTCACCCTGGAGCTGTGCTGTACTTTACGCCATGGTGAAATCACCAAAAACTGGTTCTGGTGACCGACGCGGCGCATGACTGGCCCGATGTCATACTAATAAATGAAGGGACCAAGAATGAAGGGATGCCACTGAAAATTGACATTTAGATGGGAAAAATGATTGTCAATCATAAGATTTTTGGGTATTCTATTTTCAGAGAAGCGCAGTTGCAGCCATCTGAGAGTATATGATAGGATCTTGTAGGGATAGAGAAAAGACACGAGAAAACCAGCCATGGTGAATTCGTCCTTGCCCATAGAATCTTGGGCCAAGCAATGCCCAGCTACCACCACAGTTCCCAACCACTTACTGGTGTCAACTCGTGAACAGTCGGCTCATTGCATCTCCTTGCGTTTTTTGTTTCAGCTTGACATAGGACTTTTGGATATTCAACAAACAATGTAGGGTATCTAAGGCTAGAATATCAGATCCACAAAGATGTAGGATGATGTATGGGTATTATCCAACAATCATGGGAATTTAGTCCACATACCCTGTTTCTTGCTTTATTACATTCCCACGTTTGTTGTGTAATTCTTCCCCTTAACTCTCACCCTTCATGGCCGCCCGTGTGGGGGCCTTCCAAACCGCCAGTCGCCATGCGGTCCTGGGGTGTTGGGCGCCGGTGTCGCCATAGCCAGTAGCTAGCGGTGCTTCAAGAGACTGTTAGACCGCACCTGGGATCATGATCCCAAGATGTGGTTTTTTTAAAGCCATGATGGGAATTCGTCACTGCCTGTATTTAAGGTACATAAAATGATTAAAATGATGTCCCTTGTAATACTATGGATTACCAGCCATATGCCAATTTTGTTTTTTGTTTTATATGCCACTGAACCATCAACTAACGTGGTTCACTCGGTTCAACAGTCCCAACATATGAAGATGTAATTGACAAATGATGCGTCCAGTTTGAGGATTTCATATACTGTACTCAATGGATTTTCCCAGTGGGGATTTATCTTTTTCCACATATTTAAGCAACATCGAACGAATAGCCAAGAGAAATGGGGATGTAGTGGCCAGATGTAGCCAGCAAGATGGTTCCATTTTTTCTGTGATTTGCCATCCCCAAAGGGGAGAATGATCCCACCTTCATATTTTCTCATGGGTCCTTGACCTACCAATTACCAACTACCACGTATGTTGCGGAGAAAAAGGTGGCGGACAGGATCCGTTTCAAGTTGAAGCCCTTGCCATACGATGCATATCGCTGAGATGAGCTTGTTATAGGTATGTCTATTTCTGGTTGGTCAAACATGGTGACAAGCATTGCCATCCCTCCAAACTCACATAGACCCTGTCAGATACAGGGTTTGAAGGAGACATTGGAAGACAAGTTTAATCTAAGTCTAATCGATTCTAACCGGATTCTTATCGGGGTCTATGATACTTGGGATTGATCATCTATAGTCATAATTCATAATTTTATTGTTTTGTTGTGGATACTGTATGGAGAATATTACTGGAAGACTAGCCTAGAATCTATATAATTTTATCCATTAATAGACAATGAGCATAACAATAATAACCATTATAGAGTAGTCCATGAGCATCTATTTTAAAACCATTAGATGGTGATTGCCAGGTCTCTTTCCTCAATTTCCAACCCATTCGGCGCTTCTGCCAGATTCTGCCAAGCGAGCAGACGGAGGCCTGAAACTGGGGATTTGCTTCCCCCATGCTGGAAAAACCTTAGTTTTTAGGGTAGGTTTAGTACCAATCGGTTTTTGGAAAATTATCTAGGAGTGAAATTTAATGGGATTTTTAGTAATTGGATCTATAACCAAGCATCATTATCTGGATGAATTATAATGACCTCACGTCGTGACATCAATGGAATGATGATTAGGATTCGGTGAATCATCCCCATAGCTGGCCGCAAGTTTCGGGTATTTTGACGCCATGGCGAATTACTGCAATTCAGCCAGACATGGAGAAATATGTGTCTGCAGTAAGAGCATCCCTGACCTTCAGATATTTTTGTCAGCTCTTGGTCATTTTCCAGTTTGAATACAAACTCCCTACTCAATGCTCGGAAGGGTTGATATAAGGTCAGCCAATGTCAACCACAGCTGTAATTCGGATAGCAGGAGGTCCACCCTAGCCCTGAGGGGGTTCTCAAGTCATGGGGGATCCCCAAGTCGCCATGGATTTCACGACTACGGTCATCCAGTGGTGAGGCCAAGATAGCGGCTAGCCGCCACTGGGATTGACCACGGGCCAATCAGATTGTTTTTAGCCAAAAATCATTGGTTTGAGTGGTTAAGTTCCCGCATGTTTGATGGTTGAGCCAGTTGAGCCAATAGTTGAAGTTACCCCACGTTTTTCAGAGTGGTGAGTCAAACCCCTATTTTCATAGTGAAGTCTCCCATTCTCAAGCTTCGCTGGTAAAATGCCCATGTTTGTTGCTTGGAAACCTTCATTCTCGCGGATTAGCTCCCCAAATTTGCTGGTGAAATAACGGTGTTTTCATGCTGATGGCTTCTTTTGGTTTTTGTCTTTGTGGTGAAAAAGGGGGATGGCATCATTGTCGTCCGTGCTGATGCTGAAGGTGTGGTGAAGTTAGATAAAGTGCGAAACTCCAACAACTCCATGACCATGGAAGACATTGGGCATTTGACAGTTGACCAAGGGCGATGGTGAAACGCCTTGGTTCAATGGCTACAGATCACCTGATTCTGGAGGCATGGAGGGTTGAAGACCGTGCCCATGAACTTGATCAAATCTTGGCCGAGCAATGGCAAGGGCAAGTTGCTCATCTTTCTTACCAGTTTCGGCACTACCCAAGGCAGTTCATGGTGGCGATGTCTTCTTCTTTTGGCATGAGTTGGACATCATGGAGACTTTCACATCTACCATTTTCCATTGGATTTCATGGGATTTCACCCATCTTCTCCCCTAACGCGTTCTAGGCGGAGCTGCGCGCGGAAGAAGAACGGCTTCAGCGGGAGGAGGCAGGACACGAGTATGAGGTAACTCCTCTGAAGCGGTTGAAGCCATGAAACATAGTTTGGTTGATTGGTTAACGTATATATATATATATAAGGTGAATGGATGATAATTGAAACGAATACGTATGACAGTGATCTATAATTATCTACATACTGGAGCATAATGGACAATAGTGGATGACAATGGATGATAATGGATAATAGTGGATAAGACCCTGGTTGATTGGTGAATTTGTTGGGAGTTATACTAGATACGTTATCGTATTTATTGGGGATGATGACAGCCCATAGTAGGGAAACGGTTTTCAACCAACTAGTATACTGAGATGGGATGGAGATATTTTTAGTGGCTCAATTGGGGATTTACATAACCAGCAAAGTGTGGGATGTTTCTGGTTGAAATGGGATTTCAAACTTTTATATGTGGTAGTGGACCATAGATTTAATGAATTTCTGGTTGAAATGGGATTTGATAGTATGCCTAAATAATTTTGATAAATTGTATTTGCACCCGCATTAATGGTATTGTTTTTTTTAATGTTTAATAGGTAATAGGTACCATCCAGATAGCGGGATATAGGAACCACTTTTTTTGAAAAAAAAAACAGCACAATCCATGTCAAAAGTTTGTTCAATATCCTGTAATACAGTAACGTTCTTTTGATCTTTCCGGGGGTCCTATATATGTACGTATAGTTTGATCTCATGTTTTTTTTAGAGTACTGCCGTTCAATCTTCGATATTAGAGGTAAACGTCAAACCCAAAAAGAGTCTAAACTGCAGCAAAATCCCCAACATTTAACCATATGACTGGCCCATTATCGGTGTCAATACTGCTTTGGATTGCTGGAATCATCGCCACCTCTGCTGACATGTTTTTTCTGGAGCCTTGAAGAACCACTGCCGCTGCACGTCAGTGATTACCTATGTACATCAATATACAGCATGATACATTATATAGATACATTATATATATATACATTTATATGTGTATATTCCGATTTCTTGCTGATCTGTCTCCATGTTTGGGTGAAACCCAAAAACATGTTGGTCAGTTGAATCCGCTAGTAGGGACTTTGTTCCCAAATCTTTGGATAAGTTTTCTTGATTACATCTGGTTGGTGGTTTGGAACATTGCTGGATTATGACTTTCCATATTTTGGGAATGTCATCATCCCAACTGACGAAGTCATATTTTTCAGAGGGGTAGGTATACCACCAACCAGTTATGTTCAATGCAAATGTGGATTGGATTGGTCTCTTCAGACTTTGATTTCTCGTGAAATCTCATGTGTATTGGTTGACTCCTTCACAAAAGACTGTCCATTGTCGATATTGATCATCTTACCCTCCAGTAAATTAACAGTTCGACCCTGGCAGTCATCGGGCTTGGAAGATTTGTTTCCACTAGAAATGGGTGACTTTCAGGGTCAAACAATTGGAGGCTCATCCCCAAGCACTAGAATATCACCCATGTTGGTTAAATCACCATGTGGATTCCCCATTCAATTCACTCCTTTAAAATGCCCCATTGAACCTTCATGAACCCAGTGATGGGTCAAAAAATAAGCCCTGTGAAACCACAGATTTTTGTATATGCTCAGTATTAAGGAACTAATTATTGGAGTATCCAAATTTAAACTATGCAAATCTGAGTTGAGGGATCCAGTTTCTACTGGATGGAGACATCTTCCCATAGGCCAAAAGACAAGCAGCGCTGGACAAAGAGGAGCAGCGTTTGCAACGTCAAGGGCTCAACGTCAACTGGGAAACATGGTTACCTTGCGTAAGGGAAACTATGATAGAATATGATAAACTAGTGGATTGGGGTGCTCCCCCGCCAAAAAAACAGCAGACAAACACATATGGAACAGATTCACTATATTTCACTTGCCAAAACGCAGGTACAAAACATCCAGACTGTGGACGCCTTTTGGTAGATAAGTTTCAATGTTTTTTAGAACCAACGCGTTGATATGGAGCTGGGTTCATGTTTTTATATACTGCGGATTCCACAATCAATGATAGACTATCCCCATTTTCGGGGAAGCTAAGCAACATTTGTAGGGCTGTAGTTGATACCAAAATGTCATAAATCACTACTCTTAATTATGCATTGATAATGAATATTATACTTTTGCACCATGAATCCATCATATTTCTCCTGGCGAACTCACCAGGAATCATGGCGAACAGAAGAAAGTAAGATGTCTGTCTGGTCACGCAAAAAAGTGTACCCACTATCATTCATTCAGCCATTTTTGGCAGCATGTGTTTTGCGTTCCATGAAAAACACAAGTCACATCAATTCACCATTATTTTTGGATGGATTTTCCCCCATGAAGTATCTTTTGGGGCTGCGTTGCAGACGTTCGCCCCTCGCCTCAGGTTGCCGACTGAAAGCCCAACAGCTTCAGCCCGAGCCGGACGCTGGGGCGACCGCCAGGGGAGCTCAGCGGCGACCGACTCAATGGGGTGATTTTTCATGGTGATGTCATGGGGAAATAGCACTGTTGAATCATGCGTTGATAATGATGGATCTTGAACGAAATATCCAAAATCGGATGTACCATTGATCAACCCTCTCTTTTCGCGCAGTTCCCGTGTAGTTCTGTCGATTTGGTAGTTGATTAAATCAATCCATTAATTGATTATCATCCATGAATATCCCATTAATATTCCATTTTTTGTTACAATCATTGATTATTCCATTAATCATCGATTCATTTTTGATTGTAATCATATCCATGACTATCCTATTGTTTCTTGCTTCACCCCCTAGCTACTTTATTTCCGGACTATCAACCAGTCCGATGATGCACAGCTGTTTGAATTCGAATGCAAGACAGCACAAGGACCGCCTTATCTGCTGTGGAATGAAAGGAACACCCTATTTATTCCATTAACATCCCATAAGTGTCTATTGTCTCGTTGGTGGTTTGGAACATATCCTTTATGACTTTCCATATATTGGCAATTTCATCATCCCAACTGACGAAGTCCATCATTTTTCCGAGGGGTAAGCTCAACCACCAATCAGAATATTAGATTATATATATATATAAATATAGATTACATTAACCATATATTAACCATATATAGGGCCATAAGTGTCTATTGTTACAAGGCTTCACCATGGTTAACCCCCCGTATTGCTTCAATGGTGGGCTCCACCCAGGTTTGTTCGTTGCTGGTGCGTCTCCCCAGCGGCGGCCGCTTGCAGCGCCGCTTTCAGCGGACCTGGCTGCTGCAGGAGGCACGGCACACCAGAAAATGGATGAAACCATTTGTCATGCCCATATGCTCCATGCATGGTATATTTACCCAATATGTGGGCGATTTTTTGGGGCAAATGTTGGTAAATATTTCATACATGGAGCATATGGCATGGGGTTTGACATGGTTTATGCAATCAGTTACATATTTTTTCTGGGCTTTGACATGGTGCCAGAAATATATATTCTTATCCCATCAATTCTAGGAGTCTCACATGCGTTCACATGGTTTTAACCATCCAAAGTTATGGGGTTAGCATAAAAACATCCACACTGGATTTTATAATGTATGGATTGTCCTATTGTTCATCCAGGAGTACTAGACCACCAATTTTTGAGGGGAAAAAATCCAATGCGTGTTGGAACAATCAAAAAACCGTCTGGAAAATTTATCATTTTCCAATCATTCAACAAAAACCATTCAAAAATGGTGGGATTCATTTAATCCCATATAAATATATATTATATATATCTATATCCATATCCATGGTTTCATCTGGTTTCGGATCTCATCTAAACGTCCATGTTTTCAGGTGTTGACCTGGATCGAGTCGGAGTCGGGAGCCATGTCAGTGTGTCAGCCCATGGGAAATCCCCGAAGCCATGGTGCTTTTGATGGGAAAATCATGGGACTATCCGTGAGAAATGGTGGTTTTGGTATGTTTATAGCTGGGAAATTCATTGAAGTATATACTAGTTGGTGGTTTCCAACATTTTTTATTTTCCATTTCATATATGGGATAATCCTTCCCACTGACTAATAGTTTTGAAGATGGTTAAAACCACCAACCAGATAAATAGTTGACTTTTCAGCACATATTTGGTTACTAGGGGGTAGGTAATGAGAATCATGATTCAAACAAATGCTTATTTCTGGTATTGAGCACTGTGACACTTTTGTCCGCATGATAAAACACACCTGAATGCATACGGAAACAGAGGGGATAGTAAATACGTTTTAAGACACATCCGAATTCTTTAAGACATATTTATTAATTATATTATAGATCTAAATATTTTTTATATAGACAGAGAGAGGGAGAGAGAGAGAGAGAGATTATTACATACGCGGTCATTAGACACGTATGTAGCAAAATATACAACATATAAATCAACTGCACAAGTATGATATCTTACATATGATACAGATATATGGATGTGTATGTGTCATATACTACTATACAACATACGTATGCTATGTATTCATGAATGTAGTATTTACATATTTACACATGGATATGTTCAATCTATACTATACATCCCAAAACCTACCAACATTGGCGTGTGCACCCGCTGTGACATCTTCTGATTACGAAATGACTTTCTACTTCATGATGCCCTGTTTGTCGAAAGATAGGTGCGGGTCAAAAATTACCCATAAGACTTTGGAGAATGACTGTTTGCAACTTTCTCATTTTGATAAGAACCAGTCTAAGATGTGAACCCCTACATTGACAACGATGGAATGCAGCGCTTGCAACTGCACCACCGAATTCAACTTGACTTTGCTCAGTGGCAAACTTACCCGATTTTAGATGGACGAACTTTCTGGGTACATCCGCTCTGGGCGATAAAATGATGTGTGTGGATTGAAGCGAGTTGAATCCCAATGTTCTGTTGGCTGAACCCCCATGATCAGCTGGTTGGTGGTTTGGAACATGTTTTATTTTTTCATAGATAGGGAATAATACTCCCAACTGACTAATATTGTTCAGAGGGGTGGCTCAACCACCAACCAGTCAGTTTTGAAGACTCACAATTCCGACCTCCTAACGTTTTAGTCATGTCTCCATTGCCAGCTAGGCCCGAAGCGAACGCGGAGAGTGACTTTCGTGTGGTTCAGAAATGGTCCCTCGGTGACCCAGTGGTGTCCGGTACTGTGGGATACCGGTATACCCAATAATCAACCATATCCATCGAAATCCCCTATTTGGTTTATTGCTGCATATAATATGTGTAATTATGTATATATATATACATACACATATGTACTGTATTTATATTATATATATATACATGTATATGTATATGTATACCCCCGTATTTGGGATGATGTTTATCACGACCCCCCATTCATGGTTGGTTTATGGGATGGTTTGTAGTGGGGTTACCACATTGTAGATCAAGCATGGGATGCTAATGGCCTGTCCAAAATTGCTGTTTTATTGTGCAATGCACATCAATGCACCATCCAGTTTGAGGGCAGATTTGAGCTACAGCTATGCATGCATTGGAAAAGCACAACTGATTCTTGATAGGTTGAGTAACTGTTTTGCTGGTTTAATCAATACCATGGTTATGTTGCTTAACGTTCAGAAGGTGCAAGAATGCTACAACCAAGGTAGGGCCGTTGGCTGGCGACAGCTAGAGCTACAGGTTGCAGCAAGATATATGAGGGGGAAAGCTTGTTTTGGGGAGGATTCAAGTTGACCATATTTAGGATGTTCGTGGATAATATCAACCCAGGATAAGTAATTGCAAGAGTACCATTTATAACGGGGCACATCATGACATATCATGACATATCATTATTTTGGGAGCCCCCCCACATTAATATACTTGGTGTCTATTAATCCGGGGTTAACTTGGGTTAACACTCTTCCTCATATTGTTGCTAGATTGCACAATGATCGAATCAACATGCATCTAAAGGCCGTACTCGATGCAATGAAGAATTCCATAGAGAGAAACAAATGCGGTCATCCAACCACCTGCTGTTCGGCAAATTGGCTCGAAGTGATTGAAGAATAGAAGTCAGTGCCATAGGCAGCACATTTGTAAGAAAAAAGACCGCATTCACGTATTTGCGGTCGTTCTCAAATGGGGAGACCCAGATCAGCCGTTCGGCCTCAAAGTCCACCATGTTTGATGTCCATCAGGCTGTTAGGGTTTCGACCCATAGCCATGATGTTCTATTCGAGGATTAGGAAGACGACTTCTTTGTCACATTCATGGCACACTAAAAAAGCATCCATTTTTCACTGCGTTGGGGGCTGTCACTGAATTTCATGTCCTGCAGTGGCTATGCGGCCAGCGCCAGCTGTGAAGCAATTGAGATTCAGGTGCTTTGCATCAACGGTGAAGGATGCAACTTTACCCTGACTGGCTCCAGCCTGGGTCACGAACTGCGGCAGATGGTTTTGCAGGGACTTCCTTCAAAGAAGGGAAGAACATGTGTGATCCTCTATGAGAATTCGCAGTTGCTGCTCCACCAAACATTGCAAGAGCAAGGTATTGTAGGCAAGACCGCGACACTCCGGTGCACGTTTGTTCCTACTGATTTGTATGCTGCATGTTGCTATATTCAAGGATTACCAGTCCCTGAGGGAGAGAGAGCACTAGAGGGAGTGACGAAGATACGATGTGCCGCCAACAAGGTGTATTTGCAACACCTTCCCAGCACTCTTGAGACACTTCATTTTTGCCAAAGTTTCAACCAGACCCTAAAGGGAGTTAACTTGCCAAGCGGTCTTCAGACTCTGACATTTGGCGAGAAATTCAACCAGACCCCTGGAGGGCGTGAGCTTGCCAAGGGGTCTTCGGAATCTGACCTTTGGCACCGAATTTAACCAAACCTTGGAGGGGGTGAGCTTGCCTGGTGGCCTTCAGACTCTGACATTTGGCACTGAATTCAACCGGACCCTGGAGGGAGTGAGCTTGCCAAGCGGTCTTCAGAGTCTAACATTTGGAAGTAGATTCGACCGGACCCTGGAGAGAGTGAGCTTGCCAATGGGTCTTCAGAATTTGACATTTGGCTTTGAATTTAACCAGACCCTGGAGGGCGTCAGCTTGCCAAGCGGTCTTCGGAGTCTAAAATTTGGCCAAGAATTTAACCAGACCTTAGAGGGAGTGAACTTGCCTGCTGGTCTTCAGAATCTCACATTTGGCATTGAATTTAACCAGAATCTGGAGGGCGTTAGCTTGCCGGGTGGTCTTCAGTGTCTGACATTTGGCAATAGATTCAACCAGACCCTGGAGAGAGCGAGCTTGCCAAGGGGTCTTCGGAGTCTGACATTTGGACATAGATTCAACCAGACCCTGGAGGGAGTGAGCTTGCCAAGTGGCCTTGAGAGTCTGACACTTGGAGATTTTGACAGTGGTAGGGGGCTGGTAACATGGGGTGACCGTTTTTTTCGAGAGAACCTGGTCGGAGTTAGTTTGCCAAGTGGTCTTCAGAGCCTCTCGTGTTTCGAAATTTTGGTGAGCATCTTGTGATTCCATTGTTGCGGCGCGCAAAAAGTTGCCTGAGGCTCCTGGGGATGCAGGCCAGATGTCAGAGGTTTTAACCTGAATTCCATGCGTGCCAAAGTTTGCGCTGGTTTCATAGATGATGTTTTAGGCGACCGTCCAGAAGTAAACAAAGGCTCAATTCTATCATTTGATGGTCTGATTTAATTAAGGAAACACATTCGAGATCATTCGAGTTCATTTTGGCTGCTCTTGTTTTTACCAAATTCTGCATTGAAAGTCATTCAGAGTTTGAGTTGGCAAGAACAATTGTGTCATGGTCACCATGAGCGCTGGTTACCAGTACACAAGTGCATGTTCGCATTATTTCGGCTACACGAGTCATATTGTATTAGCTGTGCAACCCATTTTTGTTCCATCAAACTGCCAGTCAGCGGGTATTCTTAGCACCCAGTGTTGGTTTATTTTTGTTCAATGTACCAGTTGTGTTGGTGCAGTTGGTGTTTAATTTTGGCTGGTTAGAGTTTGCATACACGTTTAGTAGCGCTCACATGCTTTTTGTGTGTGCTTAAGTTGCTTAAGATTCAAGATTCTGATCATGCTGATTGAAGTTCCACTTCTGTTGATTAAGGCATCCATTGTTTCTGAACATGAGCAAAGCCCGAAACGCGGCTGCTGATCAATCTCCTGTGATCTGGTTAAACATCAGCTTTTGTTGATATACAGTACAAACATCCATGGTGATTTAGACCTCATTTTAAACACCAGTTGTATGTTGATTGAATCACCAAGTTTGTTGATCAGAATGCGGTTCCCCCTGCTTCTTTGTTTTTTGAATCCCAGTTTTTGCTGATTTGATTCCTTTCCCGATATCTCGCATAATAACAACTAATAGTATTTATTATTATAAGTATTATTTATATGTGTGTAAAATCCAGATGTGAGTGTTTTGGATAATAACAAAAAGTTGAAAGACAGAATGCAAGGCCCGGGCATTGTCGAGAGCTGGGTCCAGCAGAGGCGCGATTCATGGCACAATTCATTTGAGGAGAGGGTTATGGGGATATGTTCTGTTATGTTTTGCCTTTCCCAACCCAGGTAGAGTCTAACAGTAGAACTAAAAGTGTTGCAAGTGCCATGTGCGTACCTTTTTGTTAGGAAGGGTCAATGTTATGGGATGTGTTATGGGATTTTTTTTCACCAACTGTTCCAGGTCAAAAAATGGATTAGTGGATTAGATTCGCCCATAGGGATGGTCATTAATTAATTAAGACAACCAACATGCCTAGCATAAGGAATCTCAGGACCATACCCTATACGGAGTTTTCATGGGGATATGTTCTGGCATAGCCTATGAATATCAACTATATCAATCTATATCATAAATATAATGTAAGTATCCCCTTTTACCAAGTGGTATGACTGGACATGAAGGGGAGTTAGCCCATTAAGGGACGCTCACGGATGATCGCGGATGGGTTTTTGGTAAGGGCCCAAGGGTTTTTGGAGTCGGATGGGTTCTGTGGCAGGTCATGAAGTCAAATGTTGGTACCCTCCAGTAATCAAACCTGGCTGGGGAATCCACAAACTGAATTGGCAAACATATCTATATATCTATATATATATTATATATATATATGAGAAAATCACAGAACTGCTTGGGAGATCTACCAGCTAACCAGGTCACAAAAAATCAACCAGTTCCAGATCCAGCGACGTGCCAGAGGGATCCAGACAGAATCCGGTTTTTCCCCAAAAGAACCTGGCTCGTCTAAGAATGTCGCAAAACTGTCAAAAACATACCCTCTGGTAGTCTGTTACATAGCTATTGAACATGTACCATTTAGTTCGTTGATTTACCTATTCAAAATGGTGGTTTTCCATAGTTACGTTAGTTTACCAGAGGGTATGATCTTTTTTGGGGGTTGCCAGGACAAAAAAATGGCTGCGCTTATATATATATAACTATTATATATATATATAGTTATAAATATATATGGTACAGGCCTGCAACCCCCCCTCCCCCCCCCCCGCGATGGTGATGGTTCCTAGGGTTGGGCGCACTATCTCCCCTGGAATCCAACTATCATGCAAGGTATCTCTGCTTCCCCGCCCCCCCCGTGGAGTGGGTTGGGTGTAGTATGCATGTACCTACGTAGGTTGGTAGGTATAGGCATGTATGTATGTGTGTATGTATGTATTTATGTATGTAATGTATGTATGTATGTATGTAATGTAATGTAATGTTATGTTATGTTATGTAATGTTATGTAATGTTATGTAATGTTATGTAATGTTATGTTATGTTATGTTATGTAATGTAATGTAATGTAATGTATGTATGGATGCATGCATGCATGTATGTATGTATGTATGTATGTGTGTGTGTGTCTGTATTTATGTATGTATGTATGTACGTATGTACGTACGTATGTACGTACGTACGTACGTAGGTAGGTAGGTAGGCCTGTATGTATGTATGCAGGGGGGGGATACCAGGGGGGGATACCAGGGGGGGATACAAGGGGGGGATACCATTGGGGGGGGGGTTGCCGGCCGCCGGCCGGGACCATATATATATATATAGACTCAGCGATTTTTACTTTAGCTTTCAGGATTTAGGATTTATGGTTTTAGTTTTTTTTGGGGTTTTGGATGATGATCCCCAGTGAGAAGCATATGTTCAAATGGCTGCCACCAACCAGAAACAGATGTTATCTTATTTTGATATATACATGGTGGTTTCTTAAAATGGGGGATCCCCAAAACCTTTTGGTTTCAACACAAAAATGGTTCAAGGACTTGGATGATTTGGGGGTACCCTCATTTTGGTAAGCCTCCAAATGTGACCACTTCCGGGCAAAGAACTTCCACAGGCCAACGAGACCTTAAGCGCTCTGAACTTTGCACGGCAAGAGGCCAGGGATGGCCAAGCACAAGTCGTGGTGTTTTACCCTTCAGTTGTGGTGAATTGTTAACAATAGTGATCAATGAAAAAAGTTGATGAATGAGAATCTGTGTATATATATATATTATAGTAATTATAACTGTTGTCATTGATGTTAGTATATAGATGAATGTTAGTATATAGATGATGTATATAGTATAATTGTTTCAACATAGCGTGTTTATTATTGCTAATATGTGTTTGTTAGTATTGTTGTCATCTATTATTATCGTAGAATTGATAAACGGAATTGTTGTGCAAATCCGTAGAATCGGGGATAGTATAGTATTTCACAGATGGAATCCCTTCTGTCGGTAGTTGCATGACCAAATTGAGACTTTACATAGGTAAATATCCCTTTGCAAATCATAAATGGCTATATATCATTTGCGTTTTACAATCCATAAATATCATACATGGGGTGACGTATACAAGTGGTATTTCGGGCCATAACTGTCACTATTCCCTATCGTTATTGCTTGTAAAACAATGCGCGGTTTCAAGAGGCACTTTTCCTTCAGACACTGGCGAGCCAGACCGAGGACTTGTGAAGGTGGAAAGTCATATGGGTTTCGGATTTGATCCGCCAATCTGTTCGTATAATGTTAGTTTACCTTTGGTTTTCTTTTTTTGTTCCTTTATACCCCGATTTGAATGGTTTAGGAGGACCTGGGGTGATTGAAACAAAAAATAAATGTATTGTTGCGTTACTTTGGTACCCAATCGATATATCATATTGTAAATGCAAAACATGTGGTTGTCTTTAAACGATGATAGCATTGGGAAGCATGGTTCGGTCTTACTTGTGAACGTCTGTTGGAATCGAACACATATGATGAAACTGCGGGCATTTAAATCAACAATAATAAAACACATCCACTGGTCGTCGATGGTTTTCACGAGCACCACTAGCACTAGGCTGCCATTGAACCCACAATTAGCGATTAAAGTGGTCTAGATGACTTTGGGACCTGTCATTTTGACCCACCGGCTTTCAGAAAATGTGTTTCTTCAGTACCGAGATACACATGATCGTATTACTCTATATTTTAATCTCTAAATTGAATCGTAGTTTAGTAGACGTCTTCACTTTGTGGGCCCATCTGGGAGTTATTTCATGCATCAGGGTGATGGGATTGTTTGTCTAATTACATGAGGTGTACATCGGATACCTGGCTAAAGTTCAGTTCCTGCTGTGTTTTTTTCAACTGATTGGAACTGTGTGAAGGTTCCAATCGTTCCACCAAGACAACTGCTAGGTGCCAAACCCATAAGCATTGTGGGTTGGGGCCTTTCATTGCCTTTCCTTGTCCCAAACCCACGGCAAGAGGAGTTCCTATGATCACATACTCTCAATGACTCTCATTTATTGTTTGTTTAGTCAATGTTTTCAGAGTCAAAGTTGCTTGCATCTGTTCAGTTTTCAATGGTTGCCCGCGACCATTTGGTGATTACAAATTATTTGGTGTTGATGAAATGCGACTATTTCTGTACTGAAGATCACTTTGTGTTGGTAGCATTGTGACTATTTGTTGGTGAAGCCTCACTAAGTAGAACTGCTTGGTGGTTTCAAGGCGGATCCCCTCTGGTAATTTAACATTGATATTTATATCGATTTAACGTAGCTATTTTAAATCGCCATTTTCGAAGAAGTGAAAATCATCTATAAATCGGCCATGTTCCATAGCTATTTCAATTAGAGGGTAACCAAGTGATGTTTTTCATTCCCAATGTCCAGGAGGAGGCGCCTGAAGAAGAGAAAGCTCCGCAGGTTTCTGTGCTCAGGGTGATTGGTCCAGGTCCGAAAAAGTCGACGTGATGTTTTTTCGGGGCGTGCTATTTCTTTCTTTTTGCGTCTTGTTGTTGTTTTTAATGGCATAAACATGGATATATAATGATACATATATATATATATAATATGTATATTCGATATAATACGTTTATGTATGTATATATATATAGCCAACTTGAGATGGTATTTGGGGTGTGTCAAAGAATGTGGATAGCTCAAAAGTAAGTGGTTTCTAATGATTTTCCCATTAGATTTGCATTTTTTTGGGTATCGGCGTGTATGGAGAAACACAAATAGGACACCAGCTTTGTGGAATTGATCTACCCCCTGGTGATGGAATATATGGAATATCATCATCTTTAATAGGTAAATCATGGTAAGTCGTGGTAAGTCATGGTATTTTGAATGGGGCATCTATTGCATAGCAAACTCGCATGGTTTACCAAAGGTTTCTCCCACTCACATCCCCATGTTTCTTGGTTAGATCCATCAGATGTAAGCCGTGATCCAAGTTGGTGATTGCAAAAAACACCTGGGGAACGTCCTGAAAAAAATAAGGGGAAAAAACCATCAAACTGTTGGAACCATAAACTAAATCCATTGATGAATCATCAGTTTCCTGTTCATGGGTGATACATTTGTGTGATAAAATTAACCTATTTATATATGTACATTATATTCACCATAAATAGATTTATTATGTTCACCATGATAATAGTAATTTATACTGTATTATTCATGGGTAATACATGATAATTCACCCAAGTTCACCATAATCTATGTCAACAATCGCCATAAATTGATCGCCAGGTGGAATCGGGTGGCTCAAAGCTTTCAAGACCAGGTCCCTATGGCAGAGATCACCTCTTTTTCTGGATGAACAAAGCCATAAAGAGTGCACCAGTTTCAGATATGGATGTTGTTTTTCTTCCCCACCTGCCAGGTGAGGGTTGTTAGATTTTATGTCAGTTGCCTCCTCCTCCTCCTTCTCTTCCTTCTCCTCCTCCTTCTCCTCCTCCTCCGCCTCCTCCTGCCTCGTCCTCCTCGTCGTCCTCGTCGTCCTCGTCGTCCTCGTCGTCCTTGCTCAACTGCGACCCGCGATCCACAGTGTTCTCTGCCGGACCTCAACCACGACTATCCACGCCCAGTGTTCCCTGCCGGACCTCAACCGCGACCATCCACGCCCAATGTTCCCTGCCGGACCTCAACCACGACATCATCCCTGCCGCCCAGTGTTCGGCCTGCCGGACCTCAACCGATATTCCACGCCAAGTGTTCCCTGCCGGACCTCCTGTAGGAAGATCAAAGAATGTCAGATAGAGTCATATGCAGCAAGATAGCAGAATAATGCCAGAAGATATGAAGATCAGATGCCATAAAGAATTTTCCAGATAGATATAGAATGCCAGAAGATATGTCAGATAGAATGCCAGAAGATATGCCAGATAGAATGCCAGAAGATTTGCCAGATAGAATGCCAGAATATGCCAGAAGATATGCCAGATAGAATGCCATATCAGAAGATATGTCAGATAGAATGCCAGAAGATATGTCAGAATATATGCCAGAAGATATGCCAGATAGAATGCCAGAAGATATGTCAGATAGAGTGCCAGAAGATATGCCAGATAGAATGCCAGAAGATTTGCCAGATAGAATGCCAGAAGATATGCCAGAAGATATGCCAGATCATATGCCAGAAGATATGCCAGATAGAATGTCAAATAGAATGTCAGAAGATATGCCAGATAGAATGCCAGAAGATTTGCCAGTAAGAAAATGTATAAATGTCATGGTGGGGATCACACGAAGTAAAGTAATTTATGATATCTGAACATCATATTCAATAATGAGTCTGAGAATGTGTTTTTACTGTTTCTATATGTGTGTATCAAACAGAATGTATACTTCCAGTTTCAGGCAAAGCCATATCTGTTTGACGCACATGGAGACAAAACCTTGAAAAACAGATATAGAAGATCATCATCTATAGCAGTAGTGTCTTGGAAATTCTTGGATCAAGCACTTAAAAAAGGGCCATTTTTCTGAGGTCTTGCGCTGGTTTCTGCTTCCGGGTTCTTGCGTGATTACCCAATAGATGAGATCCCCGCATCCCCATTGATTGCTTTCAGTCAATATGCGCGAAGAAGACTTGAGATCGTCAAAACATGCGTATGATGATAATATGATGATAGATGATGATGATATGATGATGATATGATGATGGCATGATGATGATATGATGAGATATGATGATAGATGATGCCATCTTGCACCTGCAGCCATATTTTTGTTCACAATTCACTCAATTTGACCTGTGCCACAGTGGTGACACGGTTGGGATCATGGCAAACTTCAGCGACTGCGGAAAGCATTGCTCGGATCCCTATTGTAAGCAACAGGACCATGAAGTATCTCCTGAGGGGTGCACACTGTGGTCCAGGGTGCAGCTTGAGATAGTTTGTCAAACTGAGAATTTCGCAGATATAATGTGTATCAATTGTTTATATATCTCATTACGACTCGAATTCGATTCTTCATGGTCTTCTGTTTGGCCAAAATGATATAGGGATGGGTCATGCCACATGAAATTCCCGCAGCATCGGGGGATTAACAGCCGATACCCTGGCCACAGGACTTGCTGCCGTTCGACTGCGACGCTTGTGGCAAAGCCTTTTGCTCTCAGCACTTCAAGTCAACCAGCTTTGCTTAAAGCCGCAGCGCACCCGCCATCAAGCTACCACAGCAAAATGGATGTTGGCTTGAAATTGATGGGAAAACCCTACAATCTCATGATTGATTAATCAAGAATGCGAATGCGTCCATAAAATTACTTACTTGGATGAATATCACGTGCTACTTGGAAAGCTTCTTAGTGGTCATTGGCAACAGCACTCATAAATATTCATAATTTAATATATATATATATATATTCATGAATGATGATGTGCAATTTACCGTACATTCACAAATCCCAGAACTGGTCTAAGGGAAAAACACTGCTAGACCCCGCAACATATGTGGTGGGCTGAGAAGCCACTGGAAATACCCCAGGTTGATCCCGAAGGCATGCGCGTTTCATGGAAGGTCCCACATGGAAAACCAAGAGGAAAAGCTCCAAGTTCCCATCCATAGGAAAACCATAGGAAAACCGTGAATTCCAAGAGGAAAGGAGCCAAGAGCACCCCTCTGATTGGCAGGGTCTATGTCATTTGGGGCTCGCCATCCCCAGGTATGAAGCCCATCAGTGCAGCAAAGGCCGCAGCGATAAGGACGCAGAAAACTCCGGCAGAAACGTTTGGTGAAACCAGAAAAAAACCTGTGCAGCTGCTGTTTTTTTTGACAAGCTGTTGGGTAGATAGATTGGCGGTTACCGAACAGAGTGTGAATGTGACCCGAGGCCATGATGGTAGTGTAGGATTATACACCCAGTATTACCATGGATGGAATGTAGATGACTAAGATATCCATATGAACCAAAGCATTCTCATAGGCGTGTCTCCTGAATATGGTGATTCATACCCTGAATAAGGGGGCCCTAATTTTGCAAGAAAAGGCTTGACGAAGTTTCCAAAAGCTGGGGTTTAATTTCTCTGGATTCTACATAGAATCCCTTTACTGGCAGTAGGAATGGGCCAAGACTGGGATGGTCGTACAAGTCGGTCGGCCTAGATACCAGAGTTTTGTCATGTTTTTTCTATTGAGCCCCTTGTAAAAGTGTCTAAAAATGCAGTTGTTTGCAGGATAATTCCTCCGTTTTTGCTGTACAACTGCACTTGTAAAAGCTTGTTGAAAGCCTGTTTTGGGTGGATTGAAGTCCCAATGTTATGGGTGTTATGGGTTAAGTTCCAATGTGTGTTTACTGAATCGACATGTTTATTGCAGGATGAATCCAAATTTCTTCATTGGCAAAACCAACAATGTGGTGCACCCAATGATAAACCAACCCAAGAATCATCATTTTCAAATCTTACCCTCTGGTAAACTAACATAGCTGTGGAAAATCACCATCTTTAAGTTCGGTAAATCAACTATAAATAGGCCATTTTCAATAGCTATGTAACAAATTACCAGAGGGTAATTTGTTTGGGTTTCATGGACCATCCCCACATAGCTTGATGGCTTTGAATCGTCCAGCAGGACCGGCGCGTGATCGTTTGTCCACTCTGCGACATGGCCATTCCTCGCACGGGCGATGAGAATGTGTTGTTCGAAGCGCACATGGCCAGCGGTGCGTGCGTACCGAAAGTGAAGACGGAGACCTGAAAAAGATGGGGATGGTGAGGGGTACCCATCAAGAACAAATGTGATTTGACCATTGAAAGTTGGGATTCAAGCACTTTTAAAGGCAGATACAGTATAGTATGACTCACTAGACTATGGGGAACTAGCAAGGTTTTGCCTGCGGTTAGTTTTGCCAAGATAAGCACGGATAAGCCATATCTATATGTATCAGTGCAAGGTCTGGATGGTTGGAGGGTTGACCATTTGATTGGGTGACCATTTCTCTATGACTGAAAGATAGACTCATATTTGACCACGAAAGCAGCGCTGCCTTGACCAAGATAGCGTCTAAGTTGGGACCGAGAATTGTCGCTTCCACATAAACAATCCCCGCTTAGTTATGAGATGTTATGAGGTCAGACCAAATATATTGCAGTTTCAATCAAACATTTGGTGATAACCTGCTAGGTCCCACAACCGTGGACAATTCTAGGCTCCTGATGTGTATTCATGTCATTCCATTTGTAGATGATTGACCTCTAAAAAATGCTGCTATGTTAGATTGCACTAGGGTATCATACTTGTATGTCACACTAACTACCATGATCTATCATTATAATATGTATGTATGTACAATTATGTGTATATATATACAGTTATATACACTATATGATATTATAGGATATTATTTATATTGATCTCTATAATTACTGTATATAGTTATGAAGCGCTGTCCATTGCACTCCAGAGGAGAAGCCCCGCTGTCCTGTCAAGGGCTGCCGTGAGAAGCTCACCTTTTCGTCCCTCGCCCAGGTGATGTCCAAAACCTGCGGGAAGAGACATTGTTTTGCTATGGAAAACCCAAATTTTAGCAGGAAAATATCGGACCATCACCATTTTGTTGAGGTAAATCAGCATGAAATCACCATTTTTAGTAGGTAAATCATCATAAATATGTGTAGATCAGCTATGGTAGGTAAATATAGGTAAATCATCATAAATCATCTATAGGCTATAAGTGGACCATTTTCCACATACATTGCATGTTTTTGAATGATACTGTTGATGATTAATAAATGCTGCATCAATTGGTGACTATTGGGATTCCTATGAAACCTGCAAAAAAAGAGATTATAAGGACACAAAGTTGTGTTGATAAAAACCATCATAGCTATCCTTTTCTGATGTTGTTTGTTGATGTACTGAAAAATGAAACAAAGTTAGAACATGTATGAACATGTGAGTATTTTGATATGACATGTCATAGTGTTCCTCTTATATAATTGATGTGGTGAAAGTTGAAATTCAAAAATAGTTTAAAGAACATCATCAAATTGTGAAGGAACACATGGAAAAAATGAACGTTGACTCTTTGTGGTTTTGTTGACTTTTTGTCCATCAAATGTTGGATAGTGAGAAAATCCGAAATCCGTGATGCAAAAAGTTTCTGGGTGCCACTTCTGCAAGGAATTCCTGTGAATGCGGCAGCTGCGGGTTGAAAGTTTGCCTCAAGCATCGTTTCGAAGACCAACATGACTGCCGTCCTAAGACCAGCTGCCGCAGTGCTGTAGGCCCCTGGGTCGCAGGGTAATTCATCCCATCCAAGATAAAGCACCCCCCGAGAAACAACGGTTTTGATGATTTGATAAGGGAGTTGCGCATGGGACCATTTAATCATTGATATTTGAGGGGTACTGTACTTAATTTATCCATTTTAGGGATGAGATTCATAAACCATACATTGGTTCGGCATATCCGACGTAGAACTGGGTTATAATGTGATCATTACCATTCATTACCCATACACATATTGGGATGCGCATCCAAGTGAGTAGAATTTACATAGGTGTTGCTGGGAGGCCCCTTTTGATGGGGGTCAAATGCACTTCATAGATCCAGGCGTCGAACGGTCGTTGCCACAGCCATGAAAAAAAGCCACCTCGATCAAGTGGCCAACTACCGAGTCAATGGGTTACAACAGTGGTTTTCGATGATTCAAATACCCTCTGGTAAACTAACATAGCTATGGAAAATCACAATTTTTAATGGGAAACACCACTATAAATGGCCATTTTCAATATCTATGTTAATTTACCAGAGGGTAATCAAATTCCAAGTAACTTTATATCGTTACACCTATATGTGGCAAGTAGCTGCAACATAAAGCGTGCCACATATCCAGATGGGAAGATCCGAATTTGGACGACCAGACTCAGATCCATATGCGGAAGTGCGTAGAAGTTGGTCTACAATTGATATGAAAAAAACTTGACTTGAATATCCACTCAATAGTCATACCTGTTCTCTGTATATTATACCCTCCAGTAAATTAACATAGACCATGAAAATCACCATTTTCAATGGGAAAATCCACTATAAATGGTCATTTTCAATAGCTATGTTGACATAACCAGATGGTATCATCATACAGTACTTGCATAGATATTCTCATCCTGGAGTACTTGCATAGGTATCCACATGTCAATATTCAGATTAATGTCCTGCTGAGAATGTATCAAGCCGTCTAATTCCTCCAGAATAGCTATTATTGTTATATTGTTATTGATTCAGGACATAAAATCTGGTTGGCTATGACAATCTAAAAAAATAGTGCTATATGACATGATATGACTTGCCATTTCTATATTAAATTTTAGTGTCATAAAACTAGACAATTTCTATATTGGGACAGGGTCTTAAAACTGGATGCGTTACACGTAACCAGCCATCAATTGGTCTCAGGTAGCGGCTTCTTGACGCAACTCAAACGCCTGACGGCGGCCTGACGGCCTGGTCCTGTAGGAGAGGCGTGAAGCGGTAGCGCGGGAGCTCCACCCGTTGTTTGTTCGGATTGGACCACCAGAAAACATGAAAAATCCATCAGAAAACATGAAACAACACGTGAAACAAATAAAATATATATATATAAGTTCTAAGATTCTGGAGGAACAGATCCATGTTCTACTGCTTCGCACTTAGTTCGTTTTTTTTTGCTTCATTGCTGGCTTGCTTTTCGAAGAAAACTGCAGCAAGCGTTGCTTAGGAATTTAAGCAATTTGCGACGGGGAGGCATTTGCACAGAGCGATTTGCGCGCCTTCCAAGCTGTTTGGATGGTTGAACACTCATATTTGATATATCGACTAGCATAAGTATTTAATATTATTTAATTGTTTTTCCATGTGAAAATGCTGGAAGGATCACTAGTAACCCACCAGGACCACTGTTGAATTCACCATCAACCAGTTGATTGCTTAGCACAACACCCGAGCTCGGCCGTCTTCGGTGTACAGATCAGACGACCAGTTCGGCACCCGAGTGAATCTGCACAGACTCGATGAAAATGGAAGAGTTCTCCATCAGGTCACTGGGCTTTCGATCTGTTCAAAGTAGATAAGGTTGATCATAGTGACGACGACAATCAACCCCAGGGATTTCATAGGTTTCAATGCATGGGGACATAAGGGAATAGATATAATATATATATATATATACATATACATATACATAACCAACCATCACCATGTGGGTCCTCGAATGATGATAAACCACTATAGTTTGGGGTACCCTATTTCCAGACAAACCAATTATCCAATTTAGTATTGCCACCACGGACCACCATCCGGGTTGAACCAGGACCAAACATTTTGAGCAGAAAAGTATGTTCATGACTGCCAAGGAAAGCAGCATTTCCTGTCCCTTAAACATAGGAAGTACGCACTACATTGTTTGGTGATATTACATGATATTATATCATTATATCAAGATCATCATTGTTGTTACTATGATTATGGTAATTTATGATATAATCATATTGGTTAGCTGGTTGGTGGTTTGGACCATGAATTTTATTTTCCCATATATATTGGGAATGTCATCATCCCAACTGACTTTCACTCCATTTTTCAGAGGGGTAGCTAGGCCACCAACCAGTATATGTGAATGTAGTTTATATATTTATCATATAAGATATATCTATAGCTGATGATCATTGGATATGACATCCCAATTGTCAGTGATAAAGTACGATTTACTATGTAATGTTGCTAATCATGGGTAATCATGAGTGTTACTATGTAATCATATTGGTTAGTAATAAAGTACATCATTACACCAACATCATCCAAACGGGGCTTCAAACGGCCAAGTGCCGGCGGCAGGTCGCAGTGGGCAATGGGCCGAGGCGGAGGACTTTGGCAGATGTGCGAATATGGCCATCCTGGCGGTGCAAGACTTCGCCCGGTGATGTAAACGTTGTTTTTTTTCAGCAGATATCTGAGAGAAATTTGTGATAAAACACTGGTTGCTGGTGACTGGAACATGGCTGGATGATTTTCCATTTCATATATGGGATGTCATCCGCCAACCATTGACTAATATTAATATTTGTCAAAATGGTTAAAACCACCAACCAGAACATGTTTTTTTTCCCTAGAAATTGATGGAAATTGAAATGAGATCAAAGATGAAGTAACATCAGTCAATGCATATGTTGACTAAAGTGTCTATTGCCAGATTCGACTCTATGTGAAGGTAATTCATTGGTGAGTGGGAGAAAGATCCTGTGATGGATCCCACATTGCGGCGTAGAGCATGGCAGACTTTGGGAGACGGGACGGGACTCCGGGACGGGTCGATCCATCTTCAGAAGGCCAAAGCTGCTGGCTTGTTAAATGGTTATACCTTAAATAAACCTCTCAAATCTGAAGATTTGGGTAGTGCCAGAAAGAACACAATCTTTAAATCAAAATTGGTTTGGGAAAATTGGGCCACTCTTTGCAGCTGATTTTGGCCGACTTTAGCGGCGTGACCAACAGGGAAAACGTACAGAAAACTCAACAAAGGCTGGCTTCCGAAAGCCAGTTTCTCAATTGTACCATAAAACTTGTTTCTTGTTTAACGTATTCAGTTTTCACACTCACAGACGCCAAAATCATAATAGTTGGCTATACGTCCCGGCCATTTTATCCCCATCAGAATCTCCTGTTTAAAAGAAAAACACAATTTCCACAATATCCTCAGTATATCCCATAACAAATATAACATTTAAAAATGTTGGATCTGTCTTAAAATTGGGTACACCCTAGAATTGCAATTTGAGTGGTGTCGATGATAATTCACCAGGTGTATCCTATATTAATTGAAGAGATTCCAAGATTCATAGTTCTTGCTTCTGAAATATTTGGGATATTCCAAAATATGGAAACTCCCTATTCTTAACAAATGGTTTTCCCATGGTTTTCCCCTATGAATTTCTGAAAACTGACACAGCCATTTCCCGGAGGACCGGGCCCACGCCATGCTGGACCGTCGTCTGGAGGGAGAGGTGCCCCTCGGGGAAGCCCAAAAAAAGGTGGATACGGTGGGAAATTATTGAAGAGTGCCCCATTCCATATATGGGACTTAATAGATATAACTATGGTTTATGGTAGATATAACTATAATTAATGGGGATTATAAATGATTATAATGGTTTATGAACCAACAAACACTGGTTGCCCCATTTCGTTGAAATGGACATGGACAACCCCACAGTATCATACAGTATCCCGCCCCATACGCGATGAACACTGCTTAGCATCCCCTCAACTTCACATCCACGCCAGGAAGACTTCTTGGATACGCATCCCACTTACTTAATAGGCGGCTAATAAGCCTAGTAATTATATGCCAGCTATGAAACATATGTGGACTATATGGATTACATATGGATTACAGACCATTAGACCACTAGGATGCACTCCCCATATCCATTGGTTCCCACTGGCGCTACGCCAGGAAGTCCCCGACACCTCGGCCGAGTGCGTGGGCCCAGAGCTATGTTCACAAAAAAAGGTGACTCTGCTCACCATAAAAACCTTGTGGATTCCGAAAAAAAACTAGAGTCTTGATTCATGTTGATGCGACATGTGATGTGATTTCGTTTAAACATGTGTTCTTCATATCTAAACATGTTTGAACATATTTCAGCAGTCTAGTCTGGTAATTCAACATAGCTATTGAAGCCATGTCAGTTCGTTGATTTACCTATAGCTGTAAAATACTATAAAATGGTGATTTCCAGTTCGCTATGTTTCTATGTTGGTTGACCAGAGGGTATCTAAACTGCTATTTGGCCGTCACCGGTGGGGTTAAGGCCCGACTTACCCGAAGTGCGAGGAGCCGTTGGGGTCCCCAGTCGTTGCCGATCCGATGGGCTGTGCAGCACGGTGGAGATAGTGGCCGTGTTGTGAAGAAATGTGAGGGGATTCACATCCATATAGGGATGAATGGGAATTACATTAGTGTGTATAGGATTAATGATTAATGGGAATTATCATGAATTATCTGCATAGTATATATATATATATATCAATGTAGTATAATGTTATTAATGGTGATGTAATCCTCTAACATTGATTAACAGATTGTGGGATAAAATATCAATGGAATTGAGAATAATCATGATAATGGGATGTAATGAGATATATCCTCTAACTTTAATGGATGTTAATAGGCCATTATTGATGGGGCTAATGAATGTATTATTGTTTGGGATATAATATAATGGTATTTAATTGGTTATGATGGGACATACCCTCTGGTAATCAAACATTGCAAGCTGGGAAGTCCGATAGAAATGCCATGATTTTTCATGGGAAGACCGTCTGTAAATGGGGAATGGTCCAGCTAGCCATGTTTGATTCCTGCAGGGAATCTGGAATATCTGGAATCGTTGCCAAATTTGGGAGCCAGGATTCTCCCATTAATATTAATATTCCAAACCAGCATATTTTGCGGGCAACTGGACTGGTTGGTGGCTTGGTTTATACGTTGGTGGCTATGTGGGTCATTTCCATCGATGAGGATCGCTGTGGACGAGTGAATTTTTCCGACATTGAAACCACCCATCAGGTACCCTCTGGTAAACAAACAGTTTGCTATTGAAAATGGCCCATAGAAATAGTGGATTTACCCAGCTAGAAAATGGTGGATCTTCCCATAGTTTTTTGTAAACGTTTACCAGGGCGGGTAGGGGCTGGATCCCACGGAAAGATCGGATGGACATCCATTGTCGGTCCGGTGTGCTGGTTTTTTGTTGGGATTCCCAGGGTCCTCCAATGTCCAACAGAATTGTGTGACAATACATCTATTCTGGGTAAATTATAACGACCTCACTGTTCTCCCTCACTGGGAATCATGGTTTTTATAGGGGAATCATCCCCAAATGGCCGAACTATTCAGGATAGTGAAATATTATAATTCCTGGTGCAGTTGAACGTATTGGACGGCTGGAGACTTGGTTCACAGATCATATCAACTTCCAACGCTGTCATCATACACGAATTGCCATTTTGGGTGCCGATGCAAACAATTGGGAAGCTCAAATCCGGCATTTGTGGAGACAATTCATCATCCCAGAATATCCCAGATGCGACCTTGGAATTCCATCTTGTTGCCCCACTACCTGAAGATGCTACTGGCAATAATTCAATATCCTTGGACAGATCGTTTTAGTCCAACGACCGCAACGATTTCAGCGATCTGTGATCCTCTCCATCTACGACAGTGCGATCGTGGTCAAGCTCACTCTCATGCAGTCGTCATGGGAGATAGAATTGATCTTCAGCCCAGGTCATGGCAGAGTTCGAAGACTGCCCACCAGAAATGCCTTCCAACGATTGCACATTGTGGTTTGGTTCCAGGATTGAATCATCAGAGAGAGTGTTTGCGCGCAGTGGGCATGCCTTTCGACTCGTTGTGCATCGAACCTCAGTTCCCTCAGAAGACGGCATTGAGGTTACCAACCTGCAACGTCGACTAGACGCCTTGCGCATAATGTGGGCTTTAAATTGCATGGCTGGGGCTAACTAAGGCATCTTGGGTCTGTATGTTGGCAACCTACAGCACTTGGAGGCAACAATGTGGGCTTTAAACCGCATGGCTGAGGCTAACTTGAGGCATCTTGGGTCTGTATGTTGGCAGCCTACAGCACTTGGAGGCAACAATGTGGGCTTTAAACTGCAGGGCCGGGGCCCTAAAATCCCTAAAGTTTTGACATAATTTTCTCATGAACATTGCCATAGGTCTGTGGTAGAAAAGATACATATTTTTTGACAAACCTGTTTGACAATGTACTGTGTTTCATCTACCCCTCCCGAAAAAAATAAAGGAACAATTAAGTTATGTAGCAAGACCCTGTTTCAATAGTGGTAACCTCTCTACCCTTTCTGCATGTTGGCATAGTCTTTGAGGTAAACCTATCTATCAGTGATTATCAGTCTCATCATTTATATATATATAACATTATATATATATAACATATAATATAACATAATATAATATAATATAATATAATGTAATATAATATAATATAAAGTAATATAATATAATATAATATAATATGATATAATATGATATTATATGATATTATATGACACAATATAATATAATATAGTACATACATATATTCCAAGCCAAGAATAAGATATTCCCAATCTCCATACACCATGGCAGCATTTCCCAAGGACCTCGTGCCCGTCTTCGAACGTTTGGTGGCGTTGGGCATGGCGCCGCCCAAGGCAGCGACGGGTGAGGGTGCAAGATGGAAGGATTGTTAAAGGATACCCTCTGGTAAACATACAAAAAACATGAAAAAACTATGGAACATTGGCATTTTTAATGGGTGAATCAACTATTTCTCTGGCCATTTTCAATAGCAAACTGTTAGTTTACCAGAGGGTCAGGATTTGTTTCCATCTATTGTAAACAGTGTAAACCAATGAGATGTTCATACTGTTCTTTGTACATCAAAGAGTGTTGTTCCGAAAAGATGATGACATATTTTAGGCTTAAAATATGCGAATGATCGTTGCGCTGTAGTTCTTTTGCTTTGCAGTTTTGACCCAAACACAACACAAAACGAGGATTTCTGATGGGAGGCACATAGATTGACGCCATTTCAGAAATGAAGGCCCTACAGTTGTGGCCCTTTACCAGTTATAAGCCAGTAAGTCACCCCATTCATGGTCCATGATAACCCCATTAACCATAAGAAGAACTGGCTTCTATGGCTTGCACGGAGATCATGCTTCATTGGATTTTCTCTATATACGTTAATTACAAAAGCCATGTGTTTGTTACTGGCATGGCCCAAATGCTCCAAGTATGGAATATTGATCCAGTCATTTAAGTCAAACAGTCAATATATATATATATATACTAGCACCATGGGAGCACATCCCATTATGATATATTATTATAGTCACAGTTTCCCATGATATCCCAACTGGTTGGTGGTTTGGATCTTTTTTATTTTTCCATAATATATTGGGAATAATCATCCCAACTGACTTTCATATTTTTCAAGATGGTTAAAACCACCAGCCAGTATATCATTATATATCCACATATCTATGCAAGTGATGAACCATAAATACGATCTCAAAATGCCGATTGATACCACCAACCAGCCAAACATGTATCATGGATTATCATAGGTTTTTGAGATAAGTATACCAAGGAGCATGGCAGGCTTGACACATGGCCTGACCATGGCTGGCCTCCGCCGAAAGGCGGCGGCCGCGTCCAAACGCTACGCCGCGCAGTTGAAGGAACTGGGCGAGATGGGTTCCTTGGACGATCGAGGAGTGAAGAATTACAGGACAACCTACTTTTGGGATCTTTTGGGGCTAGCGGCTAACCCATCTTTCCTTCTAGATTTTCATGATTTTCCCTTAGCAATGTGGAAGATCAGTGGGGATTGCAAGAATCTAAAAGAATTCGGGACCGGGATATAATGCCCTCAAACAAAACACCAATGAACCAATGAGTTTTATCCCATTCATCCGCATGTACACCACTGGAAAGCGCAACGGAACACCCAGAAATTGGAGCCCTCGAAGATCATGCTGGTTTAACCTGGTTTGCGCCAGCCATGTGCGAGGGTTTGGTTTCTTTTGGCTGCACGCTGGAGTAAACTACCATGGCAAACATATCATCGTTGTTTTCTGACAGCACAACCATAGATGCTCCATATCTAAGTCTTGCAGCAAGGGCATGTCAAAATCTTGATACCCTCTGGTAAACTAACAGTTTGCTATTGAAAATGGCCGGTAGAAATAGTTGATTTACCCATTAAACATGGTGATTTTCCATCGTTTTTTGTATGTTTATCAGAGGGTGTGTGTGTGTGTCATGTTTTAGTGCCATCATTTGATATTTGACGGTCATCCTTTTGTGGTAGTGATCAGATCCAGATATGCTGTGAGCAGAGTCACAGCCAGTTGGATTCCAATTGCTCCATGGCTGGTTGGCAACATATCCTATTGTTGAATATTGTTGATAGAATAATGGTTGAATATTGTTGAATATTGTGGAATATTGGTTGGCAATATCTCATTACATGTTCCTTCATGTTCCTTCTACCAGATAACTAAGTTCCTTTTAGTTCATGATTCATGACCGCCTCAAATTTGCAGATTCTTCGCTTCCCGGGTGCTCCTCAGGGTGTTGTGGTTCACAAAGCCCATGGTGATGATCAAATTTCGCTGCAAATTTCATCAAATATGCCATATGATATATATATATATATAATATAGCCATATTGGAGGATGGTCAGAAAAATCCATGTCATAGATCGTGATTTACGTCATGATTTGATGATAGATATGGTCATTCAAATGGATTTTACAATGATTTATCATATCACATATCATATATTCATGTTTTCCCATATCTATTCATGATTGACAATCCATATCTATTGGTATCCATGATATTCATGTTTTTTCCAATGATTTTACCATATCTACTAGTGAACAATCCACATCTATTGGATTCTACAGGATGGGGCCCCCCAGATATAAGTTGGTGTATAAACCATGATAATCCCCATGAACTAGCTCGTTATATCTACCATAAACCATAGTTAATTCAACCACTTTTTGTAGGCACCTGAACGCTATCTTGGGGGCCCCATCCTGTAGGTTTTACCATCTGGTTATTTAACAGTTCGCCATGGAAAATCACCATGTTCTAGCTGGGAAAATCCACTATAATTAAACGGATTCTGTTGGATTCTTGGATTCTTGGATTCTTGGATTCTGTTGGTAATCCTTCATTTCTGGATGATTTTACCATATCTACTAGTGAACAATCCACATCTATTGGATCCTTTTGGATTCTATTGGTTTGAATGATTTATACCCGTCATTTCTGGATCCACATTGGATGAGGCTTCGAGGATTGGGTCAAGGCGGTGGAACTGCTGGAACGGTGCGCGTCCTGGCGCGCTAGCGCGTTCCTCTTTTTTTGGGGACGGAACGGTGGGACTGGAGGATGCTACATATTGTTTATTTATGTTTATTTCTATGTGTTTCTGTACAGGGTGCTGAAATGCCAGCCAAGCATTTTTCAACATAGCCATAATTGCAACGTTTATATATGGATATACATATATATATATATAATAACATATAATAATATACAATATACATACGTATGTGTATATGTAGATTTGGATAAACCAGATATATTATGGAGCTGATGCTAAAAACAATGGTAAAACTGTGGTATATCAATATTTGAACTTCATGCTATTGCTAGGGAAGGTTCCGACAAAAGATGGAGCATTTCTTCACCATCCACCTGGAGACGAAAAGCGTGGCACGCAGAAACGCAGAGGTAACCATTGGAGCCGTAGTTGAGCTGTATCCAAGCGTATCCCTGCGGCTCTTCTCTTCATTTCTGGGAATATCTTGGGATATTATGATCTTCTTATGATCTTCTTATGATGTTCTGATGATGTTCACATATAATATACAATCACCACCTTGTGTACCTCCAAAGGGTTGGTCCACCCCCGACTCTCGTCGCACGTCGCAGGTACAACGGCCGTTTGTTGCGAGTCGCCAACGCGCTTAGTGAGGCCCTTTGGGACATGGAAAACACGCCGCATGTTCTGATGCATAGTCTGGACAAGATGATAGTAGATAAATAATTTCTGTAGTTACTCAAAAAAAATTAAAGTTAGATATATAAAATTTATAGTTACTCACTATGATAGTTGGACAATGGGTGATTTATAGTTAGTTTACCTGTTCAAAATGGTCATTGTTCATATCTATGTTAGTTTACCACAGGGCAATTAAAACAAGTTGATACATATATATATATATAATTAATCATATATTATTCATAGTTTATCATTATATCCACCAGATTAAGTCGGATTTATAGTAGATATATCATCTATTATAGTTAATTGGGACTACAAAGAACTTTACTATAGTAGATATAACTATCATTCTATAGTTGATAGATAATGTAAACAACTCTATAGCTGGCTGTGGCACCACCTTTTACACTTGATGTTGTTTCACGTTGTTTTGGAATCGTTGTTCGTCTCTTGAGTGAGGTAGGGTTTGCAGGAGATTGTGCTTAGTCATGACTGTATGTGAATGGAACCTTTAATGGGGATCATTTCAGTGTGATCAGCCACATCATCCAGTGGATCAAAATGATCAAACCTGAAGATCTCACACCTGGCAGATGTTGGTCTCATTCTGGTGAACTAAGACTGGTTTGCAACAATATTGTCAATAGGCCCACTGAAACACTACATTCTGCATCTACTTGTGTTCATCGTACAGGAATCTATGTGCCGAAATTTAAATAATGGTTGTTTTCTTGGTTGGTGTTGTGTGGAATCCAATTTTCACTAAATAAGGGAGGAATAAGGTTTTACTTGCTGATATGTATTACATTACTGGTCTTCCCAAAATAAGGCTGAAATAAGGCAGGAATAAGATTTTTACCTTATTCTGGCCTTATTCCATGACTATTTTGGTGGATCCTTTAAGGCCTTAATAAGGTCTTAATAAGGCCTTAATAAGGTCTTATTTTTAATTTAGTAGGGGGGTACTTAGGGAGGGGGGGCTTTTGGATCCCATGATGATGGTTTCAAACATGGCTGGATTATTTTCCACAATATATGGGATGTCATCCTTCCCATTGATTTTCATATTTTTCAGGGGAGTTGAAACCACCAACCAGAAAATTGTGCAGGGAAGTTTGTGACATGGTAGGACTGCAGTTGCCATGTGGGAAATGTTCGGACCAAATATCCGAAAATCAAGACCTTTTCGGATTCTCAACGTCGCCAAGAACTTCATCGATGTTTGCTATAGGATACCAATAAACATTCCTACAGTGCTAAATTAAATTGGTATCATGTGCTGACGCTGACCATAGTTTTTTTTTAGGACATGTGGGTATGAGTCAAAATTGGGTACCCCAATAGTTAGATGCTTAATACTAAGAATAGACTAAAATCTGTGGTCCCCCAGGCCCCCAGGTCTTCAATTTTGACCCATTCCCATGTCCCAATGGTTACCCTCTGGTAAACGTTTACAGTTTGCTATTGAAAATGGCCCATAGAAATAGTGGATTTACCCAGCTATAACATGGTGATTTTCCATTATCTATATCTGGTTGGTGGTGACTGGAACATTGGTTTAGTATGGGATAATGATGGTTAATGATGGTTAATAATGGTTTCCATAGCTACCCTCTGGTGAACTAACATAGCAATGGAAAATCACCATTTTTAATGGGAAAATTCACTATAAATGGCCATTTTCAATTGCTATGTTAGTTCACCAGAGGGTATGTTAGTCTACCAGAGGGTATCATGTGCTTCTTTGGGTCCATGTTGATCCTCGCCTCCAAGCCAAGCCATCCATGCCATCCGAAACGCGCCTGAGGAAGCCATGCTGCCGCAGGAAGCGGCTCGGCTGCATTGATGGCGAAAAGTGGCTTGGAGATGCTCCAAGTGTTTCTCTGTGCCATGATACCCTCTGGTAAACTAACATAACTATGGAAAGATCCACCATTTTTAATGGGAAAATCCACTATTTCTATGGCCATTTTCAATAGCTATGTTAAATTACCAGAGGGTCATTGCCAATTTTTGGGGGTATTCACACGTATTTGCACATCATTGTTGATGAATTTGCATGCAGTACCCCATGTCAGGTCCCAGTTACAGTAAAAAGTGCTACTGATTGGTACTGTATATCGTGAAATTGGTTACATCCCAACTTAACCCGTTTGACCAGGCTTGTACCGACATATAACCCGGATTGCAACCTTATATAAGTGGATGAAATGGGGGTATATACCCCTTCCCGATAGTGATCATCTTACATTGTGTGTTTATCCCATTAGTACTGTTAATTTGGGTTGACCAGTGAATGCTAATCATCTCTTATCCGCATAAAGACCCATCCACATTAACTGTAGGTACATAAGAAAATATGTTTTCCTGGTATTGTAGATATGTCATTTATAATATATATATGTTAAAATGTAACCATAGTTGATATCCCAAGTGATATTCTACAGGGTGGTATCCACTAGTCATAAATGAGGTAAAACTCCCCATTAGCTGAAACTAGTTCGATATACCCCCCTAATCAACCCTGGTTATTAGAGTTATAAGCCATAGTTGATGATTATAAACCCCAGTTATAGATATATAAACCATTATAAACCCCAGTCATCAACAGCAGATATGGAGTTATAGATATAACCCCCGGATTTAAATGATTTAACCCCCACTTATAAAGCCACAAGTGAACCTAAGTTAACTATGGGGCACCCCTGTAGATAACCACATGGTTCTCATACCTTTCCAGGAGATGCCACCACCTCCCCCTGCTCCTCCATCTCCGCCACGGGCTGCGGTGGCGGTTGCGGCGGTTGCTGCACCAGTTGCTGCACCGGCGCCGGCGGGGGAGCTTAGGAGAGCGGCGTGGGATGGGAAGATGTGGCGGTTGATAGGTTTATTTGATTTTATTCAGAACTGGTTGGTGGTTTGGAACATGGCTGGATTATTTTCCATTTCATGTATGGGATGTCATCCTTCCCATTGACGAAGTCATATTTTTCAAGATGGTTAAAACCACCAACCAGATAAGGTATTTTATCAGCACTAGGGATTTAACATAGAATTTAACTGTGTTCATGAGTTGAGCCAGTTGAGGCAAGGGATTTTCCATGGTATTTTATGTATTTGTGACTTGATGCACAAGGTATGAATTTCACAAATTCACTTGTGGCCGTAAAAATCAGCACGAGGGATTTAACTGGATTCAGAATGTAAATGGGGACATAGATGGACATAGTATATAACCAACAATAGCTACGGGGGTGTGATTGAAATTGGTGGGGAACGGGGAACATGATGATAAACATTAAAACCTATCGAATCTGATCCCCCAAATATTTGGTATCCCCCCCTTTGGGGATACCAAATGACTCAACCCTCCTGAATATGGCCCTTACAAAATGACACCAGTGTTTATGAGTTGAGGCAAGGGACTTTATGTATTTGTGACTTGATGCAACCACAAAGTATGGTATAATGATGCCGTTGGCCTACAGGATGGCTTTTGGGGGACCTTTGGCCCATAGGGCCCATAGGCACCGCGTCGCGGCCGCTATGAGAGCACAGCATGATTCGAACGGTTTAGGCCTTGTCTCCAGATGACCCAGTTCTTCCCTGGATTTCCCTGAAGTCTTTGTGAGAAATGCCCGGCGTAGCCCGGTAGTCATGCAGCTCCACCCTGGATGCAGCTCCACCCTGGATGCAGCTCCACCCTGGATGCAGCTCCACCCTGGATGCAGCTCCACGTCCATCAATTTTGAGGAAATCCTTGCCAGGTTTTCAAATGTCCAATCCAAGATGGTTTGATTGAATTTCCATCAGCTTCAAATACTTCCGGAATATTGTATACCCATATAATACCCATATAATACCCATATAATACCCATATAATACCCATATAATACCCAGATTGACAATCATTTGACCTCAAAAAGCCAAATCTATACCCTTTATATATCTTTATATCTCATGACACACCCATAGTATCCCGTTGCTGTTCTTATTCCCCCAGGGAGAATCGGGCCGTGGCCCCCAAGGCGGCCATCGACAAGGAACGGGTGACGGCGAAGTTCAAAGAACTCGTCGCCAGCGGCGGCTCAGCATCAAAGTGCTCGCTGGGGCGAGGAAAATGATGAGATATTGAGATGTACCCTCTGGTAAACTAACATAACTATGGAAAATCATCATTTTTAATGGGTAAATCCACTATAAATTGCCATTTTCAATAGCTATGTTTGTTTACTAGAGGGTACTGCATATGGCTACACAACGGATACAGACATAAATGTCGTAACTGCTATAATTGATGGGTATACGGATAACCTGTATAATCATTTGTGTATACCACAAAGTTTCCCGGCAAATTGGTTGTTTTTTGTTACGGACGAAATTCACCACTGACATAGCCCTCAAGCTGCAGATAGGGACCATCCTGGCTTTGTCTGGCAGTGGGCTACAGAAAAATGTGATGCACCATGAAAGTGGCCAGAAATGGCCAGGCATTGGGTGTTTTCCAAGTCGTTCTTGTCGCCGAGGCCTCGATCCTAACGAGGCTGCGACACAGGCCATTCAAAGAGTGCGACAGGAGATGGCTGGGCGCTTGGGTATAGGGGATATGTGTTATTCGGAGCTGAAGCACATATTACCCTCTGGTAATTTGTTACATAGCTATGGAAAATCACCATTTTCTAGCTGGGTAAATCCACTATTTCAATGGGGTATGTTCAATAGCTATGTAACAAATTACCAAAGGGTAAATGTGATGATTGGGTTGATGGATGTTGATGGTGATCAGTTGCGGTCGGATGGTCCTCATCCACTTGGGAACGATTTTGGGAGGGGATCAGAGAGCCACTAACGCGATATATCCCCGGATGAAATTTGATCCCTGGTTGATGAAAAAAATCTGGGATGTAATTATTATGCATTATTCATACGTGTTCATTAAATTGTTCGTTCGTTATGACGGATACAGTATCCATTGGTTCATTCCCAAAATCATTGTTTGCATTAAAATTATATATATAGAGTATATGAATGTATAACCCATTTGTACTCCAAAGTATCTCAGCTAAGAATGGTTTAACCGTTAATTATATGATGATTTTCCAGGTCCACCCATGATTGATAGATATACGCAACTGCAACTAGTGCTTAAATCACTCAAAATAAGTACAAAGATAGGGAGAGAGGTATCTAAGTGCAAAAAGTTCCCAGAATTCGAAGATCAGACCTGAAACCTGAATGTGTTTCCTTTAAGATCATTGGGTTTTTCCGGGAAATCTACAAAAAACCCTCCATGTTTCATGGTAAAAAAAAACAAAACCTGCGGTGAAACAGCCAAGGCCGAAGCGGAGCCGGCTCCTCCGGCTCCTCCGGCTCCTCCCGCGCCAGCGACTGGCGCCTTGGAGGTGCCGATGAATGTTCGGTTGAATTCTGTATGACTATGGGTGATAACAATTTGTTTTTGGACACATTCTTGGGTATCGAAGGATTTCAAATGTTGAAAGTACAAGTCAAAGTAGAGCAAAACAACAAAACAGCCGGAAGCAGAGCACAAACTGGAAAGCTGAATGTGCGAAACTATTCAAGACAGCCTAATTTGTCAGCGCCAAATTGAATTCCAAAGCTATTCGGGATAACCGTAGGAAAATGGCAACTACTATCTACATCCAACTAGAGACACACAACTGTAATTCACCATGACCCAAATAGATCATAACCTCTGGTAGTGTTTCAAGTCACCTTAAAAAACCTCGTGATTTCCATAATGAACATAGCCATAGCTACAGAAAATGGCTCACTTATAGAGTATTTATCTATGAAATCATGAAAATCATGGCTGATGTTTCCGCATCACTATTGTTAAATCAGGAGAAGCTTCGCGAGCTCATCTCCATGGGCTTTGCCGACGAGGCGCTCCGATGAGATTGAAGATCTCAAGCGGAAACGTGGAGGAATTTTGATGATTAATGAAATGATTAATGATTACTGATTAATGTTTTCATGAGGAAATAAATTAAAAAATGATTAATTAATATTGATTATATAATGGCCTCAAAACAGAATTTATGTCATCATTTGTGAGGAAAAGATGATTAATCACGGGGATGATGATCATCATCGTTTTGAGGCCATTAATAAGTTTTTTTAATGACAGATGATGACTTGAAAAACTGACTAATCTGAAATGAGAGATTCAGAAAACATGATTCTGATGATACATATATATATATGTATTATTATATATACATATATGATATATACGTAATATATATATATTATTTCATGATATATACACCATCCACATCCATGGTGTGGGGTTTAACGCTTTAACTGCTCCTGCTCAGCCTCCAGGAGCGCAATCGCGCCCTGCTGGCCAAGTACGCCGGGCGGATGGATCGCGTGGTCGAGGCGATGTCAGCTGATTTAGATGGATTTCATGGGAAAAATTGTGAGGATTTTCCATTGGAACTCCATCATCTTGCTGAGATCGGGATTTTTCATGGGGGTATTTAATGGGGATATCACCAAGCAAACCCATGATACCCGGCCTGGTAAACGTTTACATAACGAACTGGAAAGATCCACCATTTTTCATGGGAAAACTCACTATAAATGGCCATGTTCAATAGCTACGTTAAATTACCAGAGGGTAACTATGTGGGTTTGTCTGAAACTGTGCCAGACTGGCATAAAATGGCCATGTTTTGATGGGGGAAATGATGACAAAACCAATGGATCTGGAGGTAGAAGCCCATATTTTTCCAGTGCCAGGTTGAATGAGGAGTGGTCACCATATCTGGTTGGTGGTTTGGAACATGGCTTTTATTGTTCCATGATATGGGTATGGGTCAATACCTATAGATACATTTTTAGTGGGATGAACATCCATTTACCAGCTATTTTGATGTTCACCAGGGGTACAAGGTTTTGACACACTGCCATATATTGGGAATAATCATCCCAACTGACGAACTCATATTTTTCAGAGGGGTTCAAACCACCAACATCCACCAACCAGATATTGTTTACCACTAGTTGTAGAGAGATTTTCAGACGACGCAGTGTTGTCGTCGGATTTCATTCCAAAACAAGCGGATGTAGGGCATGACACTGGTAAGTAGTAAGTACCTATATAAGTATACCTATAAGCCTATAAATGCCTATAGTTTGCAACTATTGGAACTATTTGATTGACCTCATGGCCTTCGAGAGTCGTTGTTTCATAAAGGGCTTCCCCTGATTTTTGTTGGCGTATCCCTGCATTGATCCGACGTCTCGGATGGGCGATTTTGGTGTTGAGTCCAAATATTCCACATATCCCACAGACTTTGGTTCTGTTATGATATGGTAAACTAACAGTTTGCTATTGAAAATGGCCATAGAAATAGTGGATTTTCCCATAAAAAATGGTGATTTATCCATAGCTATGTTAAATTACCAGGGGGTATGATATGGGGGTTTCCTGAGTCATCGGGTACCCCCAGTCATCATCCATCAAGATGGATTTTCCAGGGAAAAAAAACATGCAGCGATAAAGGGGTACCGCCAATGATGGAAACCCCCACATTTTGATGCAGAGAAAAAAAGAGACAAATCCTCCTCGTGGACGATGTTGGAGCGTTTGTCTTGATATGATACCATGATATACCATGGTTGATCATGTTGTTTTGATTGTATCCCAACACCCCGTCACAGCTGTTGAAATCTCACATCATTGCCCTGTCTCCAAGTGATTTTGCTGGGCACCCGGCAGGCCTTATGTGGAAGTTGACGGGGTCTGCTACGCTACGCCGCAGTGGCAGGCCAAACAGGGGATTTCCACAATGACTTGCAACCAATGTTGTAGAAGCCAAAACTACTACCCTCTGGTTATGACTAACATAGCCATGGAATAGATGGCCCATAGAAATAGATGGTTTACATATAAAAAATGGTGATTTTCCATGGCTATGTTAAATAACCAAATGTATTTGCAGTCATAAAGAACTTGGTGTTTACATGTGTTTACAAGATGTGGTGGCACCCAAACTCCACACTGGATGATCTATTTTGTTTGGCCGGAGGTAAGGAGAGCTTTGAGTCTATTTTTGTATGGAAAAAACACATTCAGATATACCCTTTGGATCCCTTTGGTAAACTAACATAGCTATTGAAAATTGCCATTTATAGTTATTACCCATAAAAAATGGTGATTTTCCATAGTTATGTAAACGTTTACCCCAGGGTATACATGTTCCGTATCTACTTGGCCTGTGCCGAGACTTCGGAGCTGCGAACGGGCCCAAAATCTCGTGCTCCATTTTCCCGCCAGAAATATATACAGTAAGCCACAGTGGGTAAGAATTCAAGAACCTAGGATTATATATATATATATATATTCCAGATCCAAAGCATGTTTTTTTCAGATTGCAATCTTTATTTTGGTGGCCCCGCTAACTTTGGGGACCTCAATCTGCCAAATGACGCCTAGTTTTGGAAAAGACGAGTACAGAAATGTATAGAAGTCCTCACATCTCTTGAGTGTGAAGGGTTCAAACAAGAAATCGATCATTGTGCCATGCTTTGCTTACTCCTGCTTACTCAGTTGCTGTTTTTTCTTTTCAAGAAACTTCAGGGCATACTTTCGTTATCCAGAGAAAAGAAAACTCTCAAAGATTTCGGGCCCAGCGTTCGCTCGTTGCACAGAGACGCTGATTGCGAAAAGAAACAACATATGGCCTTTTGGTGGCATAAAAAACTAGGATGCGTCCAGCAGTAAAATCAAAGGATCTTCGTGTCAATAGGCCCAATAGGCAAACACTTTGGTTGCGGAGTGGATCTAATCTTGTAAAGCCAGTAATAACAAGCCTGCCATGTATATATATACTATAATATATATATATAATTAATATAATATAATATATACATAATGACTTCCCCCACCCAGTAATGTTGCAATTAATCTCAGGAATTGTTTATGATTTGGCTTTACGACATGAATCCGCAGAAATCTGTGAATCATGTCAGCTCCTGGGTCATGAATCATTCCCCCTCTGGGTACCTACAGCTGCACCACAATCTCCCATTCATGTTCATTGAATGTATGTAATGTTGGTAAAGCAATGCCATAACCCATCCCCAATTTCACCATTTTTATAGATGGTATAAACAACCATTAAACCATTCCCAGTCGACTGGGTTGTTTATTGGTTTAGCCACATTAACAAGCAATATTGCCCAGTAAGCAGTGCCTGCCGGGATGGAACATGATGGAACTGGGGAAAATGATGACTTTTCAATACTTTTCATCAAATTTATGTGGCTAAATCTTGATCACCTACTCATCTCTACAAAATGAACTTTTCAGTGCTAAGGCTGCTAAGGCTGCTAAGGCTGCTAAGGGCAGAGCTTCTGTGATCTGTGGATCCAGTTGCCATTTACAGATCGAACCGTCCTGCGCTGCGCCGTGATTTGTCGCCGCGGTGCCAACGCTGGAGCGTTTCTCGGAAGCACTGGCTGGAACGGACAAGATGAAACACTTCTACTTACTGGTGCTTGGTATGGAATTGGGAATTGATCCATAATAACTATATTTACAATCATCCCATTCCCCATTCCCTACTGAGCAGCAGTAATTTCTATAAGTCTTTTAAAAAAAATGTGTGCGTTGACTAATGTTGACTATTGATCACTGGCGATGACTTTCTCCGTCTGAACAAGACAACTGTTGGATTCTTGGTGACCCCGACGTTGACCACGAGCAGATCCTGCAATCCTGAGTTGCAGAACTTGGGACCTTGGACCCGGCCCTGCTCGTCGGGTTGATCATCATTTTCCCCTGTAGAATAGCCATAGGGCCATAGGGACATCAGCCATTTGAGACAACTCCTATTCCAGGTCCAGGCCCAGGTCCCCCTGAGAGGAAGCTAATTATTCCTGACAGGGATGGTTCACAAAGACCGGCTTGGATCATGGAAGCAGGGCAATTTCTTGCCCATGTCCCACCTTTGGAACTTGAATTTAGGTCAGGTAAGAGACCTTTCCTTACCGAATGCTTCCAAAGGATAGGTTTACTAAGTCCGTTATCACAAAGGACAGATTTGACTAAAGGGCTACAATTTACCCAAATTACAGGAAATTATGGAGAACATCAAGAATCATATTTTCACGGGCTTTTCACCGCCTTTTCACGGACTTTTCACGGGCTTTTCACGGCCTTTTCACATTTATCATCATAAGTTGTAATTTCATCAAAATTGCCCAGCTTCACAAGGGCTAGGCGGCTAGCTTAAACCTAGGCGTTGTGACTGGGTGAGTTCTTGGTGTCCTTTGAAGTTCTGGGTTATGTAATCATCACTATCTAATGTGTGGTTTTTTGATAGTTAACTATGTTAAATCTCATTTTCGCTGGAGACTCTCAATTTCTTCCAAGCCTCCAAGCCGTGAACCCTTCCGGCGCTCCTTTTTTTTTCCAGAGGTCACGATGGCAGACACCATGCCGGAGCCCGGGCCGATTTTGGGGTTCCCTTGCCAGAAATGATGCCGGATCTTCGTGAAATACTGGAATTTCCCTCGCCAAACACTGGCCAAACAGAATTGGATGACGGGAAAATCTACAGGCAACCCCTATATTTGATGCTAAAAACCCATGGGTTTCCGGTGAAGATTTTCCCTTAAACCAATCCATTGAACCTCGGATTTTAATGGGGTTTTGCGGATTCTAAGACCTTATCACCAGACGTGTTGAAAGCCTAGAGATAATCAAGATTGGAGGAAACTGTTGGAAATGAGACTATCAGTTGGCTCAAAATGGGGAATATCGAACATATTATGACGACCATATTATTAAACCGTGGAACACAGGTCTAAACCATGTGGATGGTTTAGGGGACTCGAGATTTTCAGGTAGTCGCTCCTATGTATTTTTTCCGGAGCCATTTTCATTTCATGGCCTTCCAACATCTTCCAACATCTTCAAACAGGTAATCATCATTAATCATCTATACCTAGATGTTTTTTTTTTCAAGCACCGATGCGTCTCACAGGTAGAATATGGTAGAATGCCATTCTTCCCCAGGACTTTGGACGAAGCATCGCAGATCAGTATCCCCAGTCCTCAGCTATTCAAAATGACTGGACAAGTAGGGCCAACAGAATGATAGAGGTCTAAATTGACATATACGCTGTAGAATCTATAATTATATATATACACGATTATATATTGTTATTATTGTTATTTTTAGTGTATTATCTATATATATATATATTATATTATGAGTGTATGATTATGTGTTCCTATTATTAGTGTTATTCTTATTGTATTCTATGTATATATATATAACAGTAATAAAATATCTACTATTTACATATTATTATGTTATATTGTTCCTATTATTGTTATATAATATATCTATACGGTTCCTGATGGTAATTGATCCGCAGGAGACGGTGGATCCCAACACCATGGCAGGAGATGGGGTGACCTGGAGCCGTTAAGCCATTGGGGAGCACATGGGGAGTGGAGCTTTATTTTTTTCAGCACCTACTGATGTTTTTGTGGAAAGAACATAACTATGTGGGGAATGATTCCCATAATAAATGTACTGGGAATCTACATTTAATTTTTATGTACTAACTGTTACAATAAGACCATATTCTTGTGGGGAATCTATTGGGAATATGGTCTAATATGGTCTACAGAGTTTACAATGTCTTATTGTAACGGGATGTACTGCTCCGTTCATCGGCAGGGATGATGCAGCCAAGATCAATTTAAGGTAGTGTCATGTCCTGTCATGTCCTTAATTTCTTGGAAAACATATTGATACTTAAGGACATGATGTGTTTTTTTCCAATTGTTTCTTAGAAATCATATTGCCAAACAATGTGAATCATATGGGTTGTTTTTTCCAATTCTTATTCACATTGTTTGTTGTGCACCCATGATGTTCGCTTGGACGCTCCCGATTGTTGGTCTGGGTTGGGTTGTTTTTTTTTTTCGCACGCAAGATTCTTTTGATTTGTTTACTTACATATGTTTACATTGCCCGTTATTTACTACTTTGTTGCGCAACATTTCTCATGATTTATTGATTACACAGCACATTCTCATGATTTATTGATTACACATGATTCTCATGATTTATTGCTTCCACATTCAGCCGGAGTTCCTAAATTACCCGGCCTGGTAAACGTTTACATAGCTATAGTATACATGGCCCAGACATTCAGCCGGAGTCACAGGATTCAGCCGATCTGGGTGATCTCCTTTCCTTCGATATACCCCCTGGTTATTTGTTACATAGCCATGGTATAGATGGCCCATAGAAATAGATGGTTTACCGAACTTAAAAATGGTTGGATCTTTCCATGGCTAACAAATAACCAGATGGTAATATCTATATGTGTTTACCTCTTTTGGGGGGCAACCAGTTCATCCCAGTTCCGACCAGGTTAGGAATGTCATCCTTCCCATTTGACTTTCACTCCATCATTTTTCAGAGTAGGTTTTCTAACCACCAAGCAGTTATTGAAGCCATGGCCCAGTCGATTTATAGTGACTTTACCCAGCTATTAGCTACGGTGGATTTTGTCCATCGTTTTTCGTAAACCTTTACCATAGGGATGATGAAAAAAAAAACCTTAGCCATATGATAATATACTGGTGAATCAAAGACCTACAAGGTGGTGCCCCAGTTCGGAATCGCTAAGTTGGTTCACATAAGTCCAATTTCACGTTTGGGTTGATGAATGGGGGTTATATCGAACTAGTTAGTGGGGATTATGAACCAACATGAACCAACTTATAGCGGGGGGGGCACCACCTTGTATGATAATCATCCCAGTTCCTAAATGATGCATCAAGCAGATTTCTGCTTGATGCTCCGCCCGAATTGAAAGATCCGAACTGAGGTGAACCTGACCTCCGCAAGGGAAGCCCGCAAGCGGGTCTGGGGCGCCCAGTGGTTTGTTTTTTAAGGGCACTGGTCAGTGGTGAAGGGTACTCGGAGATCATCCAAGAAACATTGATATCTATAGATTCTATGATATTCTATGGATCATCTTTTCCAACATGTCTTGAGTTGGACTTAATTTGGTTCATGAAAAATAGAATTGCCACTAGCAAGAAGAGCTGTTTTTTTGAAAGTGAAACGGAAGGTCAGTGAGATCAACTGGTTTTTAACCTTTTTCAGTCACCAACTTAAACCATTGGAACTCCATTCCACATATTCCACAAACTAGGTGAACCATGAGCAAACTTGTTACCAATCCTTTGTTCCAAGTCCTATGTATTTGACAGAGCTCGGTCGTAGGGTTTGATGATGAAGCTATGTGGCTTGGTACTTGATGGTACTTGTTCCCTCTCTGAAACTGATGCAGATGGGTGACTTTCAGCCGAAAAAAAGCTGCATCCAAAGTGGTTTTTACGACATGAATGGGGATGTCTGAAAATCGAGGATGGATCCCCCATTTATGGCCACTTCATATGGAACATGGATGAACATGATGACTAACCAGTGGCTGGAATGGGATACCCTGTTCTCAAACCCACATGAATCAGATCCTTGTTCTTAAAGTCTTGGTTTTTGTAAGATGATTGTTTGGTTGGTGGTTGGGAACATTTTTTATTTTTCCATATATTGGGAATGTCATCATCCCAACTGACTTTCACTCCATCATTTTTCAGAGGTGTAGGTCAACCACCAACCAGTTGTGCAATTGCCGCATCAAGTGGCATCAACAATCATCAACAGTTTGATGTGGAAACCCACCATTTGTAGATCTCCGAACAGCTTTCACCATGAGCGTTCCACATGTTTTGCTACGTTTTCCCCTGGGGTGTTCCATGAAATCCCATATAATTCATATAGGTTCCTATGAAACTTAAATCCTAATTAAAAATCCTATTAAATCTTAGTTCCATAATCATTAAAACCATTAAATCCTATGAGAATTCCATGCAATCCCCAGAAAACCCCCATGAAACCCTGTGGTTTTCCACATTTTTTGTGGGCGTCCCTTCTGAATGCCGGCGCCAGGCCGAACTCGATGCGCAGCTCTTGGCGAATCGCATCGCCTTGCTGAAGCAGGAGGAGGAGAAGGCACGGCCCAGATATCAATGGTTGATGGTTGAGGAAGGATAGGCAATGATAGGTGTTGATGATGGTTCATGATGGTTCATGATGGTTAATTAATGTTCATCTTAATGAATGATGGTTCATGATGGTTAATTAATATTAATCTTAATGAATGATGTTTGATGATGGTTAATTAATGGTAATTAATGATGGTTTAATGATGGTTGAGGATGGTTATATACGGTTATGATGTATATACAATATCCATATATAAACAGATTGTTCTGATAGTACTATGTATCTGCGTTTTTTTGTCTATACTGGGATATAGCATGATACAGTAATATTTGATAATTAATAACAAAAAAATGCAGAGAAAGATCAGAGTTTTGGGGCATATTTGACATCGACTTCCATGTGATACTGGAGCCATTTGGCAGGCCTGGAAAAAGATTGAAGAGCTTCTCGTCACGGGCCGGTGGGTGATGAGTAGCTGGCAATGGCAATGGATGTAATGGATGTAATGGTGGGTAATGCTGGGTCTATCATGGCATGTGTTTTTTTCGTTTTGACTGAACATTTAGGGAAAACTCTGAATCATCATCATCCATTTTCTCTACGTAAAATATGGTAGTTTTTTGGGTAGGCCGTATTTTCAGACAGACCCATACATGTCCTGCAAACATTTGCCAAAATAACAGGTACAGGTACCCCATTCGGATGTCATTTGTGGACCGCGGCAGATACACAACTGGGTGCTTTGTTTTGTTTCTAAGGTGGGTGGAATTCCCAAACTATTTCACCTTGAAACCGGGCATTGGAACAGCAATTTTTGAGATGATTTTTGTCGCCCATTCACAAAGGATCTACGCCGTGCATTGCCGTGTTGCCATCGTTGCCATATTGGTGGCATGATCATCTTTTTGAGTCATAAGAGCCATGTTTTTGCTAGTTGAGATCTTCAAAGTTTTGCTGAAATGCGGCCCATGGCCTATTGTTTCTTTGTTGAATTAGTATGTTCATTGGCATTAATGATTAATGATCCTGGCATATTCATTACACAGCCCTTCTGGATATTCGTTGCAAAACTCACTTGGACAGGGAGACCTCCCCAAATGTTCCCGATGCTTGCCATGTGTTGGTCACACGGACTTGGGTTGCCATATACAGTATCGAAATTGCCATATACAGTATCGATAGTATCGATGTGTCGGATATAGAACCCTGATTTTATCCATCTCAATATACATCCCGTAAGTTTCCATAAAATGTGTATATATATATATACTAATATCCCCACTTACCTGATTTGCTCCATATGAGTACTTGGTGGTTCATCTCACTTCCTAAGTGGGATAAGGGGTTAATCCACAATAAACACTGAGGTTACTTATAACCTCTTATAACCTCCTTACTATAACTGGGATGAACCACCAAGTAGTGGTGGAAGCTCAAGCTTCAACATGTTTCAATCATTTTCAACCCATCCCACACATTTGTATGAGTCAAATGGGACAAGTATAGGCTCAATCCACTTCTTCTAACTGGGGTTTCTCATAACCTACATACGATTATGCGATTCATCAACCGGCAAGGTTTGTCAACATCTGTAATATTCCCATTATATCCCCATTGCCTTAAATTTCAGGGAACATATGATAAATATATATATACATATATATATATATATACATATATATATATATATACATATAACTATATATATACATAACTATATATATATGTATACATATAACTATATATATACATAAAATATACAGTAGATGCCATGATATTCCCATTGTGTTGCACCATAAATCCGTAGCGATCTCAACCTTTTTGGTCCGTACCGAGGACCAAGAAGCGCGCTGCGGAGATTGTGGAGCTCCGGAAGCAAAATGAGCAGAAGTTCTCGGCAAAGGCGCTGGAAAATTCTACGGATTATGAAAGTTTGTATAGTAACATTTGATATTTATCATTATTTATATATAATATATATATATATGTGGGTTGATATTTGTTTGGTATAGCTGCTGTTGATGTTTGCGAACTCCTATCAAAAGGATGGTTGAAACATTTTGAACGCCTATAAATCATGGGATGTTTACCACCTGTCGGTGCAGGATTGCGCTGACCCATCCACAGTATGATGTTAAAAAAAGGCTGAAGATCCATAAAGACTATGAAAGTTGGGCTAGGGCGGTCAGGGATGCGGGTTGATATTCTTGTTTGCTTTGTATTCTTGCGGAGATTTTCCTTGGGCTGTGCAGTTTTGGTCTCCAAAAATTTTCGGATGTGAAGGCTTCATTGAGTGCATCAGCGAGAAAGATATCTGTTTCCAAATCCACAATGATATACCCTCTGGGTAAACTAACATAACTATGGAAAATCACAATTTTTGATGGGTAAATCCGCTATTTCAATGGCCATTTTCAATAGCAAACTGTAAACGTTTACCAGGCCGGGTAACCAACAGATGTGTGGATAAACAGCACAGCAAAAAGCATCCAAGGACATGAGACACCCAGAGGGGTGAGAACTGCACCAAGTTCCTCATCTGACCCTAGCAAGGAGTCATCAAAACACTCTGATAACCTGCCATGGCTGGAATATATTGATTGATGTGAAGCTACAAATCATAAGGGTCAAGTTATACAAGGGTCTTGAACCATCATAAGACAACCATGCACCAAGTTCCGGGCAGCAACTTTGCCGCGCAGGAACAATTTTATAAGCAGAAGTGGGAGTCCATCCGTTCTGCTCAGGCTCCCATGGGATCGTTGAGGGAGCAGCTGAAGTGACTGAAGTGAAACACATCTCAAAATCAAAACCCCCAGCCTCCCCGGACTTTTTAGATGATGATGATGATGGACCATTATGGGATGATAGGCATATACTAAACATAATATAATAATAGGCACACTGGTTGGTGGTTTCATTTTTTATTTTCCATTATATATGGGATAATCCACCAACCATTGACTTTCATATTGTTCAAGATGGTTAAAGCCACCAACCAGATAGATATGACAAAAAATCGCCCGGAGTAGCTTCCTTGCTCCGAACCGATGGCCAGACGCAGAATGCCCAGCAGAGGGAAAAGGCCAAGGCCGTGCGCGAGCAAACGAGACACGGCTTGATGGAACAGAAGTGGGGCGCCTCAAGAGCTGAGCTCCGGGATGTTTTGGGAATATGATCGAAATATGATGGGAACATGATGGGAATCTTTTGGGAATATACATATACAATCATATGGCGCTTTCCATAAATGGGGGTACCCCCAGTCATCATCCATTATAGATTGGGATTTTCCCTTATACACCATTAATTTTTGGGTATCCCCATTTATGGAACCCCCCATATATATATATATATACTGTAAATTATATACACCCATCATCAAAAAAAGGCCCCCAACTTTCCCAACTTATGGGTTTTTAACGTTCACCATTTTTGTGATCATGGAGCCGCTATTGCTCTAACTATGGGTAACTATGAGTAACCAGGGGTATATATTTATGTATATATATAATAGTGTTTGTATGTATCTATAACTACAATTTACCCAGGATATATGAAATGTAGCTAATGAGAATATATGGAGGTTTCCGTGTTGTCATGGGGATGACTGAGGCATGTCAACGCTCAGAGCACCAAGCAGCAGTCGCAGCATATGCTGCTACAAAAGAAGGAGCAAAACTGGTTCGGAAGATGGGGAAAATGGGAAAAGACTTTGCAGATATGGCATGTGTATTCATATTTTCTGGTAGAACTGATGACAACACCATTAAAAAGCAATGATATATATATATATATATGTGTGCATGATATGTTAGGGTATTCCCCATTGATATTTCCCAAGTCCTTCAGAGCCGACGTTCATCCTGGAGAGATAAATTTCACAAAGGCTGTGCCTGGTTCTTAAAGAATCCCCAAGTCATCAGCATTTCTCTAAATGGTTGTTTTTTGTTACTGTTTACCATCCAAAATGAATCAAAATGATAGGTTTATGATATATATATACATAGGTTTCTGGCATTGGGTGTGCCATGGTTTATCAACAATACCACGGTTTTTTCCGGTGCTCGGACGTCGACCCGGCAGGAGCGTGAGGCGGTTGGGGAGCTCAGCTAAGAATTAACCTTGGTCTGTAGATTACTATTCTACTGGGTGATATACCATCTGGTTATGACGAACAGTTTGCCATGGTATAGATGGCCCAAAGAATATAGCATTTATAGATGGTTTACGGAACTTTAAAATGGTAGATCACTAAATAACCAGATGGTAGATCACTAAATATCTGTAAGATTATCTCAGCTTGGAGTCTATTGTACGATTTTCCCATAGATGGAGGTTACTACAACTCCCATAAGTTACTCAAGTTACTCCCGGTGTTGTAAGGTATAGAAAGATTTTTGGTTGAAATCACCGTCATAAGTTGCACTCCTTGTCACTTTCGAGCCTTGCCATGCGTTGATGGCCACCCGCCCAGAATTTCCCCTAGGCCGAACGTCAAGCCAATCTTGAGAGGTGCGAAGCAGCCAGCAGTTTGTTCTATTGCACGTCTAAGGATCAGAATCCCATTCCCAAAAAAACACATAGGAAACTTTGGATGGGTAGTTATCACTATTGTATATTATATAGGTATTATTTAATACATATATATATATATACATATATATAATAAGCATATATTTACCAATGAAGAGATGGGAACTTACTATAATAAGATCATAATATTAGCTATTTGTTGCTAGGTTCTGCCTTTTTCTTTTACATCCTTCACTGTTCAGTTTGTACGCCGAGGATCCTGCCGGTCTCAACAAATAGCAGCCATGCAACAGTGTTTAAGCAGTAACACAGACTTTGTTCCCAAAAGATGTGGAAACCCCATGGTGGGAAAAGCCTTAGATGATCCAGATATCAAGCATTTAGTTTTTTGCAGAGTCAGATTTGACACAACTTTGATCGATGAGTTGTTCCTCAAGCATTCTTGGTTGTTTGACCCTTTTTTGGCCACATGGGTTTGATTCCCAAAAATAGGGTATATTCCCAATTATAGCCATTTAATAGGGATAATGATCAGCAAAACCATTGGGTTTAGGGGTACACTATTTTCAGACACACCCACATGATCGAAGCCAAAAACCGCTTTGCCGTGATCGTCAGGTCTTCCTATTTGAAGCAGAGAAAGGATGATGTCACCTGGCTGCCCTAAATTGACATCGTCCATTCCGGTGCAGCTATGAAGCATTGTCATAGAATCAGAGATTAATTACATATTAATTAACACTCATGAACATGTATTTAATCTACATAGTCAAGTATCGTTTTTAGATGCCTTTAGTCTACTTTTAGTGTCTTTTAGTTGCTATTCACATATATTAATCTACCTCTATATGGTCTATATGTATTATTTATTGGGTCTTGGTTGGCATTGGCTCTCATTTTCTTGGGATCCCAAGGCCAAGCGCCGGATGGAAGAGGAGCGCATGGGCAAATTGGAGAAATATCGCGAGGACTACGAGGTGCCACGGTGACAGTCAGGGATGGTCGGTTGCTTGAAATCTCGACAGTTTCAATGGGGATTCAATCAGTTTCAATGAGGATTCAACTGGGATATGATACAATTGGGATAGGAGATAATGGGATAGATGCATCAAACAACTTTATATGATGTTTGAGTGTATCTTAAAATGATGGGAAAAGATCCCAAATTTGATGTTAAGAATATGTGATAATAACACGTTCCGCAATTTAAGTTGCCATAAATTGATTTACATTGGGGTATACACCATTTTAAGGCACACCCATTGTTTTTTTCGTTATCTAGGTTGACCAGGGTTTGTGAAGAATATGTATTTTTGAATGTATAAGTGTATATTATATATATAATATATATATATATATTATATTGCTTTGTACAGTATCTTATCTGCAGTTTGATGGGTTTATGAACCAACTTACAACTTTCTTGCGCCCATGTACTTGAGAGAACCGATGCTTAAACCCCGAGTTATAGTACTTGCTACGGGAATACTGTTTAAATATTTTTCTATCATGTAGGTGTATGTCTCATCTCAGATCATTAATGTTTATTAACGTCACATGTCAACAAAGACTACGGAAGAACTAAAAAATGTTTGCAAGAAACCAAGGTCTGCCATGTTCGAACATGTCGCTTCTGTGGTACCCAACATGATTTACCCAGTCGGTGGCAAGTCGTCGTGGGTATCGATGGCGGTGAATCCCATCCTGGTTGATGCCTGAAACTCTCCGTTGATCGAACTCGACTGGTGTTTATTTCCGACTGGTTACCGACTGGTTGTACATTTGACATGAATAAATATAGGTACTCACATCAAATTATGTATATATATATATAAATGAAGAGAAAAAGCAAGTGCATAATACAGATTTATGTGTTTTTTGTGTATGTACATATACATTGTCTTGCAATACATTTTTAGAATTTGTACATCCAGTCATATAATCATATATATATATATACATATGTATATATGTATATTACACACCCTTTGTTTGCTGGGTATCCGGCCATCAGCCGATTCTCCAACGAAGACTGGCGGTTTTTGCGATTGCGCTTTCCAGGCCAGAACCGCACAAGAGGAGATGCTGCGCGCACGTCCGACAGCCCAGTGTTGATGTTTAAGGAACTTTTTTTGGGGGAGATCTGGAGAGTTATAGTGGACAATATTTTATATATGTTATATGATACTAGATTTTATGTTATTATGTATATATTATGTTATATTATGATATATATATAATGATATATTATATAATAATTTATATATACATATTATTATTAATATTATTATATATATATTATGATATATATAATGATATATTATATAATAATATATATATTATATATACATATTATTATTATTAATATTATTATTATATATATTATTATATATATTATATTATATATATATGCATGATATATGACATGTCTATGATTTTTGTGGATTAACCCTCCTTATTTTTCTCAGTGAAAACTCAAAATCCATAGGAACCGATGCCCTGGTGGCGAAGATGGAGAAGGAAGAGATGGAACTCATACAGAGGCGGTGATGGCCGGTGATGGCTACAATGGTGACCAGAAATGCTGGGGAAAAATGGATGGTTTTCCATATGGGATATTGTGGGATATCAATGGTTAATGATGGTTAATGGGGATATCAATGGTTAATGCTGGTTACCCGGCCTGGTAAACAAACAGTTTGCTATTGAAAATGGTGATTTAATAGGATGTTATTGGTTATATACCCTTTGGTAATGACTAACAGTTTGCTATTGAAGCCATGGCCCAGTCGAAATAGTTGATTTAGCCAGCTATAAGATGGTGGATCTTTCCAGTTCGTTATGTAAACGTTTACCAGGCCGGGTAATGCTGGGGAAAAATTGCCACGGAAAAAACCGGAACGATTGAATCCGTGAGAATGATGGTTTCTTCCATGAAAGGTGGGGGTGCAACCATCAAACAATGGGCGATGTAGGACATGGATAGCATAGTGCAACCACTTGAACTTTGGGATAACATAGTCACAATGGGGATATAATGAATATATATATATATATATGTATGTATACTATATATATACACTATAATATATATATATAATATTATTGACATATGATATGCACATAATCCCGTGTATATATAGGTATATGACTGGCATTCCAAGAATGAGTTAAAGTTGTGTATGGTGCACCTTTTTCTGCAGGAATGATTTAGTTTTGGGTCAATCAGCTGATGAATGTCAGAGTTTGATTAACATCAGAAATGGTACATATATATGTATATATATTATAACTGTCAGTATGTCAGATCCCCAAGAAACATTGTTTCGAATCAAGCGCACCAAGAGTGGAATGAGATGCTTGGGGGGATGGTTGAGTCTTGGATGTAATCACTTTGGTTACATTGCAGGGATTTTATCATGAAAGCAAGGTGGCTTTGTCCCAAATGCAGTTTTCCCCCAAATTGTCAACAGTGGGAAACATGTTTATAGTCCCTGGGGTACCCTACTTTCAGAATACACAAGAAAAAATCTTTGAAACATTGAAAGTTGACCAACCAATGTGAACACATAGTTGGTAGGTGAGTACCCAAACCGATCGGAAACTCTCAGCGATCTACTTGTGTCTTGACACACTCAAAACATTGGACTAGAAATCCGAAAAAAGAGCTCTATGGATTGGTTCGCCCCTGTTTGTCAGTGATTTGAGATTTTTCTACAGATTTTCCAACTAGAGAGCGAATGCATGCGGCTACAAGAGCTGGACTCTTAATTGCCATGGAAATGCAAAAATGGAAAACCCCTCTTATTTAACATAGCGAACTGGAAAATTCCATGATCAATGGAAAATGAACTCCCCAGGTTGCAGAACACCCAGACGGTGCAGCGCAACGCCTACGAAGAGCTGGAGGTGAGGTCTGGGTTGGCTGTCCGAAACAAAAAGGCCGGCCGGCCATCTAAGATGGGTATGTTCGGGAAATCATGGGTAAATAATATTGGTATAGCATGATGTTTTCACTATTGAAGAATTACCATTTTGGGGTGTACCGGTAAAACCCTATTCTTGGACTAAGTCTATGGTGGATCTTATGTGGATGATTTCTATTGGTTTATGCTTTTTTCGGGACTCCACCTAGCCTCTGGTAATTTTAACAGTTTGCTATTGAAAATGGCCATAGAAATAGTGAGTTTTCCCATAAAAAAATGGTGTATCTTTCCATATAGTTATGTAAACGTTTACCAGAGGGTAACCATCTAATAAGTCATCAGGGAATGCTTCTGAATAGATTCCAGTCAGGGAAAACGCCAGGCTCGCATACGTATCTTGGGAATTAATTCCCATCACTCATAGAATTGGATGATGGGAAAATTTACAGGAAACCACTATATTTGATGGTAAAAACCATGGTTTCCTGTAGATTTCCCTTAAACCAATCCATTGAATCACTGGGTTCATTCAAGTTGATGTGGTTCTTTTTCTGGCCGCCTCAGGCCGCTTTGGGCCAGACCAGTCAACAGATTTCCTCCTCACGAGGCCGGGAAAATTCACGAGAAGCAACGAGACGATAGCGCCCAAAGCATTCCAAATTGGGGTAGAAGATGGATGTAGAAAGTGTATTATAACGGTAATCCATTTTTTTACCCCTTGAAGATTTCCGTGGTTCATATTCCATGGATCTTCCAATATGTATGGTGGAAGTGGGGCTGTACACAAGGGTCACCTCTGAGAAATGGGCTTTGAGCGAGGATGAAAATGTGTCAAAGTATAACCGCCAGATAGAAAGGTAAAGACCTACTAAATACGTTACCTTGTTACCCTAGTTAACTTCACCTCTTTCCTGATGTTTTTTTGGGTGTCAACCATCCATTTTGAACACGGATAACATTCCGTTTAGCATCAATCCATGGACTTTTCAGCTTGGAAGTGGTGATCTTCTGATCCGGGCCTTGCTATGCATCACCTGACAGGTCAAGATGTGGAAATCGGTCATTTTTCCCCACCTGCCAGGTCAGGGTTGTTTGATTTTATCAGAGCTGTTCTCCTCATCCTCCTCCTGCTCCTCCTCCTCCGCCTCCTCCTCCAGTTTCTCCTCGACCATGTCTGCATCAACTTCCACCTCAACTTCCGCCTTGCCAACTCTTCGCCAAGCTCTTCGCCAACTTCCCAGCTCAGTGCGCACTGCTGGACCTCAACCTGAGACAATCCCAGCTCAGTGCGCACCGCTGGACCTCAACCTGGGACCTTTCCACCTCAGTGCGCACCGCTGGACCTCAACCTGGGACCTTCCCAGCTCAATGCGCACCGCTGGACCTCAACCTGGGACCTTCCGAGCTCAGTGCGCACCGCTGGACCTCAACCTGGGACCTTCCCAGCTCAGTGCGCACCGCTGGACCTCAACCTGGGACGTTCCGAGCTCAGTGCGCACCGCTGGACCTCAACGGCCAGATAGAATGCCAGAAGATATGCCAGATAGATGTCTGATAGAATGCCAGAAGATATGCCAGATAAAATGCCATAAGATATGCCAGATAGAGTGCCAGAAGATATGCCACATAGAATGTTATAAGATATGCCAGATAGAACGCCAGAAGGTATGCCAGATAGAATGCCTGAAGATTTGCCAGATAAAATGTCAGAAGATTTGCCAGATAGAATGCCAGAAGGTATGCCAGATAGAATGCCAGATAAAATGTCAGATAGAATGCCAGAAGATATGCCAGATAAAGTGCCAGAATGTTTGCCAGATAGAATGCCAGAAGATTTGCCAGACAATATGCCAGAAGATATGCCAGATAGAATGCCAGATGGAATGCCAGAAGATATGCCAGAACATATGCCAGAAGATATGCCAGGTAGAATGCCAGAAGATATGCCAGATAGAATGCCAGAAGATATGTCAGAGTAACAAAATGTATAGATGCCATGGTGGGGATAACTCGAAGTAAAGTAATTTACCCTGGTAATCTATAGCATCTGTTAATGACCAGCAGTTTGCTGTATAGATGGCCCATTTCGATCGATGATGTTCTATTTAAACATCTGATATATATATATATAGATATATATATATATATATATACTGGTTGGTGGTTTGGAACATGGCCTTTATTTTTCCATATATTGGCAATTTCATCATCCCAACTGACGAAGTCCATGATTTTTCAGAGGAGTAGGTGGCCCCCACCATCCAGTATATATCAAACTACTAGAGTCTTACGAGGGATCTTTCTAGAGGGTAGGTCACTTCACATCCCTTTTTACAAAGGATACTGATCCAGCTGGTTAGATATGAACCATCCAATGGTGGGTTATTCAATTGACCCATAGCCCGAAACAACCTATTTGTCAACTCCTAGAGCAAATACAAATCATCTCCATATAGCAGTAGCAACCCCCCCAAAAAAAAGAATTACATATGCATTTAAATCCTTTTATGAAGTAGTGCAAAATTGAGCTGTTTCTGAGACTTTTTGTGGGTTGCTACATAGTTGCGGGTTATTCTTGGATATTCTTGGGATTGAATTCCCCGTGATAGGTTGATATTTCACTAGCAGCTACTATAGATACTACATATCAATACGTATCAATACATGTCATGTGGGACAGTATAATAACCCCGGGCCTTTCATTTTAGCTTGGCCTACCTCTTAGCACTATACAAATGTATTTCCGGCCCAGAAAACGATAAGAGAAAAAATAACGATAACTTGATCTGGGGACATTCAAAATGACACGTTTTTTATATAATCCATCATCCCATATGTCATATCATGTCACAATATGTCACAATCATATAGTGAGTTATGATACATTAGTTTTCATGGGAAAATCCCATGAATTTCGCATTCTATCACCATGTTCCCAGCATTTCTGTTGGTATCTCCCCATTTTCGCTGCAATCCCAGTCGTCGATTCCCCCAGCCCTGGGCCGCTGGCCCGCGGCACGAGGCCCAGCCCCACGTCCTGCGGCATGAGGTCGCTGCTGACGCCATGGACCCGCTGCGGGGGATTTGAGGATTTTCAGCGACGCTTCTGGGCGATACCAAGAAAAATCTTGGCACATGGTTAAAGATGGTTCAAGAATCGAGCAACATGCGGGTTTTTCACGACGTGAATTTTGAAAATTTGCAAGAAACGACTGGTGATTTCACAAAGACAAAACTGATGGTTTAACAATGTTTAACATCAGTTGTGGGGAACTGCCATCAAGCTCCTCTTAGGAGGGTATGGTGGTTGGATCTTCACCATGAAATGGCCATCTCGGGGTCCCATCTTTGAACCAAGCTGCTGAATATGAACCAAGCTGTTGTTCAGGATATCCTGTAGACAAGATTGTGTAGACTGTAGACATATGTAGACATATGTAGACATATGAATACACATGTAGACATGAAATTTAAGGTCGTTTGTGTTTCATCCCCTACTGAAAATATCTCGTCGATCATGGTGCCCGCAACCAAAACGGTGTCCTTTCGCACATCATTTAGGAGTTCTTCGTGTTTCTTTCAATTGGTTTCAACTCGGCCGTTTAGTAGTATCAATATGTATTAATATCTTTACTCGGTACAGGTACGTTATCTAATGTCATGTAAAATAATGTAAAGATATATTATTATCATTAATATTATTATGATTCTCATTATTACATTAAAGATATCAAGCCATATGAGTGTACCAGCAACAGACCGCAATTAAATAGTGACAGCTGCCCGAGTTTTCGGCTCTCAAGGGCGGCCGTTGTCACAGAAGAGCAGTGGGGAACTTCCGCCACAAAAATCAGTTGGGTAAAGAAACTTCAAGAAATGGTACCGTATACTCTGTATACGCTCTGGTAAACTACCATTGCTATCGAAAATCACTATTTCAATAGGTAAATCCCGTAAATGAAGTATAAATGGTACATTATCCATAGCTATGTTAGTTTACCAGAGGGTACGAAGCAACTTATGTTTGTCTCAAGAGGGGAAATTGTTGTGTGTTGTGATGTTGTGCGAATTTGTTCCCCATGATTATCGCTATTTTTGGGAGGGAAACTAAGGATGGCCCGTGGGATTTTGAGGTACCTAGCTTCGAGACAAACCCCAGATATATGACCCAACTTGTCAACCCAGACCACCAACCAGGGGCACTTGCCAGTATCGTGCGTTGCCCTCCCAAATGCTGGAATGGACTTGAACCGAAAAACCATGATGGGATTTTCGGTTTGATTAACCCATGTTGACCCCCAATCCTCAGCAATTTCTTCGAAAAAAATCGCCATGGACTCTCCGTCTGAGTTGGAAGGCGCAGTTTCTCCCACTGCTTCGCTGCGCAGCGACCTGGAAGGCGAGCTCCTGCGCGGGGTGCGGCTGGAACTTTGCCTTGCTGGCTGGGGGCGACATTTCTCGCAGAGCAAGGAAGCGGCTCGGGCTCGGAGTTTCTGGGTCCCCCAGTTGGGACAGGTCAGTTGGTTAAGAGTGGGAAAATGCGTTGTCTAATTGGGTAATCATCTTTCAAGTTGATTGAAATAGCAGGCCAACTATGGTTGACTATTATATATATCATAATTATATATATAATTTTATATACACACATATATATATATACATATATATATAGTTATACAAAACCTACAACAACCGAGGCAACAATGTTTGGTAAAAAAACACTTTTGGAGGATTGGAGGGGCCAACCCTCAAACGGAGTTTTTTTTATGTTTTGGATTTTGGATGGTTCGAGCAAATCGTGATGTTTTGAGTGGAATGGGATTCTCTCAATTCCGCAGGTGTGGCGGAGACTTTCGCCGCATGAAGAACGCATAACTCATGTGTCCAGCTCGAAAATCTTTACCAAAAAAGCGACAAACTGAAACGGCATAAATTCCCAACCAACCGGCGTAAATTATTTTGGTTGTTTTCAATGCATACTTGGACTTTGACATGCTACATATCTGCCCATGTTCCCCAGGGTGTGTGAATATCAAAAAAGTGCACAAAATGCAAGAATGGCAGCTGACCCAGCAAGAATAAAGCCAAACAGTTGAAACCAAAGTTTTTGGCTGAGACGGCAAAAATTACTGAAGCGTCAATATTTTTGTAGCCTGGGCTAGCGGAATAAATTTTACCCAGCCGGCAGGCCTAGGTATACCGTGGGCCCCACATTGTAGATGTTTGATAGGTCGCGAGGTGTGACGGCGGGGTCCGTTCTTGCTTGTCTCAAGCCATGGGGTATCTGATGGGATACTCCCAAATGCCATTCCCACCAGTGGGGAAGAAAACTTGAAAACTCATTGACGTTTGGACATTTTGGAAATCCCAATGTTGAGACATACCCAGTTGACTTTAGAAACCTGTGCGGTGCTGCATGTGTCCGTTTAGCTATCCCAAAAATCACCGTCGGGAATGCACTACATGGATGGTATCGGTATTGAAATACGTGCAGGTCACCTTTCAAAACAGCTCTGTCTAAAAACACGTGTGGGGAAAAAGGCAAGTCAGATGGTTTATCTGGTTGGTGGTTTGGAACATGTTTTATATTTTTTTAAAATAAATAAGCCTTATTAAGCACATGTGTTCCCAACACCTGATATAATTTCCTTCCTTAATAAGAGTTATTTTGTTGGAGCCAGAAAATTGCATACCGCTTATTAAGGGTTATTACCTCAATAGCATCTTTGAGTCGTAAGAAGCAACAAATTTGGTGAATCACATGGTGCTACAAAGGATTGCGCTTATTAAGGTTTATTAGTTGTTTGTCAAAAATTCATGCGCAACGGGTGTGTTGGGAGAATGGTTACCCCTAAAACCTGGATATTTCTTATTTAGAGGTTTAAATCTGGCTTAATAAATCTGGCCCTCCGGGGCCCAAGATCTTATGATTATTTTACATGGGAACAATCATCCCAACTGACGAGCTCATATTTTTCAGAGGGGTTGAAACCACCAACCAATTTAATTATCATTGCTTCATGGCTGTTAGCATGGCCGTCTTTGGGGTGACCTGAGATGATCAAACAGATTGTACCTCAGAAAACTGTCTGGTGGCCCACAAAAAAAACGTAGTTTTTTGCGCTTGAAATCATGAGTTCTCGGAACATACCGCAACCATTCCATACGATAAATCAATATAAATCATGGTTAAAAGCCAAAAATCCGCCATGCGCACTGGACAAGTGGTTTGGATGTCAGAAACCATGCTCAATTGGGGTTTATGATTGGGTGAACAAAAGAGCGACATATACTTACATATGATATCATATTGACGCATAATATACATGGAAAACATCAGGCGATGTACAGCATTGACCCTGAGAAGTACAAACTCAGCCAGCAGACGGACCACATTGACAACTTCCTTAGCCATGACTGGGCCAGTGGCCGAAGTGGCAACTTGCTCTGGACCGAGGTGTTTGCGTTTGCCCCAAAAATTCAGCGGACCCGTCAATGCGGGGCAGTCTAGACAAGTAAGTTGATCTATAGCTGGGCTAGCCATGGCCAACTTTGGTTGCGGGCACCGCGGTGATGTGTTCGTGTCATGTTTTTTTCTTTAGTATTGGACCATGCACATTTTTGATGTGGGGGTTTCCCATCATCCAAAAGTGGTTTTTATCAATGAGAAAACAAATGGTTAAGGGTACCCATGATTTAGGAACCCCCATTTTTCCTGGTTGGTTTATTTGTTCATTTCTCCGTTTGTGCGACTGATGCCACGTGGTAAACGTTCTGTCTATGGTTCTTGCGAGGTAAATTTCTGACTTTGCTATGGATCTCCAACATTCGACCTGCGATCCTTGTGACCTTCATGGTCAGTTGTCTGATCGCATTTCTGCGAGAGTTCTATTGGGAGCTCACGGGCGGCAAGTGGCGTGCAGAGGTTGTTCCACTTCTGATCTTCATCGTCGTCCTCTGCTTTTGGCAGCGCATGCGGGCATTGCTCATGAAGGGTCAGGTGGTATTTTTGGATCGCCTTTGCATAGCACAGCATCCTGGAGCGGCTGTTTTCAATTCTCATTCGCTAACCCATTAAGATAAACAACATGATCTAATCCCATGAAATCGGAAATTTATCATCAGAGAAGTTGAATAATTTGTGCCATGCAAATCTGCCTCAACCAAGGTATGATCCCGAGTTGAAGCAAAAAGGCATCTCGGCCCTCGCCGGATTTCTTCGCAACTCTTCAACGTTGACGGTCCTTTGGTCTCCGCGGTGGATCACAAGGCTTTGGTGTGTCTATGAGTTGGCGACCTATCTCAGCAATCCTGGCAAGGCAAGCTGGTAAGTTCAAGGGGCCAAACATTGGGGCGATTTACCATGGATGTTTACGAAATGCTTATATACAGTGTTACAGCCTGAAAAGAAGAGGTCATTTTCAGTGGGAAGAGATGTTCAGAAAGTGCTTCCAACACCAATGGGGATATTTACATCTATAGATATATATATATATATATATCAATCCCAAGTCTAATAGGGAAAAGATGGTTTTAAAGCATGATTAACATTGAGAAACCACTGGAATTTTGGAACACGATCTTGCTGCCATCCTCGCTGCCAGGCAAAGTCTATCCGCTTCGTTCCAGTTACCCTTGGAGCCTCTTTCATGTCTGTAGTCCTCTTCTATGTGCTGATTGTGTTTGGCGTCCAGACCACCCTGGATCTTCTTGAGAGAAAAGCGTTTCTTGGGCTTTTGCTCTTCGAACTCGCCTTGGTTCTCATTCTGACGCTGGGTATTGCAATTTCAACCCTCATTGAGACGATGCACGATTTTGCCAAGTTGGCCGGCCAGATTAAAGTCTTCCGTGTGCAAGAGTCCGAATGTTTTTGCTGTTCCAACAACCATCGTCATCCCCACACTGGACGGCTGATGCAATGTGACCGAGATCAGATCTATCAAAAAATACAGAAGCTGGAGCCGAGTCTTTTGTTGTTTATTTTCCCAATGGGAAATTCTGGGAAAATCCATCATGACCGGGATATGGTTTGATAACTTTGTTGTGGC